CGATGTGTTTGTGTATTGTGGGCCGATGGCAACACGACTTCTTGGCGGGTGGCTCCGCCCTCTTTTCACCCGCAGGAGGTCCACTTTGGCTTCTCTCAGATCAGGTTGTGACGCAACCTTGTCCGTCCGCGGGGCTTGTCCCCCGACGTCGTCATCTCCCACCAACTCTTTCTCACTTCCTGATTTGTTTTTCGGTTTTTTTTTTCGGTAATATCTGGGGTTTCAGCTTGGATCTTGGTTTGAAGATGAACATCTTTTTGAAAGAGCTTGAACCGATTTTATAAGAGTTTTTATAAGATTAGAGCCTCTGATTTGAGCATTTTTGTAGAGGAAGACTTGGAGTTCAAAAATGGAGGTTTTTTTTTCGGTAAACCGGCGGTTTTGACTCAGATATTGGTTTGTCTACCGTTCGAACAGACTTTTTCTAGAAAAGATTAACTTCAGCGATTTTTTAGTTCAGTTTTTAGGAGGGTAAAACCTCTGATTTGAGCATTTTGTAGAGGAAGGTTTGGATTTCAAAATTGGAGGTCCTTTTTTCGGTGGTTTTGACTTTGTCTACCGTTCTTTAAAGAACAGAACCTTCTTACTAGAAAAAATTGACTTCAGCGGTTTTTTAGTTCAGTTTTTAGAAGGGCAGAGGCTGCGATTTTAAAATTTTGCACTGAAAAAGCTTACAAGAAAACGTTTTTTTACCCCCTCCCCCCACCCCCCGGTTGAACTTTTTGATGAAACTTCGCTGTAGTGTACTTCAGGACCTTCTGATTGCATAAAAATTTCTCGCAATTTTCGAGTTAGGACTTTTTAAAAGCTCGAAATAGCGCTTTTTGTCATAATTTGCGTATTTTGCAGGCTTTGAAGCTCCATAACTCGGAAAAATTTCTTTTGTAAGCTTTTCACTGCAAAATTTTCAAATCGCAGCCTCTCCCCTCTTAAAAAATGAACTAAAAAATCGCTGAAGTCAATATTTTCTAAAAAGAACGTTCTGTCCTTTAAACAAATTTTTCGATAGAATAAAATCTCAGAAAATGCTACATAACCTCTCGAAGGACATTTAATCTACCTCTTCACCTCACTTTTTTTTTCACTTTCAAGATGTTTTTCAAACTCAGAATTTTCCGTTGAACATTCTCCATTAATTATTTGATAACAATTTATTCCCATGATCTCCAAAAACGACAGAAAACATCTAAAGAATCAGCCGTGTATATTCAAGTTCTTCTTTTTTGTAACATCTTGTGGCAGCTTTGATGTTTCTATGGCCAATGAAAAGGGGTTCCAAGCAGAGGATCACGTTTATTTTTTGTTTGAAAACTCCCAACTTTCATTCTAGGAAGCTGAAGTAATGATTTTCTGTAATTGAAAGTATTTTTTAATTTCTCTTACCAAAAGATGATCATTATTCTTAACAGATTGGAAAACTTTGTGGTTGGGACTTTTCCTGAGAGTTGGTCAGAATGCTTCTCGATGTACCAGAGGAAGCCCCTGAAACCCCGAATTTGAATTCAAATGAACTTCCTTAAAGAATTCGCTCAAAATTTTTTTTCCTGAATGTCTAGTTATAGTCAATGTTTCCCGACTTGAAAGGCGAGGGAGGCGGGGCAAGGGGCGGGAGGCGTAGCGTGTGCGTTCGCGGTCCTTGGCACGTGTTCAATTCAACCGCCATCTACTCTTTAAAAAGCCCGTTTTTCGCTCTTTTCACTCCTTTTCAATTATTGATTGATTATGTTCAGGCGTGCATCAAAAAATAGTAGAAAATACAGGAAAAGTGCGGTTGACGAGCTTTTTAAATAGTCGGCGACAATTGAATTGAACTCGTGCCAAGAACCGCGAACGCACACGCTACGCGTCCCGCCCCTGGCCCCGCCTCCTTTGCCTTTCAAGTCGGGAAACAGTGACTATAAAGTTTCCTGAAAGCGCCCTACGAAAATTCAATTCTTTTTCCGAAGATCAGTCCTATTTATTTGTTAGTAAACGAGAACTTTGAAGTATGATGATTTCATATTTTGAAGATTACAGTTTTGAAAAATATCAATTTAGGCCTTCAAAGCGTTTTCCAAACTTTAATCGAATTTCTCAGAATATTTTTTGAAAATAAATCTTTAAAATGAAAAAATTCTGTCCTTAGAACTTAGAAAATAGTTAGAGCACAGAGACTTTCAGACTTAACACTGAAAAATCTTATTTCTTGAAGCTAGATAATTAAAAAGTAGCCAGATTTACTAACTAGGGAGCTACTCGAACTCGTAATCGCGGATCGAGTTCAAACTTTAGTGTTTATAGACCCGTAAAAATACTTGAAAACAAGTGAGAATATCTGCTAAACCCGGTAGAGAACTGAGAGAAAATTTGCAGAAAATGTGCAGATTGGGCCACTGTTTTTTACCTTATTTCATATTTAAATACAATCGTCTTGGATGATCCGGCTATGATAAACTCTAAAAAACTTTTCCAAACAAAGGTGAAAAGCAAAAATTTGATAATTTTCAAGCCTACACTGTTAATTTCCAAGAAGCTTTTTCTCAGAAGCCTATGAGGTTTAGCAGATAATCTCTCTTGTTTCCGAGTACTCTTACCCGGGTCCATAAGCCACCACAGTTTTAACTCGAAGCCGTGTACCAAATGCAACTGTGTCAGAAAAAGTTGTCGCAGCCGTCCGGTGCAGCTAAATGGCCGCCGGTGGATAATCGTCACTTGGCCGTGTTTTTATTCCCTCTTTTCCTTTTTTCTTACTAGGTCGACGCGCTTCAATTTCAACACGGCTCCTTCACACTTTTTTTGCGACTTTCGGATTCCTTTCACTCGTTTTTTTTGTTCCTTCGCTAGGTTGATGGTTCGAAACGGTATTCTCTGTTTTTGTGACCCCGAAAAAAAGGCGTCATAAAATGAAAGCTATCCCTATAGTTAACCTCGTTTTGTTCGTCTGGGAGTATTTTTTTTTTTCGAAAGATACTTAGGAACGCTAGTGGTCCCTAGAGGGGTTAAGGGGAAAAAACAAGGCGAAAAAATGCTTCACAGGACTTGAGTGGGGGGGGGGATCCTTATTCAGGAGCTCCAGTGGTCCTTATAGGAGTTAAGAGAAAAACAGGACAAAAAATGAAAAAATGCTCCCTTTAGGGGTAAAATTGAAGTGATCCCTTTAGGGGGCTTTTTGGTCCTACCCCTAACCTCCCAAAGCTCAAGTGGTCCCTATAGGGTCTTTTAATTTTCCGTTCAGATTTGAAAACTTGAAAAATGTATTTAATAAAACTTGATCGATTAATTTTTCTGTTAATATTTTTTTCCAATCCAAAAAAAGCTAATTTATCAAATTTTTTTCGCATGAAAGTGCTTCTTCATCACAACAATAATTGACAGCATTTCCCCTATAGGGGCCACTTTTGCAAGCTTCTTCTGGGGGGAGGTCATGTGGTTACTAGAGGGGAACCCCTATGAGCCCACTCTGCCGTTCCTAAGTAAGTTTGAGCTCCAATCGGTCCCAAACTTCCGAATTCCTTTCTATTCCGTTAAAACCGACCAGATGGAAAAAAGGTTTGCTGTTTTATCAAAATAATAAACTAGAAAACGGGAATTCTAATCAATTTACCATCATATCTGATGTCAAAAATATTTATTGTAAAAAATTGAATGGTACTCGTGACAAGAGGATCTACATGCCCTCCGAAACTGAGCTCAATAAGAAACTATGAAATTTTCAACTTTTGAGGGTCCATAACTTTTTTCACAAACCTCGGTGGCAGCTTTTGAGACCGGATTTGGAATCAGCATGAAAAACTACATCTAGAAAACATTCAGAAGTCCCACTGTGAGCTGAGACCATTCCCTGGTCAGATGGAGATTGAAATTTTTCACTAAACTATTTTTTTAAGTCTTAGTGTAAGACAAGATCAATACAAGACAACAGTCTTCTCTTTTTTTTCAACCGTGATCAAAGATTTAGAAGACGTTTAATCGAATTAGAAAAGCGAATCTTGTGAAGCTTGATTGCCGATTAAAACTGTCACCGGAACAATGGAGAGTTTTTTTTTTGAGATTTTGGGGTCTTAGAAATTATTTTAGCTTTTAGATCTTATTGAAATTGGAGTCATCCAGAGTTTTAAGATATATTGAACTTTTCGTAAAATTTCAATTTTGAAAAAAAAAATATTTCTGAGCTATGAAATTCCATTAGGAATCCGAGAAAACTGGCTTTTTCGCATTTTTCACATGCTTATTTTTCAAAAAGCGGCTTTCACAGCTTTGAGAGCTCATAACTTCTCTTAGAACCCTATTTCGGGGTTTTTTAGGCACATATTTGGAATCAGGATGAAAATCTGCACTTGGCGAGCCTTTAGGGGGAGTAAAAAACCGGTCGAACTAGCTTTTTGCAAAGCTTTGAGAGCTTATAACTTTTTTTAACCTTTGTTTTCGGTATTTATGAACAAATTTTTGGAATAAGGATGAAAATCTGCACTTGGTGAGCCTTTAGGGGACGTACAAAACCGGTCGAACCAGCTTTTTGCAAAGTTTTGAGAGCTTATAACTTTTTTCAACCTATTTTTTCGGTATTTTCGAGCACAGATTCGAAATCAGGGTAAAATTCTACATCTAATGAACCTAATTGGAGTCTGAATTTCCAGTCTGAATGTTCAGAATTCGCTCAACCTCATTATAAAAGCGAAACCTCCCAATAATTCCTACGATTAATACATTAATACACCGTAACCTGAGCCGTAAATCACGTGGGGGAAACGATCCTCTGGTCGGAAATCCAATTCCATTCGCATTTTCTCGAATCGGACCCCCCGATTTGACGACGGGGAGAGACCTTATCTGGCCGGTTGTTATGAAGCTTTCTTTTTGGGGGGAGAAGCTGGACTTCCGCGATTCCCCGGGACCCGCTGCTATCCGACTCGAATCTCGTTGCCAAACTTATTCAACTAGTCGTCTTTTTCCCCCTTGCTTCGATTCTATTTGTATCCTTGGCTGTTTCAGACCTCGGAAACTGACCTCGGCTTGAGAATATGTGGCTTTTGCTCGTCCTTGGCGCCTTTGCCGCCGTCGCGGATGCTCAGGTTCGATTTTTCAAGCATTATTGAAATTTTAGGTGTACTGGGAAAGTTTTCAGTGACCACTTTAGGGTCTGGACGTTTTTGTGGCCACTATAGTAATCGAATTAGTAATCCCACAAGTGACATAATTCAGTGAATCAACAAAAAAAAAATTGCATTCTGAGAAGATTTTTAGTGGCCACTTCAGGGTCTGGACGTTTCAGTAGCCACTATAGTAGCCGAATTAGAGACCACTTCAGGGATATTGAGGTTTAGTGGCCCCTATAGTAGCCGAATTAGTAATCCCACTAGTGACAAAATTCGGTGGATCAAAAAATTGCATTGCTGGGAAATTTTTCAGTGGCCACTTTAGGGTCTGAACGTTTCAGTAGCCAATATAGTAGTCGCATTAGTGGCCTCTTTAGGGTCTGGAAGTTTTAGTGGCCACTAAAGTACTCGAAATAGTGACCACTTAAGAGGCTGAAAGTTTGTGGATCAACAAAAAAAAAATACGTTACTGAGAAAAATTTTAATGGGCAATTTAGGGCCTGGACGTTTCAGTAGCCACTATAGTAGTTGAATTACTGGACACTTTAGGGTTATGACGGTTTAGTGGCCACTATAGTACTAGTAAAAAAATCTTACAAGTGGCAATATTTAGTGGGTCAACAAAAAATTGCTATACCGGTAAAATTTTCAATGGCCATTTTAGGGTTTTGACGGTTTAGTGGCCTTTCTAAAACTAGAATTAGTGACAACTCAAGTGGCAAAAAATAGTGGCCTTTTCAAAAGTCTTAAGCGACCACTAGAGTGTTCCCTATGTAAAATAATCTTGAAAAAGCTTTTGAGTATGAAAAAAATGACCTTCTATAATTTTTTCAAATTATTTCATGCAAATTATATCTTAATGTCGAAGAATCTATAAGTTTGTATTAAACTAGAAAAAAAATAGTGATGATTTTTCCTGGTAAAATTGTAGAATTATGGAAAATAAGCTTGAAAATGGAAGAGGCATATTATATCTGAAATCCGAAAAATCTATAATCATCCAGACTAGAGAAATGGTCCACCAATGGTTTATTATTTTTTGCAGATGGTAAATGTGACGATTTTCACTGAATCACAATGCCCATACTGCACACGACTACTCCGGGAACAAATTTGGCCGTTTTATGTTACCCGGCCGGGAATCATGAATTTGCAGGTGAATATTAAAAAATGTACCTTTTTCAGGTCAACTGTTCCATTTGTTTGCTTTATGAGACGAAATTTCAAAAAAGTAGAGAATTTCCATAAAAATGGTCCTGACGCGATCAGTGAGATAGTGTGAGGAAACGTGAGAGTAGGCAGTGTTTTTCAAATATTTTTGTTGGGACAAGTTTTATTGGAACTTAGTAATTTTTTGATTTTCTAATATATTATTTCATGAATGTTTTGGTTTAATCGTGCGTATAACATAGGCAATTTTTTTCGATTTTTTTCGAAAATTGTTCAAAAAATTTTGGGTCAATCTTGCGTAAAAGGAACTAAATTTTTTGTTTTTGTTTTTTAATTTTTTGTATAATTTTTGTGAAATCGGAACCCTAGACATAGTAAATATTTTTGATCTTTTTTTCTATTTTTTTAATTTTTTTGTGACAGGTATGTTTGGTAAATGTTCTGATTTTTTTCTTCCTCATTTTTTAGAAATTAATGATATCTCGCTGTTTTTGAACTTTTTGGGTCAAGTTTACTTGGAAAAGCTATGAATTTTTTTGATATTTTACTTACCAGGGAACGTTTTTTTACCCCTCCCCCTCGCCTTTAAAGTCGGAAAAAAATTGGCTATATTTGAAAAAAAATAATCCACAGAAACGATTTTTAGATCATCCCCTTTGGCAAAGGCGACTGTACCTACGATTACAACCGAAATTTCCACTGTACCTGTATGCATGGACCAACGGAATGCGACCTGAATCGACTCCAGAACTGCGCGATTTCGGTAAAAAAAAAAGTTTTTTTCAATGAGGAAAAGCTGGACGATTACAATACTTCCCGTTTCGCAGAAAGAAGAAAAGCTCAAAATTTTGTGAGGCAGGAATCCAAATATGAGAAGAAGACTACAGAAATTTGAAAAAAAAGGTCTCGAGACGCTGGGAAGTTTTTAAAGTTTTCACTCTAGAGGCTTCCCAAGAACTACTTGGAGAGGACACTAAAGTGGCCACTTTGGTGGTCAAAGAGTAGCACTTAAACCACTAAAGTGGCCACTAGTTTTTTAACCCCTTAAGTGGTCACTAGTTTGACTACTATAGTGGCCACTAAAGCGCCATAACCCTATAGTGGCCACTAAAAGTTGTCCCAGTTAAAAATATTTTTTTTCCAAGAAATTTCGAAGTTTGTAGACGTACCAAGGAGCGCGAGAGTGGCCCCTATAGGGCTTTTGATCACTAGTAATAGGATCATAAAGTTTTTTGCACCTACTTAAAATTTTTGTCCCTCGAGGGACCGTTAGAATGATCCCCTATAAGAGCTACTAACTAAAACCCCTTTAGGGATCACTAGATTGCCTCTTTGGGAGCCACAATAGAGCCTTAGTGTTTTTGGGGAAGGTCGTCCCTTAAGTGGAAACTACAAAAGTCCTCAAGGTTTCCACTCTAGTGACCACTCTAGCGCTTCTAAGCTTCAGAAAGTAGCCATTTTTGCCGGAATGAATCTTTTTCAAAGCTTTAGGACCCTTAATTTTACTTTTTTGCTCGATTTTGAGCTCATCCAAGTCTTTTCCAGTACTTTCCACGACGACACCTCGGCCTGGTGACGTGTCTTCAAGGTCTGACGTCACTCCGGGAAGGATTCGCCAGATGTCTCAGCCGATTGTCGCCGAACACTCAGCGGTTTATTAAAAATCAGAAATAGTCCATAATGATTCTGGAATTCTCAGAAAGCTGATCGAATGCGCGACGACGCAAACCGGCGAACTTCTCAATTATTATTCCATGGTCAACACTCATAGGGCCGGTGTTCGGGTGAGTTTCAAAGGAATTGAAGAGAAATTTCGGAAAAATTTACTTGGGAACGCCGTAGGGGTCCCTAGAGCGGCCACTTGAGATCCCACCCAAGAAATAACCTAACTTAGGAACTCCAGAGTGGTCCCTATTGGGGCCCTTGAAGAGTCTCCTCTAAAGATCAAATCACCAATCCCTATAGGGACCACCAAAGCTTGCAAAAGTGGTCCCTATTGGGGGAAACTTTAGGGGCCCTTGATGATTACCCTCTGGGAACCGTTTTACCAACCCCTAAAGGGACCACTAAAGCTTGCGAAAGTGGTCCCTATAGGGGGCATGCTAGTCGATAATTTTTATGAACTCTAAGCGAAGAAGCATTGTCATGAGAAAAACTGAAAAAATAGGCGTTTCTGAATGAGATTTAGAGACCCCTCTAGGGTCCACTTGAGCTTCAGCGGCTAAAGAGTCTGACCCTAAACCCCTATAGGGACCACCTTCATTTTACCCCTATGGGGACCACTTTTTCGACCACTGTAGGGACCAATTTTTCGAAACCTGTAAAGGTTGTTTTTCTCCTCAACCCCTTTAGGGACCATTCTGGAATTCCGAATTACCTCCCTTTATAGGGGTCACTGAAGTTTACGAAGTGGCCACTCAAGGGAAGCATGCTAGTCATTTACTTTTTATGAACTTTTTTTAAATACGTCTTTTTCATTTTTTTGAAATCTGAAAAAAATATTTCTCTAGGGGCTACTTGAGCTTCAGGAGTGAATCTTATTTTTTTAAAAAAATTTTTTTGAAAAAAATGTTGAAAATATTAAAAAAATTACTTTTTCGGCTCTAAAAAGGAACGCTTTCTCGAACTCTATCTTTATGACAGCTCTTTGACCATTTTTACGTCTTTACAAGTAAGTTTGGAACAATTTCTCAACCTTGAAAAACTTTTTGTTCATGCTATAAACCTATTCTCTGCAACTTGCAGCGAAATGAGTGGTTTAATTCCAATCGTAAAAAAAAGTGTTTTGAATTGGATTTTTGTGTTCTGTTTTATGAACTCTGATTTTGGAGAGAAAATCAAAATATGGGGTTCGATTTGAATTTAATTTCAAGATTTTTTTGTATTTTTTTAAAAAAATCTTTTCGAAGAAAAATTAGCATATAAAAACTTTTTTACGACTTCTTTTTTTGAATCTAACTTTATTGTATCCTTTTAAAATTTGGCAGTTACGGCTTTATGCTCACATTTGAAATGGCTCAAAGCGCCGCGGATGCGTTTTGGTTGATTGGAAGTTGTGTCCGACTCAAAACGACTTGCGCGTAGGGATATCTGAAAGCTTTAGAGTCAGCTGGCAAGAAAGACAGTACCGCGAAGCGACTTCGAGCCATTCCAAATGCGACCAGGCCATTTTCAAAGATTTGTATCTTCCAAAACGACTTTTAACCTTCTGTTTGCATGGGGAGTGGCTCAAAGCGATACCGTTAAAGTTTTTTTTTTAATTTTGTGAAAGGCGCAAGTTGCTTTGGGTCGGGCGCACTTTTATAGTATCTTCTCTGCATCCGTCTGGAGTTGAGCCATTCTCCATGCGACCATTGTTTTTTTTAATAGTGGGGAAAAGTTTATCAACTGGAATTCGTATAAAAATTGGAATTTTTGTCTACAGGCTAAAATTCGTATAAAAAATGGAATTTTCAGTCTGGAGATTGAAATTTTTAGGCTAGAATCCAAATAGTCCTGATTTGATCTTAAATTCAAAACCAGGAGTTCGAAATGATTTTCCAATTCAGATCTGGCCGACGATGTATGTCAACGGAATTTTCTTCGACCGAAGCTACCCAGTGGAGACGAAACTCTGCGAACACACTAACTGGTGCTGATCTCCCGTAACTTCAACATTTTCAATTTTTCATTGAAAAAAAAAACAAATGGTACATATCTTTTCCCTCTCTGCCTTTATTTGTGTCTCATCGTTGACCTCAATCTCTTCTCCTTCTCCATTTTTTTTGCTCATCAAGAAAATAAATATTAATTTATTTGTTCATTTCTTCGATATTATTGCCAGGCCGATGGCTGCCCCGATTGCAGTAACTATGAGTTGTTCGCTGATCGAAAATTCGTAAAATGTCGACAACGGATAGAATAATTCCTTCCAGCAGCTGACTTCGGAAGGGCAGTGGAATCGGCCTCGTTTCCGGTCGAATCTGGAAAATTTTCAGGTTTTTTTTGTTTTTGAACAAGATTTTTGAAGGTTTTGACGAAATATTGCGAAAATTACAACCCCTAAACTTGAAAAGAATTTGATTTTTTTGTAGTTTGAAAAGTTTCGCTTTTGCGCGTCCTTTTTAATGCATCGTGTGCATTGCGTACTACGCATTTTATTTTCCGTTTTTTTTTGACGTACTTGGTAACGCCAGAGTGGTCCCTATAGGCCTTAGGGAGAAAAAAGCTCATATAAGCGACAGGAGTGACCCCTTTAGGGCTATAGGAGTTTAGAGTTGAACCCCTGAGCCCCTGAAGCTTAAGTGGTCCCTATAGGGGTCTTTTAATTTTTGCCCTGATTTCAAAGTTAAAAAGGCGTAGAAGACACTCTAGCAAGCTCCCCTAAAGGGATTGCTAACCTAAAATCCCTACAGGGGAACCTTTTGCCAACTTTAGCGTGAGGGTCAGGTAAAGTAGTCCCTAGAGGGAACCTTCAAGTACCCCTAAGGGATCACTCTGGCGTTGATTCGAGTTTTACCTTTTTTTGAATAGTTCTCTCTTGATTTTTTTCACAAAAGTTTCAGAAAAAAGAATTAAGTAGATTATCTATCCTCCTTCAGAAATTTCAGCAAAAATTTTTTTGAAAAAAAGATAAGAAATTTAAAACTGACTCTGTCGTGGCGCGACGATCATCGGTCGGATAAAAAAATGACATTTTTTCTCAAAAGTAGGGGTTTTTCGATTTCTTCCAATGGTTCCCAGTCAACACTGAAATCTTTGATTTTAACTTGACCCTTTAAAAAAATTCAAATCAAACTCACCTAACCACAAAAGCTGTGATAAATCCTTGAATATGACTGATTCGAAAGGTTGAAGATGTAGGAACTAGACAAGTCTCGTTGGATTTTTCCGTTCCAAGGTTTTCACTGAAATTTTGAACTATTTTCCGGGGTTACGGTATACGAAAGTCCGCATTTGGAGTGTGCACTTTGCGTGTTTGCACGAAATGTGTGTTTTCCAGTTTTTTATCTAGATTTTATCGGAGAATTGACATAAACTATTCATTCTGAATTTTAAAAAAAAACGGAAAATTTCAGAGTAAAATGAGAAAACTGTGCAAAAACGCAAAGTGTACTCGAGAAACATACAGTACTCTTTGCAAAAGGAAAAATTGCTCTTTTCGCATTATCAAAGTGTGAAAGTTTTGAGAATAAACTTACAAAATAACTGGAATCTGGCAAGTGTCACAGTTGCAGACAAAAGTTGAATTACCAGGAATAGTGAGTAGTTTTAGTAAATTTGTAGAAATTTGATCGCAGGTCTGAAAGTTGGAATGAAAAATAAAATTCACTTAGGTATTCCAGAGTGATCTCTATAGGAGCTAGGAATGAAAACAGCCTCTATAGGGTAAATTTAAGTGATCCCTATAGGGTTTTGGGTCTGGATCCTAAGCCCCTAAAGCTTAGAGAGCTTTCATAGGGTGCATTCAAAATTCTGTTGATTTTAATATTAAAAGACAATTTCACAAAAACTCGATCGCTTGATCCAATATTGATAATTTTTCATTCAAAAATGCCCATTTTTTTGATTTTTCTCATGGAAACGCTTCTTCTCATAAAGTCCACAACAATCATTGACTAAAAGTCCCTATAGGGACCACTTTTGCAAGCTTTAGAAGCCTTCAAGAGCCCTCTCAAAGTTACTCCTTTAGGGACCACTCTGGAGTCTCTAAATAGAAAACCTCTGATTTATCAATTTCAACTCGACATGAAGAAGTTGAATTCAATCCGTATAAGAGGTCCATGTTGCAGCCTAAATTTTAGTTATTTTTGAAGAGAAGGTTGGGATTTTTTAAATAAATAGGTAAAACGGAAAAGTTCCTTTGAGGACCCTCAGAAGGGGCTGAAAAGGTTCCGATAAAAGCTCCTAAAATTTCTTGGAAACAGTCTTTTGAGCTCCTATGTAAGCTACTGAACCTCAGAGGATCCCTCCTGAATCTCCTAGGATTTTTTGGTTACCTTCCAACTTTGTTACATTGAAGGATGTCGAAAAAATCGGACGTGCTATGAAAGGACCCTTCAAAAATCTTTTCTTGAAAGAACCCTTGAGAAGCTTTTCCGTTTTGCCCGAGTACCTGGCGTTTCCATCGGTTGCAAGTTTCCCTCGGAAAAGCTGATTTTATCACCAATCGAATAAATTGAGCAATTCCAAGGGTTCGGCTCTCCGAAAATTATTTTTTGAATCAGGATTGATGGGATCTGAAATTCATTATTTCACTTCTGGAGCTTTCTAGAGCTTCTGAATGATTATGTAAAGGTATTTTAAGCTGATCCCAAATCTGAGCTCTGGAAGTCTTTGAAAGAGTAACTTAAGAACCCCAGAGAGGTCCCTAGAGGGCCTGGGCGAAAAATAGCCCCTTGAGGGGGCAGAAAATGCTCCTTTTAAGGCTTTGGACTTTCTTTAAAGATTTGCAAGATAAAATAACACTAGACGACATATTGCAAGCTTTCGCGGCCCCTTGAAAGAGGGGAAAGTGGTCACTAGAGAGAAACCTTCAAGGGCTCCTTTAGGGACCCCTCTAGGGTTCCTAAGAATGGGCGGGTGAACTTCAAAATTTATTTCTAATCTTGAAAATTTTGCGAGAAGTCTTTTTTTATTTTTTGAAACAAGTCCTATTTTAACTTCGAGCTTTCTTTTCAAAGTCTATTGCACAAGTTTTTAAAGCAGAGATTTAGAATCGGCGTGAAAAACTGAATCTGATGATACGAGTTTCATATCAAGGCAAAAAATTTGTACCTCATAATTATTCAAAGAAAAATGAAGCTCCCCGGACACATTCCGAACTTGTGAAATCACGTTGTTGCAGTTTGATCCTTCTATTTTCCCTGGAAAATTTATCGAATCTTCAAAAATTTTCCTCTGAAACTTACAGGCTAGCGCATTCAACAACCCTTCCATTGAAATCACAGGTGATGTTCTCGAAAATATTTTCATTCCAACTCAAAATCGAAAATTGCGATCTTTCAGTACAATTTTCTTGTGTTAATCTCGCAACACAGTAGTTTTCGCCTTGATTGATACATTTCCAAGGCTTTTTCCTGAAATTTTTGCTGAAAATGCGTTGAAAAAAAGTTCGGAAAACCTCTCAAACGATAGTGTTGTCACTGGCGGTGGTAATTTATCATCAAACGGCTCAATTTCGTGGGTTTCATTGAAATAATCGTTGTAATATGTGACCAGAAGCGTCGGGAAACCCTCCAACAACGGCCAATGGGTCAAATCTTAACTCTCATAGTTTTAATAAAAAAAGCAAATTTAAAAAGATTACGGCAGATCTATTGGTATTTCCCAATTTTTGAAGAAATTACAGCAAAGAATGTACAGCAAAGTCGTGAGAATCGCTGTTGTAGGTATATACATTGATAGAATAAGTGTTTATGCTTATTTATTCCTCGTGATTCCTTCGATTTCCGATTCGTCTTGTTGCCATGGTGAAAAAGGTTGACCTCGCCGAAAAAGGAAACTGCGCTCCATCGAGAACGTCGGCCGCAACGCCATTTTCGCGGCGGGGGTCGCCTTTTCGAAATTTGGCTGTTTTATGTTTGTATCGTTTGATTTCTGATGTTTTTGGATACCGTTTTGTCATTTTAATTTCACAGATAGTATGTACAGGTAATAGAAAGCTCGGTAACTTGATAGTTTTTGGGATTTTGTCCATTTTTGCACGTTTTTCATGATGCGAGAAAATCAATTTTTAAAGTTTTCTTCTTCTCAGCGGAGTTTTCTTTTTGCTTTATTTTTGATGTCAAATCATTTGAATAGGAATTCCATGTTTCTACCGTTCATGGTGGAAATGGTGATATTATTTATTTCTTCCCTTGTTCTTCATGAAGAAAAATTGAAAAGTCCTGATCAAAATTTCTGTTCACTAATTTTTTTCTGTGTTGATTGCTTCATGGATTTGTGTTCCAAATTGCAATTTTCGAAAAGATAGAAGTTTTTACAATGTGATGCTTCACAATTATAGGCTTTTTGAGTTTCTATTATTTTGTCTCAGTTTTTTTATACTTGTCAAAAAGTATAGTACCATTAAAGTTCATCTTTCATGTTCAAACCCATTCAATGAATAGCTGAAGTTACTTAGAAGAAAAAAATACGAAAAAAATGTTTCGGAGCCACTTTTCCATTTTCCTCATTCAAGTCGTGATCACTTCTGTCTTCATGTAAAAATTTTTTTCGTCAGTAGATTTGTGCGTATCTATTGAAGATAACTGTTTTTTATTACTTAATTTGCAGAAATGTCTAAAACACTTGCCCAAACGTATGGGCCGAGGCCGCAGTCGTTCTCAATGGACGACTCTGGAGAAAAGTTCTACATTGGTAGGAGATTCATATTAAAAGGGGGAATATACAGAAAAAAAATTTAGGATCCGAAATAGGAGCCTACCTGAGGCTCCACAGAGGTACTCTGTACAAAAAGTACCCGCTACTCTGGCGCAAAGTCGCGACGCCCGAAGACAAGGACAAATTGAAGCAAATCGCCCTTTCCAACGCGTTCCTTCACACGAATATCATGTAGTTTTTTCAAGATGGGAAAATGAATCGAAATAAACTTTTCCAGGTTGATAAAAGCAGTGGAAGTTGACGACCTTCTCGATGGAAACGAGGAGAAATATCGGGCGGCTGGCTCCGCGCCAGCCACTCCTCGTGTAGATAACGGGAATAAAAACCCCATCAAAGCCTTGAACAGCTCCTGGGCTGGACAACAGGTCTCGGCACGATTCTTTAGAATTTTCGAGTTTGGCGATCCAAACCGATTGCTGAGGACTTTGAAAGACATTTTTTCCTAGGAAAGCTCAAAAAATGTTGACTTTATGCCGCGAAAAATTGAAAAAAATAAGAATGCGTCAAAATGAAATTTTCTATTTTGATGTAATTCAATTTACGAAATTTCTTAATTTCGCGATATTTCTTGTTGCTAAATTCAAGGAGAATTGGAATTTTTCTGCTTATCACCTCTAGATCTTTACACTGGATCAATTTTTCTTTTTTTTATCTAATTTTTTTCAAGTTTCAATTTTGTAATTAAAGGCGCATAGGTTACTGTCAAGAAAGTATCTCGGCGTAGGACCATTTCCAGTGTATTTTCCAGAAATATGAAGGCATTCGTGCTTAGAAGCACCCTAGGGTGTTTAAAATGACAAAAAATGTTTTAAAATAATTCATCATGAAAATTCGGTTATTAGTGAACTTTCATCATGTTTAAATTATTTTCGGCGATTTCAAATTGACGTGTTTTCGTTTAAAAGGGGATACGCGAAATTGTGTATTTTGAGAGAAAAAATATGTATTACAACGAGATGGCGAAATATTAGCGCGATTTTGAAAATTTGTTGAAATCTTCTCATTCAACTAAAAATTCGGTGTTTCTCACGTAAAATTCGTTTTTTCGCTGTAGGACCCAAATTTTCTCCCGAAATGGCAATCTCGCGAAATTATTGAATACGTCGTCAATTTTGAAATGGCCAAGAAAACTGACAGAAATATTCGTTTTTTTTTTCATCAGGAAAGTTCGGTAATAAGTTGATTTTCATCAAAAGTTGTAGTGGTTCGGTAAACTCAAATTTTCTTTAAAAAAAAAAATAGGAAACTGTGAAAAATGAACGAGTTTTATAGGTAACAAGCGGTTCACATCATTTGGAATCCGTCCCCTGCTCTTGTCCAAATGCTCATGCTCGTGGACGAGTGAAACCAAGGGAATTGGCCTATTCTGCAGAGGATCTGGAGATGGCCAGGAGGTTTAGTGAAAATAAAACCTTGAAAAAAAACCTACAAAACTTGTAGAGTTGCTGAAAATGCAGATGAACCAGAGGATTTGGTGCCCATTCGGTTGGACATGGAACTCGACGGAATCAAATTGCGAGACACGTTTTGCTACAACCGACATGAGAAGCTAATCACACCGGAAATGGTAGGGATCGTGGAAATTGAAAAAAAAATGAAAAAAATTATCTCTGACTCTACAATATTTAGTTATCTTTTCCACTATCTGACGGCTTTTTTTGAATTTCGCGGAATTATTTGAAGCATATAGTTTAGAATTTTTGATTTTAGGCTGTCTTTTTAAGCATTTTAATCTGGAAAATAAAGTTTTTAATCCAAAATTATAAATTTAAGATTCAGAAATGGCATGCTGGAAATATCGGTTTTCGCTATTTTTTTAAGTTTTTTTGATATTTTTCAGAAGTTGTTGAAAGTTTCGAAGTACTATTTTTCTCCTATTTTTGACCCATTTTTTTGAAGTTTTTAAAAAAATTTTGATCATTAATGTTTAAAAAAATCTCTTCTCCGGATTTTTTTCGATTTTTTTCGATTTTTTTGCCGATTTCTATTTCACGACAAAAAAACTTATATCTAAATTCAGTCAAAAAAATCACAAAATATCCTTCTAGGGCGACCAATATTTTTATTTTTTTGAAACTTTCAAACGAATCAGAATCGAGAATTTCATGCATTTTTAAGACGTAAAAAAATTTTGAACTAACAAAAAAATCAGAAAATTTTAAAAAAATTGGCCACTATTAAAAACCGACCTACTTTTTTTAGTTCTACACAATCGATTGAAGGGTTTAGATAAACTTGGGAAAAATCTCGAATGCTGAGCAGCGTAACCCAGCCGTGCTAACACGGGGTCTCCGCGGGTGCCTCCGTTCTAAACCCGTATAAGCACAGTTGGTAGAACTTTTGGCAATTTTTAGCTCAGCTGGGTTACATATTTTTCTTACACCGGTTTTACCCCCGTTTTAGCCCAACTGAGACTAAAATAACCTCAGAAACACTGGTTTAATACAGGTACACCCGTTGAGACACCTGCTCAGCATGCGAGATGGAAGATTCTTGAAAAGTAAGATTGATTTTTAGGTGGCGGAGATCATGTGCGACGACCTGGACCTCCCAACGACGACTTTCCAGCCGGCGATCGCCGCCGCGATCTACCAGCAACTGGAGGCGGCGACTGAAGCCCCGCCCCTGGATCACAATATTTTGGACCAAAGGGCCGTCTTGAAACTCAATATCAATGTCGGCAACCAGTCTCTCGTCGATCAGTTTGAGTGAGTGGGAAAAAAATTATTAAAAAAATTCCCCTTTTCTCCATTTTTTTATTCAATGAGTAAGGATCGATTTGAAATCTGAAGTTACCTTAATTTAAATGAAAAAAATTTTTGAAAAAAACCAAAAAAAATTTTCGGAAAAAAACCTTCCCGTCGAATGTGCGTTTCTAGCTCGATATGAATATTTAGAGTTATACTTTTTCAATGATTTGAGCCATCTGACGAGTTTAATTTCCCATAGCAGAGTTTGATATCAACTAGGCATTATAAGAATTTATTCTGAAGTTTTTATTTTTTTCCGGGTTAAAATATTGTGGATTGATGTTTATGGCGCTTGAGAAAGTTTCATTGGAAAAAAAAGCTTGATTTCACTTGAAAAAGCAAAAAAAAAAGAGAAAACCCTCCAAAAATATTTTCTAGTAGTTTTCCTAGAGGTTGATCTGGACTTGAATGAGTTCGAAAAGATTAAAAAAGCCAGAACCTTTGAAAAAAATGGCTTTTTGATTTCGATTTTTTGTTTTTGTTTTTTTATATGAAATTCTTCTATGTGGAACATGAGTTTATTAAGGAAGGAGTTTAAAGAAAAAAATGGCCAGAAACTTCAAAAAAATAGCTTTTTAGTGTCTCGATTTTTCCCTAAGTGGATAGGAGTGATTAAAGAATAACTTTAAAGAAAAAAAAAATTAGGCTGGAAGTTTAAAAATAGCCTTTCATCCGTTTTTCTACTCTATTTTTAGAAAAAGATCTCATTTTTTTAGGTGAGACATGAGTCATTAAGGAACGAGTTGAAGTTGAAACATGACCAGAAGTTTTAAAAAAATAGTTTTCAACTTTTTTTCTCCCTCAATTTTAATATGAAACTTCACACTCCAACCTTTTTAACCCAAAAAAGGTATATTGAAGTCATTTTTCTAGGTGGGACATGTCGGACCCGAACAATTCGCCCGAAGAATTCGCAAGGAATCTCTGCACCGAACTTGGCTTGGGCGGAGAGTTCGCCTCTGGGATCGCCTATTCGATCCGAGGACAACTTCAGTGGAACCAGAGAACCTACGCGTTCTCGGAAAGCCCCTTGGCCACTGTTGAATGCTCTTTCCGGTGATTCCCAATAGGAAAATTAATTTTTCAACGAAATTTTCCAGAAATCCGACGGAAGTCGAGGCCTGGGGTCCATTTTTGGAAACCTTGACCGACGCGGAAATCGAGAAAAAGATGCGGGACCAGGACCGAAATACGCGCCGAATGCGGCGGCTCGTCGGCGGAGGATTCAACTATTAATAATCTCATTTTTTGATCTCTTTTAACTTATTCTTGTTCAATATTTTTTTCGCGTCTTTTTGTCGTTTTTTTCTGCTCTTGTTTGAGGTTGTAGGTATGAGATTTTGAGGTTCTTTTAATGGGGTTTGAGAAAGAAAAAAATTCAATTTTTTTGATATTTTTAATCAACAACTATTGAGCTTTTTCGCACCTTTTTCCGAGATTTTCGAGTTCTGTGCGCATTTGAAGCATTGAAAACAGTCCGAAAAGCGATTTTTGCTCGAAAAAAGTCGACAGAAGCGTCTAAACCTCCTCTTTTTGCACGCTATTTCGTTGATCGCTTCAAGATCTTTTTTATAGTTCTCCCAAGCCAGCGGACTCTATTAAATTGTAGGATTTTCAAAAGTTCTTGCGATTTCTGTTCTTAAACTCATTAAGGAACCCCAAAATGTCACATTTACGTCTCATAACACGTGGCGGACGATTCTTTGTAAATAGAATAAATAAAACCAACAACCAAAAAAAAAATTGCAGATCATGTCGGACACTGTTGATGACGTCGAGATGTCTGATGTCGGCGCGGGAGCCGCGAAATCCAAGGGCCGAGGCGTCGGACAACAGAAAAACCGCGAGCGGATCACCTACGACGTCATGGAGGAGGACACGGATTCGGGAGCCGCCGCGGCCACCAACGGCGCCCCACAGAGATCTGTTGAGGTGCTTTCTTGGGAAAAATTGAAAGCTTCGGAATCATCTCTTAAGCAGAAATATTCATTTTAAGGAAGAAGGTGTCATTTTCAAGGCATCTGAAACTCTGCAAATTACATTGAAACCGCTTTAGAACACCCGTAGTCCATTCCGCGCCAGCTTGACACGATTTTTCATTTTCCTCCCAGCTACAGAACCCTTCCCTCCGAAATGCTCTGGCTGTTTCTGATCATGCGCCTTTAATATACCTGAACTTTTCGGCCTAAACTTCAGGCTCATGCACTGAAACCAACCGCGTAATTTGAAAAGAGGTTATAGTCTGTTCAGATTTTGAATGTCAAGTAGAATGACGTCATTCGAAAACGCTCTGTGGGTGGCTCGCTATCTGATTTGTTTATCGCGCCGTTAGGGGCGGGGCTTCAGAGAGGACTTAACATTCGAAATCTGAGACTATATGTAGCTCTGAGGAAATGTAATGGTACAAGGCGGGTTAAAGTCCTTTTCGAAACGCACGGGCTGTATCTGAGCATGCGCCTTCAATATAAAAACTTTCAAATCGAAAACGCATGCCTCGCAGAAACGGGTTTTGTAGCTCGGATGAAAAACAAATTTTGTTGTAAGCTGGCGAGTATTGAGCTACACTCTGTTATATGAAAAAGGCGGTTCCGATTGACCCAAACTGAAATTAAAATATAGAAATTCGGGCAAAACCAGGGAGAAGTTGTCGAAATTTTGAGCGGTTCCGAAACTATCTTCTCCAATTTTCAAGCGGAAAAACGAGAAATTCAATTTTTTGGTTTCAGGGCTGGATCGTGTTCGTGACGGGAATCCACGAGGAGGCGACGGAAGACGACGTACACGACAAGTTCTCCGACTACGGAGAGATCCGGAATCTTCACCTGAATTTGGACCGTCGTACTGGTTTCCTCAAGGGATACGCTCTCGTCGAGTACAGCACGCAAAAAGTGAGAAAAAATGGTTCATAAAAGAAAAATTAAAGTCTCTTAAAGACACGGGGAAAAAACCGACTTCAGGAGTATATCAGAAGTTACTTTCAAAATTGTTCCTAGATCAACGGGAAAAGTCTAAGGGGCCTTGAAAGAAGAAAAAAGGTTTTTAGGTTTCAAAATAGATGGGAATAAAAATTCTTTTGTAGGCGTTTTTAAGAAAAATGACCTTTTAACGCCTTTTTGGGAACTTTCTTCTTTTCAAGACCTTTTTTTCTTCTTAAAAAGGATTTTTCCGATAAAAAGACAGGTTAAGTTGCTTCAGAAAAGACACAAGCAAATTCTTTGATCACAATTTTCTTGTATGTAGTTTAATCTTTCTCAAAAATTTTGAAATTGTGTTGACGGATGTTTTTGAAACTCTGGTGAGACTTCAGTAGGAAAAACGCCGCTTCAGAAAATTTCAGAGAAGTTTGAAAAAGAAAAATGAATTTTTCATATATTTTTGGAAGGCTTTTTTTAAAGAGATTTTTTTAAAAAACTTCCTTTGGACTTTCCTTGTGATTATGATACATTTTTCTAGAATCATCTATTCAATCTTTGTCAACTTTGCAGGAAGCGACGGCGGCGATCGAAGCCCTGAACGGCGCTGATCTTCTGGGCCAGCAGATCCAGGTCGACTGGTGCTTCGTCAAGGGCAAGAAGTCCTCGGGCCGACGCTGAACTCTCCAAAAAACCCCTCCGAATCGTTGTTGTTGTTGATCCTCATACGTCTTGAACTTTATTGGGTTGTATCTCTGCCCCCTTCACTATTTTTTGATGTTATTATTTATTCTCAATTATTCTCCCCCAAACGTTTTATCGTCCTTTACTCTGCAAAATAAATGTCTTCTTAAAGGATTTTTGTCGGATTATTGATTTTTCTTTGCGTGTAATGCGTTAACATACCAATTTTGAAAAGGTTTTGAAATGAGATTTATTGAAACAGGTGATTTTTGAAGTTGGATTACAATTTTTCCAGCAAATCATTTTTTTCAAAAATGTTACAAATCACACGCTACTTGTTTAATTTGAAGTCGTTTATTTTTACTTATCAAGGTTAATTTAGAAATTTCCTTCTTGTTCAATGAATCTTATATAAGTTTTATAAAGGCATCGAGGTGGAGAACCATATTTGAAAGCAATTCAGGAATTTTTACTGATTCTGAACCCTCGGACAAGTATTTTAAAATATGAAATCGTCTGAAAAATCATTTTTGAATAGAATAGTTTTTTCTTCAAAAAAAAAGTTAAGAGAGATAAGCTCAAAATTGCGCGGTCCGTTTCGGAACCATTACATTTTTTTCCTTTTTTTGCAATTTTTTTAAAAAAATTTCTCTAGGGATAATCAGGTCTAATTAAGTACGGAAATTTTTTTCTTATCAAAAAAATCGTTCTAAACTAAAGTTCCGTCCGAAAATATGCTTTTTTTGAATTTCAGTTCGTAGAGAAAAAAACGCAGCCTAATAATAATATTCATCTACAGGCGGAACAAAATAACATGTACGAGAATAATGCTGAAAAAGATAAAAAATTGGCAATGAAGCCTGAAATAAATAAATAAAAGGCGATTGAGGCTCTCACAGCTTGGAAAGTTTTAAGAAGATTGAGCTCCATACAAGGAAGTTATGAGAAAAAAACTTTATCGTATCTTTTCCGACTGTACTGTGCCCACTCGCAAAGCCGTAGAATCATGGAAAATTGACGGTTTCTTTGTTTTTTCTACACCGAACGACCGGTCGTTGGAACATGCGTATCTTTTTCACTTTAAAACAAAATACAGCACGTGAATCATCATAATTCCATACGTCAAATTCCCAAACATCTCATTACGAGTCGGCCTCCAGATGCTGCGAAGTGCTCTGTCTTCGGTGGCCCGTGTCACCTCCGCCTCAACTGTCCGACAGTTGAGCCGCAGCAACGTCCTCTACGGTTTGAGGCCTCTCGGCCCCAAATCCAAGATCCCCGACTTCAAGGGAACCGCCGTCGTCGATGGAGACTTCAAGGTCTAGTTTTGGAATGATGAATTTTTAAGCTTGAAGAAAGATTTCTAGACGTTTTGATTAGTATTTGATGAATTTCTTCCGTTTGCTTGAGAATTCAACGAAAAAGGAGCGATTTTTCCTTGTTTAGTGGCTCTTGGGGCGTTCCAGAAGCAATTTTTGTGCGATTTCAATTTTTTTTTCGATCGATCTTTGGCGTTTTTCTGATTTTTAGATGATAGGAAAACCGAAAAAGCCCTTTTGAGGACCCTCAAAATCAGCTGTAAAACTAAAATAACCCAAAAAAATTTTTGAGCTCTTTTTTGAATCACTTGGAATTTTTTTATAGTTGCTTTCCGGTATATTTTTTTAACAAAGGATGAGAAAATTTAAAAGAAAAAAGCGTAAATTTCAAGAGAAATTCTTACCAAATTGCAAATTTTTCGTCTTTTAAAGCCCCAATGATACCTTCTTCATGCCGTTTCTAAAATAGCCGTCAGAGAGTGAGAAAGATCACTAAATTTTGGAGAGTTAGAGATATTTTTGAACTTTTTCATTCACTTTGAAAACGGCTAGAAATTTCGAAATCCCCGAAAAATCAATATCAACTCTCCAGGCGATCTCCGCGGCCGACTACAAGGGAAAATGGCTGGTGATGTTCTTCTACCCGCTGGACTTCACGTTCGTCTGCCCCACGGAGATCATCGCGTTCGGTGACCGGGCGGCCGAGTTCCGCAAGCTCGACGCGGAAGTCGTTGCGTGCTCCTGCGACTCGCACTTCTCCCACCTCGCCTGGACGAACACCCCGCGCAAGGACGGCGGCCTCGGCGAGATGGGCATCCCCCTGCTGGCCGACTTCAGCAAGAAAATCGCCCAGGACTTTGGTGTCCTCGACGATGTGAGTGGGAATCCCCTAGAGTGGTCCCTATAGGGCCTTTGAAGGTCCCCCCTTAAGAGGCCACTCTGTCGTTCCTAAGTTATATGAATGGATACATCCTCGGTTTCTGGGAAAATTTTTAGTGAGGGTTTGGACGTTTAAGTGACCACTATAGTGGTCGAACAAGTGGCGAATCAACGTACTAAAATTGAGAGGCCTCATTAGAAGTCAAGAAACACTAAAAACTACTACAGGGGCCACTAAGAGGAAAATTAGAGGCGTTTTAGTGTCCTCTCCAAGTGCTCCTTGAGGAACTTCTTAAGGGAGCACTACAGTCTTTCCTAGTTGAACATGAAACATTTAAAGTCACAGACACTAGAAACGCACTGAAATCACTTGAGTGATCACTTAAGGGATCAAAACCTCTCCACTCCCCTCCACTCAGCGTAAATTTTGATTTTCCAATAAATTTTTGTTTTTATACTCTTGAAAAATCATTAAATTTGAACGCTAAAAAGCAATAAACAAAAAAACTTTCAAATCATTTCTACCGGATTCAAAACAGCCGTCAGAAAGATAACTAAATTTTGGAAATTCAGAGATAAATTTTATTTCGCGCAAGTTATATGGAAAATGTTCAAAAAAGGGATTTTGAATATCTCAAGCCGTATTCAAATTAATTTCGGCGGTTTCAAAAGTAGCGAATTTTCTGTTCTAAACTATTTATCGAGTTACGCGAAATTTTAATTTCCGGGAACTGTTGTAAAAATGGGTCATACAGCGGAATAGCAAATTTGATTGTTTGTTTGGGCATTTTTCAATCATAGAATGAGGTTTTTTCTCATAACTGCCGATGTTCCAACTTGTGTATTTTGCGATAAAGTTTTGAAATTGCCGAAGTTTTCCCATCTCTGGCCCATAAGCCCCTAAGTGATCGCTTTTTCCAGGAGTCCGGCCTGTCCTACCGCGGACTTTTCCTCATCGACCCAACTGGTCAGATCCGCCACGTGACGGTCAACGACCTGCCCGTCGGCCGATCCGTCGACGAGACTCTTCGTGTCCTCAAGGCCTTCCAGTTTGTCGACAAGCACGGAGAGGTCGGTTTTTGGGTGCAACGAAAATTTTGAAGGAAAAAAAGGAAAAGACGCGTCGAAATTTTGAAGTTTTCACATTGTTAGAGGCTTCCTTTTGAATCGGGTCTCTGTAAAAATAAAAATGCACGATTTTTTTGATATTTATCCTCTCAAAACCTGTTATTTTTCAAAGGTTTCTGAACGATTTTGAAAAATTATTTTCGCTTTCTTTCAAAATTATTATTTTTTTATAAAACCCCAAATCTGTTTTTTTAATGTTTAAAATTGCTGTAAGACGCAAAGCGATTAAAGAAAGTTTTTTTATTTTTTTAAAAAAATTTATTTCTTTCAGACGTCTAAATTTTTTTATTTTTATTGAGTTTTTTTGAAGGAAAACTTTGAAAAAAATCGCTGTAAGACAGGGAAGATTTTTATTTTTTTCAGAAGTTTATCCTTCTAGAAATCAAAATCTTTTTATTTTGTTATTTTTTTGAAGGAAAACTTTGAAAAAAAAAGTTTGATTTTTCACTTTTTTTTTGACTTTTCAAAAGCTCCGAAGAACGATTTTTGAAAAGAAAAAAATTCGCTTTTTTCAACTCTTTGTCTTCCAAATTTCCAATTTTCAAGGTCTGCCCGGCCGACTGGCACGAGGACAGCCCGACGATCAAGCCCGGCGTCAAGACCAGCAAGGAATATTTCAACAAAGTCAACAAGAAATAATTCCCTCCTCCATTCGTTGTTCCTTTAGTGCGTGTATAGATCCCCCTTTTTTATTTTTCTCGTTTTTTCGGTTTCGATGACGGTTTTCCTGTGTATAATAAATAGTTAGCGACGAGCTTTTCCTCAATTTTCCACATTTATTGGAAGGATCTTCACCGTTGCCATATTTTCAAGCCATTTTAGAAAGTTTTTTTGATTTTTTTAGCGTTTTTTTATTTAGATTTAATGAGTAAAAAAACTCGCCGCCTATGGAACACAGTTTGAAGACGTCGAAGAGGATGGACGTAAGTGGAAATTAAGGAAAAAAATGGAAATTTGAATTTCGCGGGGTTTTTATTTTTGAAACGACTGTGAGAGATTTTTTTATATTAATTTCAGTTGAAATTATGTTTGATAAGATTTCGGTGAAGCTGTAATCTCATTTTTGGTGGTTCATTCAAAATTTCCCTGCAGCCCATTCTGCGAAGTTGACGGTCAAGGGAGAAAGAAAACGGAATTTCCGGAGGGTCAGAGATAATTTTAAAATGAAAATGGATGTTCGGTTTTTGAGATGGGAAAAAACGGTATTATCAATGGAAAATTTCAAAAAATCGTTTTTGAAAAATTTTTTTCGAATTATTCAGAAAGTTGCCGTTATTTCCGAGAAAATCAGAAAAATTAATTTTTTTGTTCTGCGCTTACTGAGTTTCAATAAGATTTTTTTGACAATTTAAAATGAAGATAGTTTTTTTAATCTTTAATACCAAAGTCGATTGAAATGTTGTTCTTTGACTATTTTTAAAACGAGAGATCAGTATTCTTCAAAAAAAATGATTCCTTTCCAAGTTTTTTTTGGCTCGAATTTCTTGAAAGAACCGGTCAAAACTGCCTTTTTTTAGATTTTTGCAGAAAATAATTTTGAATTGTTCCCCCTTTTTTTAAATAATTTTTTTCCGAAGCTGAGACTTGAAGGATGAGCTCGAACTTTTTGCTCCTAATCCTGGGAATTTTTGGTGTAAAGCTCCATTTATTTGATTGGAAAAAGTTTTTTTCGAATTTCGTAATTATAATTTTTTTGGAGCCTGCGTAGAGGTTCAAAAACCACCTTTGGATTTTTTTGAAAACTTTTTAAATTATTTCTTTTTTTGAAGAATTAGTTCATTTTTTTCTAGGTACAACAGTATCAAAAAAAGCCGACACCGATCCAGGATCAAATAGCGACGGATGAACGGGGAAAAACGGAGGTAAATCAAGGCAAACTTTCAGACAAAAAAACTACAAATTTTGAAGATTTTTTTAGAGATATTCGGGCGTTTTTTTACAGTTTTTTTCGGGCGTTTTTAAGTTTTTTTGGGATTTTTTTAGAAGATATTAGGAAATATTTTTAGGATATACTCGGGAAGTTTTAAGGAGATATCAGGGCTTTTTTAAGGAGATTTTCGGGCGTTTTTCGAAAAAGTCGCCACTGAAGATCCAATTTTACGTTATTCGCGAAATAATCGAAAACGAAAAACGCGTTAATTTTGAAATCCCTGAAAAAACTTTGAACAAATGTTTTTTGAAGCATTTTTATGGCTCTTCGAAACGTTTCAATCATCGCATTTTTTTTTTACAAAATAATAATTTTTCCAGATTTCATGGAGCTTTCACTGGCGGCTTCTCAGCTGGTTATTGGAACACGGTCGGATCGAAACATGGTAATTGAAATTGGTCTTTTGAGACATTTTTAATGATCCTTTTGTATATAAAAATGAAATTCTCGATTTTTAGATACCAGTTCTTTTTTTCAGGTTTTTTTGTTGGAAAAATTTGGTTAAAAATGTTTTTTTTAGACTTTGTGTATAGAAATTTAACTGTTCAGAATATTAGGAGACAAGGTCTTTTTTTTAATTTTTCTTGAAATTTAAGAGTAAAATATGTTATTTTGACGCAAGTTTTCTTGTACTTCCTGTAGAAACTTCTAAAAGAATTTTGATAAAAGGCAGAGTCGGAAAAGGTCCAAAAAAGGTCCATAAAAAGGTTCCTTTTTTGCTGCCTTTTTGTGCCATTTTCTCAGCCCTTATGGACCATTTTTGCTGCCTCTCCCTTTTTCCAACCTTTCTTGAGCCTTTGAAGTCCCAGAAAAATGGAAGGCTCGATAAAGTGGCCTTTTTGCAGCCTTTTTGCAGCCTTTTTGCTGCCTTTTTTGGACCTCTCCCATTTAGCGGCCATTTCCCATTATCCCGACTTTGCCCGAGTTATCAAGACTTTTCTGAGATATTCTTCTTCTTCTTCAAAAAACCCTAATGAAAATGTAATATCCTTCAAAATTCAGGTTGGGTCCCCCAAGTGTTCAGTTCTTCACGAGATAATCGCGGAGATGATATTAAACAACGGGCGGAAGATTTTTATGGACGCCGAGGTAAAAAAATAAATCAAAATAAAGACGGAAAGTTCAGGAAACTCCCAATGAAATTGAAGATTTTTCAAAAAAAGATTTTTATGAAAAAATCGCCTGAACCCTTTTTTCAAGGAGAACATTTACGATTTCAGAATTTTTTTAAATTTTATTGATTTGAAAAAAATCTGTAGAATAGCCATTGCAACATTTTTCAACAAGAACAATCACGGTTTTTCCAATTTTTTTCGAGGTCCTTGGAGGATTGAAAAAAATAAGTGGAAAAAGTCGATTTTTAGCGTTTGAAATAAAAAAAGAAGATTTTTTTCCCTAGAAGCTCTCAATAAAATTGACAATTTTCAAGAGGATTTTTTTGTGATAAAATTAAATTTACAGCTTTTTTAACAAGAAAAAAATCGCGGTTTCGCGCCAAAAAAAGTAGAAAAAGCGGTTTTGACTTCAAAAAGGTTCCAAATCGAATTGATGTTCTTATTCATATTTTTGAACAAGAATAATATTGAAATTTGTTGAAAAAAATAAATTCGCGGTTTTTAAGGACCTTATTACATTTTTGAGATTTTTGAAGGACTTTAGAAAATGTTCAGATTTGAAAAAAGAAGGATATTGTGCTTCAGAAAGAGAAAATCTTTTTCCAGGACCTTGGCGAATTCGGTATCGGAGCGCGGCAAATCAAAAGGACGGCGGCTTTTGGCGAATCTCAAAGTGGTATTCCTACAAAAAACCGGAATAAAACTGAAGAGAAATTGGTTAAGGAAAGGCGAAATTCGCGTGGGAACGCGATTCGACTTCAGTTTCTTCCATTGCACAAATGCTCGAGGCGATTGTGAAGCCTGTGAAGTGGGTTAAATTGAAAATATTTGAAACTATATGCTAAAAAAACTATATCATAGCAATAGTAAAGCTATGTCGCGAGCGATATCGCGCGCGGTATCGCAAAAATCCTGCGCGATGTCGCGTTCTGAAAATTTTTCCTCCCAAAAATCTTTGTTCTTCAATTCAGTACATTTTTCGTCATGAAATGCTCTAAAGTCTTTTGACACACTATTCTGCGCAGAATAAATTTTGAATTTCAGGTAAAATAAAAAAAGTTTTTAACTGAAGGAACAAATCTGCCTCTTTAAGGCAATCAATATATATTTGAACAAAAAATGGAAAAGAAGAAAGACAGTTGTTGAGTGATAAAATATAGAAATTTAGTGAATCAATCGGCTCAAAAATGCTCCGGGCAATGGGCTGGAGAGAAGGAAGGGGAATCGGGTTGGCAAATGTAACAAAAGCGAGGAAACGAGGTAATTACGAAGAAGTTCTAAATACAGAAAAAATGTTCTGGAAAAGCTACCTATGGACGCCATAGCGTATTCAAAAATTATCCAATCCGTGAAATTATTTTTAGAATTTATCTACAGTACCGCTCAAAAGTGTATTAAGTTTTGGTTTTTTGAGGATATCTCAGCGAGTACTTATCCGATTTATATATAACTTTCAGGGATAATGTAAAATATACTTTGTAACATATACGGTATACAAAGACATGTCCGCAATCACTGTGACGCGTTTTAGGCATTTTTTATTGAATTCAATTTTTTTTGTTTTTTATGCTTTTATTTTCATTTATTTTTATTAAATTTTTTAAAAGTAATAATGTTGCCATATGTTTTTTTTCATGTTCTCAGACATGGGAAGAACCTCTGGAAAAAAGGATTTGACTGATAACGACAAAAGAGCCATCGTTGTGGGTCGTCAAAATGGACTAACCATGATGACGTTGGCAGGAATGTTCGGCGTGACAGAGGCGTGCATTTCTCAGTTCCTAAAGCGTTGGAAAAAAAAAACCGTCCTCCACCATGTTTCACAGTGGGTAATTGGTATTTCGGATGATATCTGGACCCAATTGGTCTACGAAAACACTGAATTCCGTCACTCCCGAAGAGGAGGAACTTGCTTTCGTCGGACCACAGAATCTTGTTCCAGTCTTGACGGGTCCAGTTGAGATGCTCCTTCGCCCACTTCACCCTGGCGGCTCGATTCTTTTCAGAAATCAGCGGTTTCTTCCCTGGACGTCTTCCCATTATTCCAGCAGCATTCAGACGTCGTTTCACAGTCGAGACGGATGGCGGAGATGGCGAATTCAAGAAAACTTCCCGTCTGATCGCAGGGGCGGTGAGTCTTGGATTGGTTCTAGACGTCTTCAAAATGTTTCTATCGTCATTACGATCAGTGACACGTGGTCTTCCAGTGCGTTGGCTCTTAGTAGAGCCATCTTGAGCTTTCCAACGCTTTAGGAACTGAGAAATGCACGCCTCTGTCACGCCGAACATTCCTGCCAACGTCATCATGGTCAGTCCATTTTGACGACCCACAACGATGGTTCTTTTGTCGTTATCAGTCAAATCCTTTTTTCCAGAGGTTCTTCCCATGTCTGAGAACATGAAAAAAACATATGGCAACATTATTACTTTTAAAAAAATTTAATAAAAAAATAAATGAAAAAAATGAAAAGCATAAAAAAAACAAAAATTGAAATTCAAGAAAAAAATGCCTAAAACGCGTCACAGTGATTGCGGACATGTCTTTGTATACCGTATATGTTACAAAGTATATTTTACATAATCCCTGAAAGTTATATATAAATCGGACAAGTACTCGCTGAGATATGCTCAAAAAAACCAAAAACTTAATACACTTTTTGAGCGGTACTGTACATCCTTTTCGTTAGCAGCTAAAGTGAGAAAAATAAAATTCGAAAAATTTTTGTTTTTTGAGTTAAACACGATATTTTTGAAACGGGGACAAAGAAAAGCTGTATGTGAAAGTCTAAACTATTAAAAAAATTTTTTCTAATTGAAAAAAACATTTTTAAGGTGGAGACACTGAAGAAGCTGAATACGAAAGGCAACAGGCGAAAAACATAGCCCCAGAGTATCAATTAGGCCAAGAAGATGTGATTGCTCATCAACTGCAGCCTCGTGAAGGCCTTCACGGCCTTGGTTATCAGGTTTTCCGAGAAAGATCGAGAAAAAATGGGCAATACTTCGATTTTGAAGGGCTTGAGACATTCTACGGCGCTGGATGAGAAGTTTGGCCGACGAGAAGCGGCTTTGAAGCTGAATAAGAAGAGTAAAGGCATCCGGGGACAGGTGAGAGGAAAGTTCACGGAATTCGAGAAGTTTTAACAAAAAATGAAAGATTTCTAGGGACACCAGAGTGGTCCCTAGAGCGGTTAGGGAGAAAAGGCTTCCCTAGAGGGGTAAAATTTAGGTTTTCCCTACAGATTCATTGTCTGATCTTTAAGATACTAAATCTCAAGTGGTCCCTATAGGAGTTTAGAGTTCAACCCTGAGCTCCTAGAGCTTGAGTGACCCCTATAGTGGTCTGTCAATTTTTTTTTCTTATTTGAAAGTTCAAAAAATCTATACTGACTACTAGCTTGCTCCTCGAAATTGGTCACTAACTAAAACCCCAAGGGAACTCAAGAGGGCTTCTGAAATCTCCCCTCTAGGGGCCTCTTTGACGTGTTTAAAGGTGCAGAAGTCTAAAATAACAGTAGACGATAATGGTTTCCATAAAGTGGTCATTTTTTGAAGCTTTATTGGGCCCTGTGGGACTAGGCGAAGTGGTCCCTCAAGGGAAACATTCAAGGGTCCTTTTGAAGACCCTCAGAGAGAGCTGGATTCCGCGACAAACTCGCAAATGAGGGAAAAAGTCTTTTGAGCTCGCCTTTCAAAGCCTCACAGGATCCTTTTCGAATCTTCTGGAACTTTTACTTTCTGTAAACTTCTACAGGGACCTCCAAAACTTTAGGATAGATTTTTAAAAAAATTATTCACTGATAACAGTTGCAAAATATTTATTATTCTCATTAAAAACCTGCGAAGGTGTTGGGAGGGTTACCTGCAGAAGTCAAAGGGACTGGAAACTAGAAGGTTTTGAAAAAAGAAAGTGTTCGGAAGGTAGTTGGAAGATGAAAATGGAAAATGGCTGCCAGAAGCCTGCTGGAAGGCTTCGGAACAATTCACAAATTGGAATCCATTTTTCAAGGCTTTCGGCGTGGGCGTGTTCGAAGAAGATGACGAAAGTGTCTATACGAACTACGATTTGTCGGAATTCGACTTCTCGCTGGATGTTGGCGGAAAACCGCAGGCCATCGAAGACGCGAAGAAAATCGACGCGACTTTCAAGGAGCAGAGCAAGGTAAAAATGAAAAATATTCAAAAAAGGACAATTTTTCGCGCATTTTTTTAAATTGTTGTGATTTTTTTGGGATTATCTATATGTGGGCTGACCATTTTTTTAAAAATGCGATTTCAGGTCTGATTTTTTTTTTAAAATTTTTTGAAATGGTTGATAAGCTATATCCTGACCAATTTTTAGGCTGTTTGAAAAATATTCAGGGATTTTTCCTCACAGAGGGGCTCAGAAATTTGATTTTTTGGCTTTTAAGCCATCCGTATTTTGGGTCAATTTTGTCACTCACAACTTCAAAAATTCATATCTCGGCTCAGCAGACTTATAATCGGGTAAAGTAGAGTGTTAAATCGTTTTCAAAGTGTCTTTTTTTATATAGGACCACCTGGTACCCTAAAGAACTCATAGGGCTCTCAAAATATCGATTTTTCCTTATTTATCACTTCGACCGATTCTTAGACTACTTGAAATGTCTTTGAGAGAGTTTCTTAGGCACAAAGATGCTTTAAAATTAGATGTTAACCCCAAAAAACTCCAGATTTCTGCAAATAAATTTTGAACGCCTTTATTTTCATCGTTTGGAAGTGGAAAAATGCGTTTTTTTTTCGACTTCGTGCCTCGGTTTTCATATAGAAGAAGAGATTTTCAGTAAATTTGTATCGTGGGAGGTTAAGAAAATTTAATGAGAAAGGGGAAGGCTTCGAAAATAATCAGAAAGCGATGAAAGTTAATTTTATCATGATGGGATCACTTTTGGAAAGCAGCCAAAGTATGGAATAATCCCGGAATTTTTGGCTTTTTCGAACCTTTTTCGAGTTTTTTTGAAATATAGTCACTTCACCGCGACTTGAAACTGCTGCTTTTCTCTGCGCCCTCCTCGTCTCTCGGCGACCCTCTCATGTTGTCATGCTATTTTCATGTCTCTCTGACCTCGCCGATGAGGGAACAGAGAGACGCAGACACGCGAAAAGTGTCGCGGCGAATGGATTATGAATAAGTTCTGATAATTCAGCGCCTGAACCCCCGAAAGTTCTACCCGCCGCCGAAGCTTCCGGCAAATTTTCGGCCCGAACACAAGGTCGTTCCGATGGATCTGAAGCGACTCCCGACGGCGATTCAGAAGGAGGCCAAAAATATGACGGCCATTCAGAGGGCGAAGTGAATATTTTTCGTTGAATTCTGGTCAAAAGTTTCCCACTTCTTAGGCCGGAGTGGTCCCTATAGAAGTTGGGGAAGAAGTAGCCTCTCAAGTGCCCCCTATAGGGGTAAAATTTCGGTTGTCCCCCCCATGGAGTTGAGAATTTAATCCCTAAAGCTTGAGTGGTCCCTATAGGGGTCTCAAAGTGTTTTGTTCTGATTTGAAAAATGAAGAATCCTATAGAAACCACTAGCATGCAGTGGCCGCTTACTAAAAACACTAGAGTGACCACTTTTGCAAGCTTTAGTGCCTCCTTTAGTGATCTCTTGTAGGACTTTTAGGAATCCCTAAGGTCGCCCCTCTAGGGACCACTCTGGCGTATAGTTTTTGTAAAAATTGGAAATTTCGCAGACTCTTAAGCAAATTTATAGCGAATTCCAAGCCCAACAATAATTTTTTCCTACAGATTTCTCGGAGAAGATCGAGTGTCTGTCCTGGAGTTGGTCAGTGACAAGGACCGAAAGAGACTGGGAAAGAAGAGTCGCTGGGACGTTAGAGGAGGCGAGGAGGACGAGAGATCGTTCGACGATGAGAGGGACAGACAGCAGAGGGTTCGTTTTGATAGAAATCGGGAATTTTGAATTTATTTATCATCATCATCATCATCATCATCAGTTTATTCATTTTACAATAAATAAAACATTTCTAAGGGCCATAAGACCTCTTATCAGAAAAGTATGACAAGGGAAATTTAAAAAAAGACGAAATAACATTTTAAAAATTTATGAATTTTTTAAGGAAAAATATTCCCGATTTTTTATTTCAGAACCGAATTGCCTATCCGGACGAACCAATGAAGCAGGCTCGATTCAAAGAATACCTCCTTTATGTGAGGAGAGGCGAGTTTTACATATTTACTTGGTTTTCATCACTCTTAAATTTCATCTCTTCTATACATTTTGTCAATCACTCTAACAAAAGTTACGGTGCACCCCGCGTCGAACCCCGGTGCACCCCGAAGTGTACCCCCGGAAAGGGAAGGGGGGATACTCCGTTTAGCTCTGAATGCCTATTAAGGTACTTACTCCGTTCGAAGTTTCGAAGTTTTTTGTTTCCTGATAGAACTATTTTCTACAGTTTCATCTCAAGCTGTTACGGTAGTTTAGAAAACTATTTATTTCTGACCGGTTGCCCCAGGGGTGCACGCCATCCAGGTCCAACGCGGGGTGAACCGAAACCATCAACGAAAAGTTCACATTTTACGGGGTACACCCATATTTTTGTTAGAGCATTTGTCACAAATAATTAAAAAGGTTTTATGTCAAGTCCAAATTTTCAGGCTTACCGTACCCCCAGCCGACGGACATGTCCGTCTGGGAATGGGAATCCGAGAAAAAAGATTTCGAAGCCCTGCTTACCCATGAAGAACGTGCCATGCTTCCGGAGGTACTGTTTGAGAAAGAAAAAATAATTTTAAACAATCGAAATATGATAAAATATTCCTAAAACCAGTTCTGAAATGCGTATTTCACTCAAAAAAATAGATTTCGTCATGTAAAATAGACAGGACAAGGTTATTTCCGGACTGAAAAGCTCAATGAAAAATAAAAGTTAAAAGTCTATTTTTCTATTTTTTCTAGGTCCAATCTCGTTCCCAACCCCTGGCCAGGATATCCCTCGCCGCGCCGATCAAAGAGCTCCTCCATAATAAATTCGTCAAAGAGTCTGGTGGAGATCTGAAGGTTTAAAAAATAGTGAAAGAAATAAAAAATGGATGGTCCCAGGTCGGAAAGAAAGACGAGGACAAGTTGGCTGCAATCAAAATGGGCATTTTCGGGGACAAGACGAGATCCTCGTTTCAGTGGTTGGTTTTAATCGGAGTTCGAATATCTTAATATTTTTTGTAGTTCGCACAAAAGCTTGTAAAAGGAGCCACTTTAGGGGAGCATCCTAATAATACCTAGACGTCTTTTTTACTTTCAAATCAGATCAAACATTTAAAAGACCCCTGTAGGGACCACTAAAGCTATAGAGACTCAAGTTCGGACTTGTAAACCCTACAGGGATCCCTCAAGCTTGCACTAGAGCTTGCAGAAGGGGCCACTCTAGGGGAGCATTCCTAGACGTCTTTCTTACTTTCAAATCAGAAGAATAAGTTGAAGGGCCCCTATAGGGACCACTTAAGGTTAAGGGGCTTGAGGAACAAACTCTAAACTTTTATAGGGACCACTTAAATTTTAGCCCTCTAGGGAGCACTATTTGGCTTCTTTTCAGTAACCCCTATAGTGATCACTCTGTTGTTTCTGATTTTTTTATTAATTTTTTTTGTTCAAATTTAAAATGGTTTAACGCGTCGCGGTTGCGCGGCGGTTAGGCTCAAAATTAAAAAAAAAAACTTGAAGACCGCAACGCAGCCGTGACGTGTTGAGCCATTCCCTATGCGACCAAACCTTTCAAGGAGTTTTAAGGCCATTTTATCGTTTTTGTACACAGATTTTTGATTGCCGAGTTATTTTTCATTAAATTTTCCGTATTTTAGGCAAAGAACCCCATTTTCTGAACAAATCATTTTTCAAGGTATCCGGCGAATGGATTGGCCAAAAATTTCAACGTCCCGAATCCCTATCCCGGCGAGAATTTGGTCGGCGTGCCGCAGTTGCAAAAATTCTCGACCAAACGCGAAAATTTGCTCAATTTAGGACTTCCCAACACGGCGACGGAGCTTCGGGCAAGGTAGGTTGGGGAAAAAAAATTCGGAAAACTATTTTTAAAAAAATTTAAAGAAAGAAAAAAAGTATATACAAAAAAATTTTTCCGAATATTATCATATCGTAGTTAATTTTTTTCAGAAAAAAACAAATAGTTGAAAAAATTTTTCATGGTCTTTTTTTGCATATTTTCGGAGCATTTTTTTCAGGGTTTTTTTCGAATTTTTTTAACTGTTCTTTTTTGGAGTCTCAATCTTTGAAATCTTCATCTTTAATGTCATATTTTTTTGTCCCCTTGTGTAAAAAAATAAAAGGAATATAAAAAAATTGAATTCATGGATTTTTTTCAATTTTTTTCAAAAAGTGTCCTCAATTTTTCCACAGCTCTGTAACTCAAAAACTACGAAGACTGGTCATTTTCCATAGTTGAACGGAAAAAATTTAAAGTGGTCTAATTTTTGAAATTTTCTACGTGCAGTTTTAATACACCTGTCTCGATTAATTTTGTTCTTTTCATCTCATTTTTCCTTCAGAGACGAACAGCGGGCCAGGGATTCCAGCAAAATCGATCGGAAGGTCAAAGAAGAAGACGAAGAAGCTGGAGGAGAAGATGAAGATGAGAACAAGGAGAACGAGGAGGACACCGAAAAGGCCCCGAAATCCTTCTTCGACATCTTCGGCGACAGTGATGAGGATGACGATGAGGAGGAGGAGAAGGAGAAATCCGAAAAACCCGGACCTTCTACTGTTCCTGAAGTTCAAATCGAAAGCGAGGATGAAAAAGAGAAGGAGACGGAAATATTGCCTGAAAAGAAGGTTCGTTGACTCAAAAAAGTGAAGTTTAAAACGGTATTCTCACAGTAGTTTGCACTAGAAAAATGATTTCTTGGATAAAAAAAGGTTAGGAGAAAATTTTTAGACCCCCCTCTACTGGTTGTTTGCCCCCCCCTTCTCCGGATTACGGGACTCCCACCTTGTCCGGATCATTCCCCCATCTGTTGGTTTCTCAGAGCCCCCCACCTCGGCCGAATGACCCTCCCTCCCCCTATGGTTGTTCGGGCCTCTACCTTGTCCGGATCCCCCGTTCAAAAAGTAACCCCCACATTCCAGAAACGCCCCTTGCCGCCCTTCCCCCTTATACTGGTGGGGGCTTTTTCGGGCCTCACTGGAATGATCTCAAAGTTGAAAAAAAAACTTCAAACTGAATTTTTATGCCCTGAACGCATACGAGTGATATTGGATGAGCTCTAAAGTTCCATTGCAACACTCTAAACTGTCTGCGCCCTCTTTTCTCTCACAGAAACATGAAAAATAGCACAAAAAACAGAGCATTGCTGTGAAAAATCAGAATTCAATAGATGCCACATTATTATTTTTTTATCACTAACTTTGAAAATGAGAAAAGTTTGCTCTAACGAACTGTTCGAAAAATAAAAAAACTGATTTTTTGGTTTTTTCCAACTCTCAAACATGAAGTGTTATGCGGCGTTCGAAGTGATTTCTGAAATTTTTGAATTATTTCTGACAGAAAGAAAATAAAATTCCAATGTAAACAGCTTAAAAGAAACATTTTTTGGTTCCCGGTTAAAATTTTGATGAAACTTGACTGGAATGTACTTTTTTTCTGGAGTTAGATAGTCCCAAAGCTTCCTTCTGCCAATTTCCGTCAAAAATTCAACCGGGCTTCAAAAAGTCCCCCTTTATCAGAGTTTTATGAAAGTCTAAAAGCAACAGATCTTATTTTGTAATTTTAGGTCATGACTGTGATGGATCTTCCCACCAGCTACGGCCCAAGTATCCCCTCCAGCTTTGAACAGAACAGTATGTTCACTCAACCTTACCCTTGAGACACCTTTTGAAGGTATACCTGCCTTCTCGGTCCTCCGGTACCTGCAAGACGACTTGAAAAAGCGAAGAGAGGAGAAAAAAGCAAAGAGGAAGAAGCGGGAACAACGAGAGTCGGAAAAGAAGTCCAAGGTATTAAGTGGCCATTTAAGAGATTCCTCGAGGACTACTTGGATAGGACACTAAAGTGGCCTCTATAGAAGCCACTACAGTAGTTTTTAGCGGTCTAGTAGTACCACTCAGGCTTCTGAAAAGGCCATCAAGTTGTAGCCACTTAAATGATCACTTATTAGCCTACTACAATGTCCACTGAAGCTTCAGAACCCTAAAGTGGCCACTGAAAATTTCACCTTGTATTTTTCTAAAAATTCGAGGCGATTAATCCATGCCGTGTTTAAAGAAATGCCCGCGAAACTCGGAAAATTTTTCAACTTTTAAATTATTTTTTGCGCGTAGAGATGCGTCTTGAGTGTGACATTGCGTCGTTGTGAAGGAAAATGAGTGCTTTACGACCGAAAAATAGGAAAGCGACAATTATAATATTCGATTTTTGTATATTTTTTTTATAAAAATTGAAGAAATTTTCCCGTCTTCTTATTTTTTTTTAATGGTTAAACTGCACATTTTTCAGAGTTTAAACAGAGAAAACAATAAAAAAGCTGTTTTTTAGATCTATAGAATTTTGTTTTTTTGTTAGAAATATAAAATGAAAGAATAATTTTTCAAAGAGGTTTTCTTATTGGTTTTGAACAAAAAATTCGATGCGAAAACGGTTCAAGGTACCTGTGGAAATTTCCAGTGCCCCCTTAAGGGTTTTGACGTTTCAGTGGCCACTATAGTGGTCGAATAAGTGACTAAAACTTATTGGCCTTTTTGGAAGTCTGATTGGTACTACGATATAACGAAAAATACTTCAGTGGCCACTTTAGGGCCCTCTACAAGTAGTCGTTGAAGTGACCATTAGAGCATGAAAATCGCCAGATTTTCGGTTTTCTCGTTCGTCACCAAAAGCTTCATAACTTGGTTCGAAACCAAAACTTTTCAAAAAACTGAATTTATTTCATATTTGGACAGTCTGCTCTGTAAGATGGTATAGGAATCGACTATCCTATTTTTTTTTTTTTTTCGAAAAATGGCTTGTATTTTTGGCAATATTTCAACAGAAAACCTTGTTTATTATAATTTTTCAGAAATTCAAGAAGGGAAAGAAAGACAAGAAAGAAAAGAAGAACAAGAAGGAGAAAGAGAAGAAGAAAAAAAGTCGAAAAGTCACAAGAAAAAAAGAGGTCCAGCTCTCCTTCTTCCTCGTCGTCATCATCCTCCTGGGCTTCTGATCCCGAAGTCGTCCAACTTGATTAATTTCCTTGTATTTTTCTGTTATGATCGTTGTTTGTATTTATTGCGGGTCGAGATTAAAACGATTTAAAAAGCCTGATTTTTTTCTTTATTTTTCAAAAAAATTATTATTTGTACAGTTGGATATACAGGCTGTGCTGATCACCGGAGGAATCGGTTGCGGAGGAACTGGAAAATTGTAATTATTCGTGTTTCAGAAGGAGCATTTGTGATTTTGCTTGAAATACGCGCATTGATTTTTGAAAACTCTTTTTTTAAATTTAAGCTAACTTTCTTTTGTTCAAATTTAGGCTGTATTCTGTGAATCTTTTTTTTAAATTGCCTGGGATTAGTGACCGCTTTAGGGTTTTGACATTTTAGTGGCGACTATAGTAGTAGAGTTAGTGGTCACTTAGGAGGCTAAAATTTAGTAGCTTCTTATAAGTCTAAGTAGTACAACTGGGCCACTAAAAACACTAAAACGCGAAATTGTGGTCTCTAAGGAGATGGCCACTTTAGTGTTCTCTCCAAGCAGTCCTTGAAGAACCTCTTAAGTGGCCACTAATTTTTTTTTCGATGAATTTCTAGCCATGGAAAACAGCTTGAGGGATCACTTATTCATCGAAAAAGCTTACAGTTCGTTTTTTTTTCTTTTTCACCGAAATGATAAAGCGAAACAATGATAATTTTGTATAAAACATAGATTTTTTCTAATTTTAATTTTTTCCAACGGAAAAACGGACCAATTCGGCAATTGACGGCGGCACGATGTTCTTGGTGTAGACGGCGTAGGTGTCGTCGCGGGCCGTCCGTTCTTTCGCCGCGAAATCGTCCATCGAGCCCCGGAGGCTCTTCGCGTCGACTCCTGGAAAAAAGTAGGTACTAGGGTTTATTTTGAACCTTTACTTCGAAAAATTCGAAAGCTGATTGAGCTCGACTTCAAAATTTAGCTCTCTAGATGATGATCACAAGTTCAGACTTTGAAATTAGGTTTTTCTGACTGTTTTTTAGGTTCAAACTTAGAAATTCCAACTTCAACGGAACTATAAAACCCTAAATGAGAGTTTGAAGCTTCTAAAGGACGTTGAGAACTGTTTTAAAAGTCGATTAATATCGGAAAAACTCAAGAAATGGAGCATTAATCAAATTTTGAAGAAGTCGAAAAGTAATTTTCTTTTTTCCATAGCTAGAGAGCACTGGTGAACAAGAGGGCCGTTAGAGAAAAAAGACGGCAGCTCTCTCATTTTTGGAATGCTCTCTAACTTTGGAATATTCGAACGTAGTTTACATTCAAATTTTCTTTTTTGAGCTTGAAAAAATATTCAAAAATTCACCTTTTCTGTTCAAAAATGAACCTACGAACGCCAGAGCGGTCACTAAAGGGGCGCCATTAGAAGCACTTGGATGTGTCCCTCTAGGGACCACCTCAACGAACCCTATACGGGCACTGAAGCTTGAAAAAATGGCCGCTCTAGGGGTTGCTAGTATTCCCTTTCGTCTTTTTTGACTTATCGAAGAAAAAAGGTCTAGAGATTACTATAGGGGACACTCAAAATTTGCTTACCCCTTATTCGAGGCACTTTGTTGACCCTTATAGGGGCTGTTTTCCCCCTAAACCCTCTAGGGACCACTCCGTCATTCCCAAGTTAGTTCGTTTATTTCTACTAACTTCACGGTTTCCATTTGAGCATATAACTCACCCAGATGGAAGATGACGACGACCAGAAAAAGAGCGAAGATTCCGAACGTCTTCATGGTTGTTGGCACGACGAAAATCCGTAGCCAACGGCCGCATTTTATCGAAAAGGTTCGGCTCCGCCCCTTTCCGCTCGCGCCGATTTTTTCTCGACACTATTTTTGGACACTTTTTTCGGGTTCAATGATCCAATATTTGGAGACATGGTTGGAATGAGAGATCAGCGGAAAATTACTGGGTTTTTTTCGAAGTGAGCTCCGATTTTTTTAAAAAAATTATTGGAAATATTTTTAAGAAATTTTTATTTAAAAAAATCGGGTACAAACTATTGCATTGATCATGAATACTGATAAATATTTTATCTAAAAACTGGAAATATTAAGCTTTAATCTGTTGTTTTAAACATAAAAATGACGAAAAAAGTTTTTATCTCAATTCCGAATTTCTTATTATGGAAATGACGGACCCTAGATGAGTTCAATCTTGTAGAGAAAAAAAGAAATACATAACCCAGCTTTTTTTTTGCGAAAAATGTGATAAAATGTATATTTTTAATAGCAGAAACGAGGTCTTGGCAAGACATATTTCAATACTTTAGCTTCTTGATGGATTTTTCTGCCCCGTCAGTTTTGATTATAACGATCAAAAGCCAGAAAACTGGCTAAATTTTGTTCTTTCTGTTTTTGAGCTTGTTACCGATATTACCGAAAAAAACCAAGAAGAAAAATTGCCCAAATTATCGAAAAAAAAGTAGCGTTTTGTGGAATTTTTCAGGGAATGTTGATTTTTTTGACTTAAAAAAATTTTTTTCTTTGCGAAATTTTTCAGCTTTTTTTAATGGATTATTTCGATTTTTTTGAGTTTGATTCCTTATTCAAATCAATCAAAAAAAGCCAAAAAAATGTGGACTGAACATTCAATTTCTTGTTTAGTTTTGAGTTTATAAAATTTGCCGGAATTTTTTTGAACTTTCGAAAAAAATTTTTGATTTTGCTTTTTTTATTTGTTTTGTGTTTTTTTGCCAAAATTCTCAGCTTTTTCATTTGATTTTTTTTTTTTTGTTCAATTTAATGAAAAAAAATGACGAATGAGTCAAAAACACCAAACTTTGAATTTTTTTTTTCTCCTAACTTCAAGCGAGGAGTCGAAAGATCACGACGTCTTGCAGAAAAATGGGAAGAAATTGAACGGCGACGGACGCGGATGACGTCACGAGTCCAACGACAATCGCCGTTTGTCTTCGAACTTCTCGATCATTCGCCGTATCACTCCACGTCGTTTCCGTCGATTTGCCTTTTTTGCAGTGAGAAATCTCGTTTGTTTCGCGAAATTGACATGTGATCGAGGCCGGGAATGCAGTTTGACGGTCTGTTCGTTTTGAATTGTCGAAGCGAAAAAGTCCAAAATTCACATTCCACGTCAGCAATCAAAAATTGAGTTCCGCCTATCCCTGATTCACATGGAAACTAGGAGAGCTTCAGTTTTACGAGACAACAAGAGAAATGAGGAGATTCCAGAGAAACTAGCTTGTTTTAGCTTCTCTGGCGTCTCTTCAGGCCAGCATTGATCTATAGATTCTTTTTTCGCGTTCAGCTTTGAAGACATGTCAAAAATCAGAGCTCTCAGTGACCAGAAACTAGAGACAGCGGCTTTCTGAAGAGACGCCAAAGAAACTAGCTTGTTCTAGCTTCTCTAGCGTCTCTTCTTATCACTTCATTTCTTTCATTTTTGCACCTGCCTGCTTGAAATATACCGGTTTCGAGCGTTTAATGAGCAGAAGCTAGAGATAACATTTTCAGAAGAGATTCTAGAGAGGCTAGCTTGTTCGAGCTTCTCTGCCGTCTCTTCAGATCAACGTTGGTCTCTAGATTTTCTGCGAGTTCTATTTTGAAGACGTGTCCCAAAAATCAGAGCTCTCATTGAGCAGAAATTAGAGACAGTGGATTTCTGAAGAGACGCCAGAGAAACTAGCTTGTTCTAGCTTCTCTGGCGTCTCTTCAGGTCATCATTATTCTCTAGATTTTTTCCGAGTTACGTTTTGAAGACGTTTAGGAAAAATCAGAGCTCCCAGTGAGCAGAAACTGGAGAGAGAGAGAGAGAGAGAGAGAGAGAGAGAGAGAGAGAGAGTGAGTCTTCTGAAGAGACGCCAGAGAAACAAGCGTGCTCCAGCTTCTCTGACGTCTCTTCAGGTCAAGATTGATCTCTAGACTTTCTCCGAGTTTAATTTTGAAGACTTGTGACAGAAGTCAGAGCTCTAAGTGACCAGAAACTAGAGACAGTGGCTTTCTGAAGAGACGCCAGAGAAACTAGCTGGTTCTAGCTTCTCTGCCGCCTCTTCTTATCACCTTGTATCTCATTTCTGTTCCTGACTGCTCGAAAGACCAAAATCCAAGCGTTTAATGAGCAGAAGCTAGAGATAACATTTTCAGAAGAGATTCTAGAGATGCTAGCTTTCTTTCACTTCTCCGTTTCTTCAGCTCTCTAAAATGAAATCGACACTTTTTCTTCAATTTTTTTTCCTGGGGTGCTTCAAAAGCTCACGATGAATAGACTAGTTTGAAACCTGATTTTTTTCAGTTTTTAAAGAAGTTTTTTTGGATCATTTTTTTCTTAGATTTAAAAAAATTTATACTTTTAAAAGTGAATTTTTTTAGAATCGATTTTTGAGTTTCAAGGTCGTTTTCTATTTAAAAAAATGAATCAGAAGTTGATTTGAATGCCCAAAAAGTTATTTATTATTTGTTTTTCAAAAGATGAAAAGATCAAAAATGGTTCAATTTATACCGAGTCGGTACAAAAAAGGCCAAAAATGGGCGTGGCTAACAAGTTAGCAGTATAATGAGGAGCAACAGAGTGGTCCCTATAGGGGAAACTTGAGAAGGCCTTGAAGATCCCTCTCTAGGGACCACTTTACCTATCGCTGTAGATGCACGACTCAGGATCAGAACCTAAAACCCTGAAGGGGCCACCTCAAATTTGACCCCTATAGGGTTCATCTTTTTCTACCCTATAGGGGCTGTTTTTTTTTCCCTAAACCCTATGGGGACCACTCTGGCGTTCTTAAGTAGCTTGCTAGGGCGTGATTTTGAAAATTTTAAAAAGGTTTTTTTGACGAGATCTTCAGGATTTTTGGGAAATTAACATTATTTGTGAAATTTTTCAGTCCCTCCGGTCTGCTTCTTCATCACTATAAAGATCATCCTGATAACCAGCGAAAAAAAATGATAAAATAATATAAAACAACGTGAGATTCGTAGATAACGTGAAGCTGAGCTTGCTCCAACGGCATTTCCCAACAACTTCTTGTACCAGGATGCTTAAATCACTGGTCGGTTCCTTTTTCCTTCCCATAAATTTCGCCTTTTCCAGCGTATAATCAAGAAGAAGAACAAGGATGCTGTGGAAACGTCGACTAGAAAGGTATGAAAAACAAAAAAAATCTTCTGGAGAAGAATTTTCCAGAAAAAGGATAAGGATAAGAAGCCTAAAGCAGTTGCATCGACCGTGGAATGCTCGCAGAAGAAAGTTGGTTTTTTTGGCAGATTTTGAAGAATATAGGGTTCCTATAAGGTGCTACATGGTGTTCCCAAACGGGGTGGAGAGACGTTAAAAAAAAAAAAATTTGAAATCTACAGTACACAGCCGAAGGCGATCGAACAAACAAGTTATTAACGTTTGATACTCAGTGCATTTTATCCGTAGCGCGCACTAAATTTTTTTTGTAAATTCAGAAAGTTTGACGCCTCGCTCACCTTTCCTCACCCCATTAGAAATGCCGTGGCTACGACAAGAGCAAGTATTCCATTTGCGGGGAGCACTGTATGCAGAAATGCGCATTGAGTGCATACACTCTGCGTGTTTACACTTTCGTTGCGTGACGTCACCGGATCGGAAATCTCCGGGTTTTTTTGTTTTCTAGTTTTTTTTCGACTATTTTTTAACTATTTTCTGGTTTTTTTTTAAATTTGCATTTTCTCGATGACACTTGCACGATAAAAAACAGTATAAAGAACAAAAAATTGAAAAAAATTCGAAAAAACTCGGAGGTGTCCGACCCGGTGACGTCACGCAATAAAAGTGTAAACACGCAAAGTGTATGCACGCAATGCGCAATCCCGCATACAGTACTCCACGCAAATGGGAAACTCGCTCTTGTCGTAGCACCGAACTTTCAAGGGTCCCTAAGATTGTCCCTCCAGGGACTCCTCTGCAATAGTCGATTTTTTTGCCCCTCCAGGGACTTCTCTTGCGGTCTGCGAATTTTTCAGAATTTTCAGAGATTCCTTGACTTTTCCGCATCAAAAGGAATTTTTAAACTTCTCCCTGCTCCTCTAAGAAGTTTATTCGAATGAAGTAGGAAAAAAAAATTAAAAATATTATTTCTCAGCGAAAATCTACCTCATTGAAGTTTTGTAGATTCATAACAGCTTTTAAGAAATTTTAAAGGCGCAGGGTAGTTTATCTCTTTTTGGTCTTGTAAGGAACTCATCTTGGATCGGCAGAGGTGTCCCTATAGGGTTAGGGACCAGCTCCTGTAGGGGATCAAAAAGTGCTCCCTAGAGGAGTAAAGGGTCCTATGGGGCTTTATGGTCTGACCTCTAAGCCCCCGAAGCTTGAGTGGCCCCTATAGTGGTCTTTTAATAATCCTTCTGATTTGAAAGTTGAAAAGAGCTATCAAAATACTCCCCTATAGTGGCTACTTTCGACAAATTTAGCTCCTCTGTAGGAGGAGGCAAGGTGATTCCTAAAAGGTAGCCTGCAAGAGCTCCGAATGATGACCCTTTAGGGGCCACTTTGGCAATCCTAAGCATAAGCTCGAGTCCAGAAGTAGAAATGAGAGACTAGGGCTCTTTGAAGAGATTATACAGAAGCTAGAGTGCTCTTGTTTCTCTGTCGTCTCTTCAGACTATCATTGATCTCACTTTTCCTATCCTAGACGTCATTTTAAAGATCTTGTACAGATATTCCAAGCTATCAATGAGCTTAGGAGAGAGACTGAGCTCTCTGAAGAGATTCTAGAGATAGAAAGGATTTCTCTCCTTCTCTGTCGTCTCTTCAGAGCAGTATTGACCTCTCGCTTGATTCTCTATTTCAATTTTATAGTTCTCAATGAGAACAAACGAAACAGTGGGCAACTGAAGAGAGTCCAGAGAAACCAGATTTTTTTTGCATCTCTGGCGTCTCTTCAGCAATTGCTGATATTTTTGAGAATTGAAAAATTCAGAATACGCCTAAAGGTGTAGCATCCAATGTGGAAGTCTCGCAGAGGAAGGTTGGTTTTTTTTATTTATTAAAGGAATTTTCCAAAATTTTTTTTGGAAGCGGCTTTGAACTTTATAGTAGACTCATTAAAGCTTTCAGGGATTTTTGAAGATTTTAGAAATTTTGAAGAAAAAAAAAGTTTTCTCCATTAGAGACAATGACTATCTGGAGAGAGTCTAGAGAAACAGGCTCGCTCTGGTTTCTCTGGCGTCTCTTCAGGTCATAATGATCTCTAGGCTCTCTGATCGAATTTGAAGATTATCCCAAAATCTCATTGAGCAGACGCTAGTGAGAGAGCATTTTCTGAAGAGGGTTCAGAGATAAAAACTTTCAATTTTTCTCTGGCGTCTCTTCAGATTTTTTTATCTATCGATCTCGATTTTTTTCACTTTTTTTGGTTAAAACTGAAATTTTGAAGGAGAGAATTTATGAAATATATAAATTTTTTTGAATTGAAGAGAAAGGCGAAAAAGAAAGACGAGGAGAAGACGATCAATTCGATGCGCGCCAGGATGAATTCCAACGAAAAAGTGGAAACTGGACCGCCCGATTTCGCCTTCGCCGCTTCCGTTCATCCATCGGTTAAAAAAAAAAGAAATCTTACAGAAAAAAAAAACTTGATCGTTCTAATAGTGAGCTTCTTTCTCGAAAAAAAAAGGAAATTTCGAAACTTTTTTTATTTTTTTGAAAACGCCCAAGCTCTGAAAACTAGATACATATATCCATCTGTGAATGAAAAAAATCACATATTCTTAAGAAATTAACTAACTCGATGTTTTTTTCAAAAGGCATGCTGGAAAAAGTCGGTCGGTCAGTTTGGAAAACTAGGCCACGCCGTAATATTGCTCCATTGAACACTTAGAATTTCAATCTTTTTTTTTTCTTTTCTGAATTTTTCTTCCTTTTTTTAATTTCACTAAGACGGTTTTCGTTTTTTTTTTCATTCAACTATATCGTTCTCGCGAGCAAAATACAATGGTTACATTCAAAATTATGAAATGATTCAATTTTTTTGGAAATTCTTATCAATTTTTTTGGATCCAAAAATAACTTCATATAACCAAATGAGTGAAATTAAAAAAATTTTTTTAGAAATCGGAAAATGAGATAATGTGTAAAATAGACACAAAAGAAAAGGCAAAAAACAAAATTCCCTCCAACAAAAGGTGAAACATTACCCAGGGAAACAATTATAAATAACAGTTTAGGTTGAAGTGAGGAGCATGTATCCCATACCCTAGAAAACTTGAAAAAAGGAAGGAAAAAAATATAGAAAAAGGAAAAAAAAAAATCTGAAATTCGATTTTCCATGGAGCAAAATTACGGCGTGGCCTATTTTTCCAAATCGACCGAACCGACCGACTTTTCCAGCATGCCTTCTCAAAAAACCCAAATGGTGTTAACGAAAAAGAAAAGAAATTTTCCTGGGATATGGACGGTTATTGAAACTTAAAAATGAACTAAATTCAATTTGTCTATTGAAGCAAATTTGGCGGCTTCAAAACTGTCGTTTATATGTTTAAAATGATCACGGGAAATCCGCATAATGGACATTTCAGCAGTAAAATTGGGTCCTACAACGAAATGGCGGTTTTTAAAGGCGTAGTTCAAAATTTGAAAGTTCTGGGCTTTGAATTTTGCGCCAAACATCCATTTCGAAACCGCCTAATATACCAAGAAATATTTTTTTTAGACAATCGAACAAAAAAAGCATTTAACAAGTGAAAAACGAACAAAAAGAGCGTTTCAATTTCACCAAGACGGTTTTCGTTTTTTTTTTTTTCATTCACTCGTATCGTTCTCGCGAGCAAAATTTCAAAAAAAGAGCATCAGACGACCGAACAAACACCGGGCCAGAAGCAGGCTTTCGAGCAGTTCATTACGGTTTTTTGAGAATTTTTAACATTTTTCTCAAAGTCCTCTTGGTGTTTAGAAGATCAAAAACATGGGCATTGACGGGCTGATCAAGGAGTACAATGCCGAGGTGAAGCCCTACATTGTCCCCAACATGAGACGGGAGGTTTTCGATAAGAACGTCGAGAAGAATCGCTACGTTGGTGGGTTTGGAGCAGGAAGGAAGGAGAAAACAGGACTTTTTATTGATTGATTGGTCGATTGGTCGATTGATTGTTTTATTGATTTATTGACTTACTGACGAGCTGACTTATTGATTTATTGATTGGTAGCCGATTAGGGTTACTCCAAAATGACGCGAGAACTATTTCTGCGGAAAAAAAAACGCTTCTGAAAGATTTTTTGAAAAAAGTTGATTCGACCGTTTTTGGGACGATTGTCCCTTTTCCAGACGTGGTCTGCAATGACACGACCCGAGTCGTCCTGAAAGACGGCCGTCCTGGAGATTATATCCACGCCAATTACGTCAGAGGCCTCACACCGACGTATATCCTCACTCAGGTTGAAAGTTGGAACAGAATAAAAGAATAATGAGGACGAAAACGAGAGATAATGGCTTCCTGAAGAGGTTCTAGAGAAGCTAGATTGCTCTCGCTTCTCTGTCGTCTCTTCAGGAGTCCACTGCTCTCTCGCTTCTGACTGAAGTTGTGAAGCTATCAGTTCATGTAATTGAGAGATAATGACTTGCTGAAGAGACGCCAGAGAGGCGAGAGTGCCCTAACTTCTCTGTCGTCTCTTTTTATTGCTAAGTCTCTAATTTCTACTCTCTGACTGAGCTTTTGGACTTGATTTTTTCACTGCGAAAAGAAATAAGCTTTTTCTTGTCAATAGAGCAACGTTTCTTCAGGGTCCCCTGGCTGGAACTTGCGTCGACTTTTGGCGAATGATCGCTCAGGAGAAGGTCACAATGATTTGTATGCTCTGCGAGGTGATTTTTTTTTGGGATGTCAAGAAAAAAAGCTTTCAAAATGACTTCATAAGCCTAAGAATTGAGTTTTTCTTCCAGTTTGTCGAAATGGGCAAGACGAAATGCGAGAAGTATTATCCGGACGCGGCCAATGAGAAAATGACCCATGGAGGTGATTTTGAAAAGGAAAAAAAAAATTTAAGAAGTGTTTCAAGTATCTAAAACTCTCTACATATGCTTTTGAAAGTCTGAAGTTATAATTCTCAGATTTTACGGTCACTTGCGAATCAGTCGACACGACCGATCAACACTTTCACAAGTGCAATTTGTTGGTCGAATCTGGAGGCACAAAATGGAAGACGACCCATTGGAGAATGAAGACTTGGTCCGTTTTGATTACGATTTTTTTTTATTACGGTGCACCACGCGTTGAACCGACTATCGGCGAGCACCCCTCGTTGAACTAAGCGCGATTTGGCCTGCGTTGAACTTTCAGGTGCCCCCCGCAGTTTAACCAGTTACTCTCTGCGTTTTCGGTGCACCCCGCATTGAACTGAGCGCAATTTGGGCGACCCTGCGGTGAACGTACCGGTGCGCCCGCAATAAAACAAAGTGCACCCCGAGTTGAACCTTTCAGTGCAACCCACAGTGTAATCTGGTGCACCCCGCAATGAGCCAATCATCGGCGCGCCCCCCTCTTGGGACTGAGCGCGATTCGGTGCACCATGTGTTGAACCTTTCAGTGCACCCCACACTGTAATTAGGTGCACCCCGCGATGAGCCAATCATCGGCGTGCACCCCGCGTTGAACGGTGCGCGATCCGCGGCGATTAACTTTTTGGTACACCCCACAGAGCAACAAGGGACACTCGAAGAGAACAAGGGACACTCAAAGAGGACTTAATTTTATGCCACACGCTTGTACGCCAGACAAGTCCAACACGGTGTGCATTCACTAATTATGGGGTTTACACCCTCATTTTTGTGAATCCCTATTCTTTTGGTGCACCTAACAATGAAGTCAGGTGCACCCCGCGTTGAACTGACCATCGGCGTGCACCCCCCGATGAAATGAGCGCGATTCGGAGCACCCTGCGATGAACTTTCCGGTGCACCCCGCAATGTAACCAGAGATGCACCTCGCGTTGAACCGACCATCGGCGTGCACCCCTCATTGAACTGAGCGCGATTCGGTGCACCCCGCAGTGTAACCAGGGTGGCATCAGGGGTATACCGGAAAGTTCAACGCGGGCTAGGACTATACGAAACAACATCGACTCCACCTGAGAGTCCCCTGTTTCAGGCCGGACAAAACCGTCCCGAAGTCGCCAATGTCGGTGCTTCGATGCCTTCTCGCTATAAGAACCAGTCAGAATGCTGTGGTCGTCCATTGCTCGGCTGGAATCGGCCGAACCGGAACTTTTACCGCCGTCGAAATCTGCCTCCAGACGGTGTTCAACGGCAAGATCTTGGTCATGTACGAGATCTGTCAGAAGCTTCGATGTGAGCACGGCTTTTTGCTTGGATAATATGTCATTCTTGGAACAGTCTGGCTTCTCTGCGCTCTCTTTTCTCTATATTTCATCTTCTGAAGAGATGAGAGAGCGCAGGCGGGTCGGAGTGTTACGGGTGATAAGATTTTTCCAGATTTTTTCTAATCTTTCTAACTTTAATTGAAGCCTGCCGTCCGAGTTGCGTTCAAGTCGACCAGCAGTACATTGCCCTGGCGTTGACCGTATGCGAGTGCGCCTTTGCTTTTAAATACGTCACCGACCCGACTCTTAACGCTGTGAGATTTTCGGTTTTCAATATAAGGTCACAAAACATAGTTATTGACGGGTATGCAGAGCAGTAAATCGACGACACTCATACCTAAAATAACTTGCGAGATATATGCGATATCGCCAGCGGTACATTGACGACTTTGTGAAAGTTCTGCGATGTAGCCGCGCCGGTGTTGCATTTTTCATAGCGCGGTCGGTGAGGGAAAATGCGAGTTTGGAGCGGCGATATAGCGGGTCATTTGCGACATCGCTTTTCTCTCGCGTCGGACTAGGGAGTTACCTTTGGTATTCACCCAGGCATAATTAGCGAGAGTAACGCGATATCGTCTGCGGTACGTTGACGACCTCGTAAAAGTGCTGCGTGATAGTCGCGCCGGTCCTTTTTACTTTTAGCGCGAGAAAAATGCGATATCGGTGGCGGTAAATTCAAAAATTTGCAAAATTGTCGCTCTGTCCTCGCGCGGATCCCGCATTCTGGAAATTTACATTTTTCCTTGAAGGCGTGAGAAAAACTAAAGACGGTTCATTTGCGACATCGCTTTTCTCTCGCGCCTGACTAGGGGTTTACTTTTGGTATTCACCCAGGCATAATTAGCGAGAGTAACGCGATATCGCCTGCGGTACATTGACGATCTCGCAAAAGTGCTGCGTTTTAGCCGCACCAGGATCGCACTTTTCTTGGCGCTATATCGCATTTTGCAAATTTTGGAAATTTTTTTGAGAGCGTGAGGAAAGCGATATCGCGCCTGGAAAAATGCGAGATTGGCTTGTGAACAGAGCGATTTGTTCGCGTTATTTTCAGTGTTTTTCTAGCGATATCGCGTTTCTATCGCACCACACTTGGCGGTTATCTTTAGTGTTAGATTGAATATTTTCAAAGCATTCAGAGTGCCATTTGTAGTCAAATCGACGATTTGAAAAAAGTTCATACTGGGAGATTTTTAAGTGGCCTCTTGAGGGTTTTGACGTGTTATTGCCCACTATAGTAGTCGAATAAGTGATCACTGGAAAGGTATCAATGATCGGTTTCAGGAGATCACAGCGATGAAGGAGAAGTACCTGCAGTACGTGGCGACGGGCCAGCCCTCTGAAGGCGTTTCCCAGAAACCGTCGAACACTTCGTTGGCGACGGCGCCCGCCACCGCCGTCACCACCACCACGGCCACACAACCCGCCCAGTCGCCCTCCAAAGGCGAAAAGAAGAAGTGATCCCAGGTCGGTGGGTTGCTAGTTTTTCCGAATGTTGGTTGTTGATGGGTTACGGTAGTTTACGGTTGTAGTAGCAATTCATCATGGAGCTGAGTGGATCACGTTGATTTTTCATTATTGCTCGTTTTCTCGGGAAAAGGCGGATTACGGTAGTATACTGTTTTTGTACATTTCCCAAAAATTGACCTCTATTCTACAGTATGGTCAGATCTTTAGGGTTACTGTAGTTTACTGTTTTGAAATTTTCTACGGAAGTTGACAAGCTCACCTTACAGTATGGAGTTGAGTAAGGAATACTATAGGGTTACTGTAGTTTTTTATTTTTGGGAAATTTCTCTGAAGCCCCCGGGCTAACGTTGAATCTCCAGTAGGACCAGAAATTGCTAGTTTTCTTGAGAAAAATTCAAAAAAAATTTTTTAAGCTCAGTTTTCATCCAATGACGCCAACAATCTAAAGAGAGAAAAATTTTGGTAAGATTTGCTGAAAATTTCTTTCGAAATGGAGATTTCAGACCTCACCGTCATTTTTTTCTCTCTCCCTCTCCCTCGATTTTTCTTCCCTCAAAAACGGCAATAAACGTTTTCTTTGAAAGTTTTTTTTTTACCTTTCAAGGCTTCAAGCCGCATTTGGAATGTCTCTTTTATGGTTATAATGGATTTGCACCCGACCTGAAGCGACTTGCGCCGGCGTCAGTTCAAAAGCAAATTTTGAAGTCAAAACTTAGACTAGCCATTCCAAATGCGACCATAAATCATAAAGTATCTTCTTCAATTTTTTTTTGTCATTCCGGACAATTCATCGACATTTCAAAATGAGTCCATTTTGCCATGTATTCCTGCTATCAAGCTGGTTTCAATAGTTTTGGTCGCATTTGAAAAGGCTTTGTTAAAGTTGCGCCCGACCAGGAGCGACTTGCGCCCGTCGGCGTAAATTCTGAAGCAATTTTCGAATTTTAAATTTGAACTAGCCATTCCAAATGCGACCATGAGTCATTAGGAGTATTTTTTTCCCAATGTTTGTCTTGTTATTTTGACAACTGATCGATATTTAATAATAAGTTCATTTTTTAATGTTTTGTCCTATCAAGCTGATTTAGATAGCCGCGGTCGCATTTAGAATGGCTTTGTTAAAGTTGCGCCCGACCAGAAGAGACTTGCGCCCATCGGCGTCAATTCTGAAGCAATTTTCGAATTTTTTATTTTCAAGTAGTCATTCCAAATGCGACCATGCGTCATCGGGAGTATAGAGTTCTTTCGCCATATCTTTTTTGTCTTATCAAGCTGGTTTCATTAGCCTTGGTCGCATTTGGAATGGCTTTGTTAAAGTTGCGCCCGACCAGGAGCGACTTGCGCTCGTTGGCATCAATTTTCGAATTTTTGAATTTCAACTAGCCATTCCAAATGCGGCCATGCGTCAGTGGCGAAAAAAGAAAAATTGAGGTATATCTTTCCCAATATTTGTCTTGTTATTCCGGACAACTCATCGACATTTCATAATGAGTTAATTAGCGAGCTCTCGACGGGCCGAAATATCATTCAACTCGTGGCTCTCAATCAACTCAACTCACGTTTTTATTTCTCTGCCTTCCCCTGTGTGTCCCTTTTTATGACTCAAGTGCACCCTTGAGGCCATTTATATCGGTTTTTGAGGACTTTTTGAGAAGGTTCCATGTTTTGTGGATTGAGCTTTTTTCGAATGAAATGTGAGGATTTTCCGGATTTTTGAGGACTTTTTAATAATTTATTCCGAAACCAGCGTCAACTATCAAACTTGTTATCATTCCTTAAGAAGGCCAGAGTGGCCCCTAGAGGGGTTAGGGAAGCAAACTGTCCATAAAGAGGAAAACAAAGTGCTCCCTAAAGAGCTGAGACGGGTGAATTTTAAGGGACCACTGTAGGGACCACTTAAAGGCCTAGATCCAGACTTGAAACCCCTATTTGTTTAGGACGTTTTCTATATGAGCTTCTTCTTCTCCCAACCCCTACAGAAACCAGTCTGACGTTTCCAAGAAGTGGCCACTGTAGTGGTCGTCTAAATTTTCATGCTCCCCTAGAGTGGTCACTAACTAAGAACCCACTAGTGTCCACTTTTGCAAGCGTTAGTCCCCTCCTAGGGATTTTTCAAAGGCCCCTAAAGTTGCCCCTCTAGGATCCAGGGATCCTTAAAAACGGCCCTAAAGTTGCCCCTCTAGGGACCAGTAATCATTCCAGGCCCTTAAATTTGCCCTTACAGGGACCAGGGATCCTTCGAGGGCCCTCAATTTGCTCTTCTAGGGACCAGGAATGCTTCAAGAGTCCCTGAAGTTGCCCCTCTAGGATCCAGGGATCCTTCAAGCGTCCTCAAAGTTGTCCTCTTAGGGACCAGGGATCCTTAAAAACGGCCCTAAAGTTGCCCTTCTAGAGATCAGGGATCATTCAAGGGTCCCTAAAGTTGCCCTTCCAAGGCCCAGGGAACCTTTAAGGGTCCCTGAAGTTGCCCTTTTAGGGACCAGGGATCCCTCAACGGTCTTTAAGTTGCCCCTCTAGGGACCAGGGATCCTTCAAAGGTCCCTAAAGTTGCCCTTTTAGGGCCCAGGGATGCTTCAAGAGCCTTCTAAGTTGCCCCTCTAGGGACCAGAAATCCTTTGAGGGTCCTTAAAGTTGTCTTTCCAGGGCTCAGGGATCCTTTAAGGGCCCCTAAAGTTGCCCCTCTAGGGACCAGGGATCCCTCAACGGTCTTTAAGTTGCCCCTCTAGGGACCAGGGATCCTTCAAAGGTCCCTAAAGTTGCCCTTTTAGGGCCCAGGGATGCTTCAAGAGCCTTCTAAGTTGCCCCTCTAGGGACCAGAAATCCTTTGAGGGTCCCTAAAGTTGCCTTTCCAGGGCTTAGGGATCCTTTAAGGGCCCCTAAAGTTGCCCTTACAGGGACCAGGGATCCTTCGAGGGCCCTCAATTCGCTCTTCTAGAGACCAGGAATGCTTCAAGAATCCCTAAAGTTGCCCCTCTAGGGTCCAAGGATCCCTAAAGTTGCCCTTTTAGGGCTCAGGGATTATTTGAGCTCAGAAGATTCGCTGGCAAGTGCAAAGCCTTCTAAAAGTCCAACTCTCTGTATACCGAATTCGAGCCTCCTCCCCGTATCAAGTTGCGGTGGAGCACCTTTTGTCGCAATCATAAATATTGCAGTAGTTTCGTAAGAAAGTCGGGAAAAGGCTTGACTGACTCGCGGTTGTCGACGGCAACAAGTCATCAATTTTCATCCAATTTACGGCCTCCCTTTTTCGACGTAAAACTCGGTAACAAAACGTCGTTTCGCCTCCCTCCCCCGGTTGTTTTCCCTCGGCTCTCCGCGGGGCCTTAACTCATTTTGCAAAACAATAATTGACCCTCACGAGCTGTTATCCGCCATATTCGCTTGTTCTGTACAGAACAAAGCGGGCGATTTTGGGGAGGAAAGCGGGAAAGACAAGATTTGAGAAGGATGATGTTGATGGACATGATCAGAATATCGAATTTTTAATAAAAATCGGATTTTTTCGACTTTCTACTGATCAAAATCGTGAAAATTGCACTCATAGAACCTTAAAAAAATCTCATGACCGCATTTGGAATGGTTCGAGGCGAAAAAACAGCAAAGAGAATGTTTCAAAACGCGTCCGACCCAAAACGGCTTGCACCTAGCACCACTGAGAAGCAGCAAAACACATCTTATAGCGAAAAAATAGCAAAAAGTTTCCTAAAACCCTGAAAAATCTTTTGACCGCACTTGGAATGGCTCTACGCGTATAAAAAGCGCAAAGGAAGGTTCATGACCGACCCAAAACTACTCGCGCCTAGGACCACTGAGAATAAACTGAACAGATCTCATAATATGAAAAATGAGAATCGCGAAACGTTTCCACATTGAACCCAAAAGGATCCTCTGACCGCACTTGAAATGGTTCGATCATAACAGCGCCCGACCCAAACCGACTTACGCCTAGGACCATTGAGAAGCAGCTAGCCATATCCCATGATATAATGGATCACACTCGCGAAAATTTTTCTCATAGACTCGATTGACCCTAACAAAATCCTCTGACCGCATTTAGAATGGTTCGAGGCGTGAAAAAAAAAAAGCGAAACAGTTGCTTCAATACCCGTCCGACCCAAAACGACGTGCGCCTCGGGAAATTAGAAAGCGTTCCATGATATTTTTCTACCGAAATTGGTACTTCTAATTTGAAAAAAGTTGGTACTTCCAATTTGAATGCTATACAAAACGGGAATGAACAATTTCAGTTTATCTCCATGAAAAAAAAGCAGTTTTCGAGCTCCATATCAAAAACCGCGGCCCCACTGGAATTGGCTCGGAGCGTTGCGGTCGCGTCGCGGTCGGATATGGTCCACAGGCGACTTAGTATTTTGCTCTAAAGCTTTTCGATGCACGAGGAATGACTCGAGCGGCTGTTCGAAAGTGCATCGGACCTGAAATGGTTTGCGCGCGAACAAAATCAAAACGCGGGACCTCTGGGAATGGCTCAGAGCGTTGCGGTCGGAATGGGTCTACAGTTGACTCACTTGCTTCAAAGCTTTTCGATGCTATTCACGCGCAAACCGTTTCAGGTCCGGTGCGCTTTTGAACAGCCACTTGAGCCATTCCTCACGCGACCGACTTTTTTATCCTTTTCAAACTGACTACTAATCGAAAAATAACTTTCTGGCGTCACTAGATTTTCACTTCTCACAATGTAGGTAGGGGAAAAAAAAGCGAATCACACACATATATGATGAAAAAGGTGTGTTTTCACACCTCGACTACAAATCTCCAAGGATTTGTCTCTCTCGGGACTCGCCACAATTTGCCGCTAACTTTTCCATTTTTACACTTGTTTCATTGATTCCCATCTAGAGTCTGTCCAGATCCAAAAAAAATCTGAAATTCTTGAGTCACGCCCACTTTTCGCCCGGTAGAACTTTTCAAAGAATTCGGATTTTTTTTTCAAGTTTTATTCATTCATTTATTAAACATGTAACCAATCAATTTCAACCCGTTCTTGAGCCCCGCCCGCTTATCGCCCGGTAGTAGCTGAAGGAGCGACCCGGGACGACCGCAACGCGCCCTGGGGCGACCCGCGGAGCGGTCACGCTCTTAGACAGCCATTTTTCTCAAATTTTCAACGAGCTTATTTTTTAATCAATTTTCTAAAATTTAATCATTCCCAAAGTTGTGAGCCGGGTCGCCCGGGGCAACTACTTCAAATTTCGGGTTGACCCGGGACGCCCGGTAAGTAGAAACTATCCACTATATTGAAATTTTCACGCTCAGAACACACTTGATATCACGAATCTACTCAAAAGTTGGTCAGCTTGAACCCAAGGGCTAAGCCACGCCCGCTTATCGCCCGGCAGCTCAATACACTCTTTTGAATATATTTGTTTGTTCTTTAAATCTTGCTTGAATAACGCTCAAAACGCACATAAATTTATGAATTTACCCAAAAGCTGATCATCTTGAACCCAAGGGCTAAGCAACGCCCGCTTATAGCCCGGCGACTCAGTAAAATCTTCTGAATCTGTTCATTTATTTTTCATTCAATCCTCTAAGTAGGCTCAATGTACAGTCAAGCTCACCAATTTACCTAAAAGCTGATCATTCTGAACCCAAGGGCTAAGCCACGCCCGCTTATCGCCCGGTAGCTCGCATAAAACTTTCCATCGATTTTTTTTTTTGAAGAAACTCTACATTCATATCTCTTTTATTGCTTGAATAAGATTGAAAACACTTTCAAGCTCATCAATTTACCCAAAAGCTGATCATCTTGAACCCAAGGGCTAAGCCACGCCCGCCTATCGCCCGCCACCTCAATTAAAACTTTCGAGGCGGCGTCGACGGCTTCACCCCCCTCGCGCCGAGCTCCGCCCACTTTTTTTCGTTTTTCCAAAAACCCACTTTTGCTCTGCTGCCCCTAGTCGTCGTCGCATTTTTTTTCTTTTTCAGGTTTTCTCTCTTGCTTTCGTCGGCCACCTTCCTGACATCCACTGCCTTTTCTTATTCTTATGAATATTCAAGGGAAAAAAAAGAGAGGAAGCAAGACGAACCTAGGTTTCTTCTCCTAATCGTTGTTTTTTGCGAATTTCGAATGATTTTTGGAGATTTGTCAGATTCAATAGAGCATATTTGTTGGAGTTTCGAGATAAAGCTCGAAAAATCTTGAGAAATCCAAAGAAAATAGGATTATTCTGAATTTTTCTGCTTTTTTTAAGGTTTTCGAGAGTTTTGGGATGATAATTTGGGTCTATTTTTACATTTCGATGGAGCAGATTTGGTGAGATTATGAGATGAAGCTGGAAAAACTCAGAGAGAATAGAATTTTTGCCTTTTTTATACGCAAAAATGTCATTTCTAGTGTTTTTAAAGGATTTTTTGAGTTTAAGGATGATAATTTGGGTCTAATTTTGATTATCGATAGAGCAGATTTGCTCAAAATATATGATTAACCTGGGAAAGATGAGAAAAACTTGAAGAAAAACAAGGTTTTTTTCGGGATTTTTTTGACAGTTTCAAACTTTAAAAAAATCATTTTTTTGTGTTTTTTTAAGAATCTCCTGAGTTTTTAGGAAGAAAAACGGGGTCCAATTTAGATTATTGATAGAGCAAAATTGCTCAAAACTTGAAAAAAAGCTGACAAAATTGAAATAAAAACAGGATTTTTGTTACAATTTTCGACGTTTTTCAAAACAAAAATGTCCGTTTTTTAGCTTTAAACTAATTTTTTTATGGATGTTTGGATTATTTTTTTCACATTTTTTTCGAAGATTTTATTGATCAAAGGGACTTTTTAAAGCTTGAGAAAATCAAAAACGTTGATTTTTTTCGTTTTTTTATCGAAAAAAATTCTTATGTGTGAAAAAGATGAATTTATCTTCAAAAAAATCCAGAAAAATTTCACTCGGATTTAATAAATTTATTTCAAGCATTTAGAAAAAAAGCTTCAGAAAAATTTTTACTTTGCAAGCAAAAAAATCTCACACCAGGAGCAAAAAGCTCCGCGTTTTTTTCATCCCAAAAATGGGCTTTCGTCGGCCATAAAAAGCGGCAGGAAACGGGTTGATTTACAGCAATGGACCTGAAAACAGGGCATGACAACCGGATTACGAGCCTTTTTCGCCTTTTTTTCTCTCTCAAAGTTTTTCTTCAGCTACAACTTTTCGAAAAGAAGAAGTTGTTAGATGTGCAGGCTTGGAATGGGTCAAATTCTAAAATTTTCTCATCCTTTGGTCCTATTTCTAGAGCTTGGCGCTTGGTTTTTGAAAAAAAACGAGAAAAAGTGCGCGGAGCTTGTTAGATGTGCAGGCTTGGAATGCGTCAAATTCTAAAATTTCCTTCTCCTTTGGTCCTATTTCTAGAGCTTGACTTGGTTTTTGAAAAAACGAAAAAAGTGGGCGGAGCTTGTTAGATGTGCAGGCTTGGAATGCGTCAAATTCTAAAATTTCCTCCTCCTTTGGTCCTATTTTTAGAGCTTGGGGCTTGGTTTTTGAAAAAAACGAAAAAAGTGGGCGGAGCTTGTTTGATGTGCAGGCTTGGAATGGGTCAAATTCTAAAATTTCCTTCTCCTTTGGTCCTATTTCTAGAGCTTGGCGCTTGGTTTTTGAAAAAAAACGAGAAAAAGTGCGCGGAGCTTGTTAGATGTGCAGGCTTGGAATGCGTCAAATTCTAAAATTTCCTCCTCCTTTGGTCCTATTTTTAGAGCTTGGGGCTTGGTTTTTGAAAAAAACGAAAAAAGTGGGCGGAGCTTGTTTGATGTGCAGGCTTGGAATGGGTCAAGTTCTAAAATTTCCTCCTCCTTTGGTCCTATTTCTAGAGCTTGACTTGGTTTTTGAAAAAACGAAAAAAGTGGGCGGAGCTTGTTTGATGTGCAGGCTTGGAATGGGTCAAATTCTAAAATTTCCTTCTCCTTTGGTCCTATTTCTAGAGCTTGACTTGGTTTTTGAAAAAACGAAAAAAGTGTGCGGAGCTTGTTAGATGTGCAGGCTTGGAATGGGTCAAATTCTAAAATTTCCTTCTCCTTTGGTCCTATTTCTAGAGCTTGACTTGGTTTTTGAAAAAACGAAAAAAGTGTGCGGAGCTTGTTTGATGTGCAGGCTTGGAATGGGTCAAATTCTAAAATTTCCTCCTCCTTTGGTCCTATTTCTAGAGCTTGACTTGGTTTTTGAAAAAACGAAAAAAGTGGGCGGAGCTTGTTAGATGTGCAGGCTTGGAATGGGTCAAATTCTAAAATTTCCTCCTCCTTTGGTCCTATTTCTAGAGCTTGACTTGGTTTTTGAAAAAACGAAAAAAGTGTGCGGAGCTTGTTTGATGTGCAGGCTTGGAATGCGTCAAATTCTAAAATTTCCTCCTCCTTTGGTCCTATTTTTAGAGCTTGGGGCTTGGTTTTTGAAAAAAACGAAAAAAGTGTGCGGAGCTTGTTTGATGTGCAGGCTTGGAATGGGTCAAGTTCTAAAATTTCCTCCTCCTTTGGTCCTATTTCTAGAGCTTGACTTGGTTTTTGAAAAAACGAAAAAAGTGGGCGGAGCTTGTTTGATGTGCAGGCTTGGAATGGGTCAAATTTTTAAAGTTCGCTTGAAATTTTTCTCAACTTTGAGTCATATTTTAAGATGGTTTTTAGTTTGGACTGAGTTTTTGAGATTTTTTAAGGTCGAAAATTAGTCTTTAAAGTTTAAAAAAAGGTCTCGAAATCATATTCAAAACATCGAAAAGAGCTTCCAGGTGGTTCTAAGCACCTATTTTTTCTCTTCCAAAAGCTTTTCCCATACACATTTCCTCATTCTAGTCCGCACTTTGAGAAATATTCATGTTTTTTGTTCATTTCCAGCATCCAAAATCCCAAGCCTTAAAAGAAATGTTGACGATATCGTCATTATTTCCGGACTATTTACAATTTATGTAGGAAAAAATCATACTTTTCTTGATTTTACGAAAGAAACAAAAAAAAATCTCAAGCTTCATCAAGATAACTTTTTTCGAATCTTTCAAATCATTTCCGGCATCCGAAGTCCCAAGCTTCAAGCTTCAAGCTTTGAAGTCCCAAGCTTAAAACCTTCAAGCTTCATCAAGATAACTTTTTTCGAATCTTTCAAATCATTTCCGGCATCCAAAATCCCAAGCTTCACGATTTGAAGTCCCAAGCTCAAAAACCTTGAACTCCCAAGCTTGAAAAAAAAAGGAAAAATGTTCCCGATATGGCCAGTTTCTATTTAATTTACAGTAATAAATTAGGTATTGTTAGTAATAAATTAAGTATTAAAGTCATCCTTACTTTTAGTCTTACGAAAAAAAGAAAATCTGATCTTTTTCCTTCATTCAAAAATCCCAAGCATCATCGGGATACCTCCTTAAAATCTTTCGATTTATTTCCGGCATCCAAAAAGTCCCAAGCTCAATCAAAATGTTTTTTTTTAAATCTATGGCATAATTTTTCTCATATAAAATCCCAAGCTCCAAGCTTTGAAGTCCCAAGCTCGCTCAAAGCCTTGAAGCTTCAAAATATTTTTTTTTTCCAAATCCTTCAAATCATTTCCGGCATCCAAAATCCCAATCTCAAGCCTTGAAAAAGAAAAAAAAAGAAAAACGTTGACGATATCGTTTGAGTTTGAGCGTCTTGCGTGTGTGTGTGAGAAACGTGTATGCATGTAAATTGACATTCAATAGCCTTCGTTTCTCATTTTGCACTTTTCGAAATGTTCCCCCACCACATCGCCTCGATTCCCATCTCATGTGTATATAAAATGATAAAAGTGCTGTTTTTTTATCTCAACTTTCCCGCTTCAATGGATTTTTCTCATTAGCTCGGCATCATCAGACCAATTACCATGGGTACCGGGAAAATGTCAAGTTTTTCTCCCTGATTTTCATGTACTTTGAGTTTTTTGAGACCTTTTTTGGAGGTTTTGAAGCTTTTTTAGATGATAGAAAAAGCTTGAAAAGTCCTAAAAGTTCGTTTTTCTGCCTGGTTTTCATGTATTTTGAGTTTTTGAGACTTTTTTGGAGGTTTTGAAGCTCTTTAGACGTTAGAAGAAGCTTGAAAAGATTTTTTCGTCATTGATTTTCATGTACTCTGCGTTTTTTCAGAGCTTTTTGAAGGCTTTAATGTTAGAAGAAGCTTGAAAAGTCCTAAAAGGTCCTTTCTTCCTTGATTTCGATTTACCTAACGTTTTTTGGAACTTGCCAGGGAGTTTTGAAGCATTTTATATGCTTTCTCTCTTCAGAAAAAATTTGGTGAAAAAAGTTCCTGAATATCAGCTTTCTCATAGAAAAACCGTTAAAAGGTTCTCATCATTCTAAAAAAAGAGGAAGTTTTGATTTCAAAAAAACCCCCTTTTTAAAGTTTCCAGGTCCTTTAAATCCCCTTTTTTTCAAAAAAAGCTTATTATTTTTCAAATTTTTAATAATATCTGTTAAAATAACTTTATAGGTTCTGAAAAATCTTAATATCATGATATTTTTATTTTTATTTCTGCTTACCTGTTTGCGCGAAGTAATTTTTCGAAATCAACTATATTTTTTTAATAAAACTAAACATGGGTATCATTTAACAGTGTAGAATCGCTACTAAATAACAGCGGTTCTCTAAAAAATTGAGCAAAAAGGTCCAAAAAACGAGGAAATTTGATTTTCTTGTATTTGACGATTTTTTAAAATGTTGGCAACCGTTTTTTTCACTTTTTATGTACCGGACTATCGAAAAAACTTGATTTTTTGGAAAATCCCTTTTTTGTTCGAGAAAAAATCACGATTTCCAGGAGTTTTTCGTATTTTCCTAAAACGTTACCCACAAGGTCATTTTATTTTGGAGTTGGGAATTTCCTGAAAATCGACCAGAAAACTCCTTGATGTACCAGAAGAAGATTCTGAAAGTCCCAAGCTGCCCAACTTTCTAGATTTCGAGAAATAAGATCTCAAAGTTTAAAAATGGCCCATTTTAATGGAATTTGAGGGTTTTCTTTGTCTTTGATGTGCCTTCAAAAAAAAAAATTAGAATTTGGAGATTTTTGCACTTTCTTCTGGTACATCCAGGAAGCTTCTGGCTAATTTTCAGGAAAATCCAAAGCTGTTTTTTTCCCTACCCAACTTGGATGATCCCAATTTGTCCTCGACGGATTATCTATGCGCGGAAATGACTCGTAGTTGTTCTCTTCTCTTCTTCCAATTTTTTCCTGTCCTTTTTTTTTCTCCAAGGGCCAAGAAATTGGCCTTCTAGGAACCCCCTAATTTTCTGAAGGATCTGTCTTCTTTTTCGCGGTTTTTTTTTTGGGACACTTGAAAGGTCGTGAAACGAGGTGTGAGCTTACTACTAGTATAGTGGCTCTCTTTTGGAAGATTTTAGGCCTTTTATTTCTTGATTTTGATTACTTTAAAGGACTTACACCTCTGTAACATGCCCCGGACGATTCTGAGCATTTCTAGGGACCGCTTTAGGGACCTAAGCACTCTGAAATGATCCCTAGGTCTCTGTGACCTCATTATAAGAACCTCTTTCGGAAAATTTCGGGCTTTTTCTTGTTGGTTTTGATCATTTCAAAAGTCTCGAACCTTAAACACCGGCCCCAGACGTTTCTGAGCTTATCTAGGGACCAGTTTAGGGGAGTCAGCACCCTTAAGTGGCCCCTAGAGATGTAGTTGCCCTTTTTGGAAGATTTTGGGCCTTTTCTTCTTGATTTTGATTATTTTAGAGGACTTACACCTCTGCAACAGGCACAGGGCGTTTCTGAGCTTATATAGGGATCGCTTTAGGGGCGTCTGCGTTCTTAAGCGGCCCCTAGAACTGGATGAGCTGGTATAGAGGTCTTTTTTTTTGGAAGATTTTGGGCCTTTCTTCTTGCTTTTTATCATTTTGAAGGACTTGGTCCTCTGTAACTGGCACAGAACGTTTCTGTGCACTTCTAGTGACCACTTTAGGTCGGTAATGCGGCCCTGATGCTTCTGAGCATTTCTAGGGGCCACTTTAGGGAAATAAGCATCCTTAATTGGCCTCTAGGATTGCTGTGACACGTCCGGTACGCCTTATTTTGGATCTCAAGAAAAATTGTCCGAAGTAGCTTTGAAATGGACGAAATATAACAAAAAAGCTCTTAGAAACTGTGAAGTAAATTAATTTTAGAAATTTGAAGCATTTTGAAGATTTCCAGCTCCTTATGAAGATGTGAAATGTGAAAAGATTTACTTTTCTTTCTTGAAATAGATTTTACTGGTCGCATTCGGAATGGCTCAAGATACTGCGGACATGCGGCGGTTCAAGTTTGGAATTTTTTGAGGAGACCGGCGCAAGTCGTTTTGTGGTCGGGCGCACCTTCAAATTCGACAAATTTGCAACCGCGACGCGTTGAGCCATTCTCCGTGCGGTCAAAAAAATATTATTTTATTTTTCAAGAATGATTTAAAGTTTGAAACGCGAATTTTTCGTACATTTTTCAACGACTCTTTTGGAAAAATCAATTTTTTTGAATTTTTCAAGCCGGTTATTCTTCAAAATATTGTGTGTGAAAGTAGTTTGATCGATGATTTTTCCTTTTATTCTGTATTTTCACAGATTTTCCATTACCGGTTGCTCTAATTTTTTTGATTTTTAGCATAGAAAATAAGGAAAAACACCATTGGAATTATATAATATTATTTATTTACAGGCAGAACAAAATAACATGTACAGAAAAAAAAAGAAAAATTTGGCATTAAGCCTGAAATAAATAAATAAAAGGCACTTGAGGCCCTCACGAGCCTCTGAGCCAGTAATGAAAGAATAAGAGGTGAGGATTGCACAAAGGTAAAAAAAGTAAATAGAAAAGAAAGCATTATAAGTTATGACACAGTGTAGCACAGGTGGATGGGGAATTTAATTGTTTGTGATGATATAGACGCGCATAAGATGGATTAGAGTAGGGCTGAAGCACGGGTACCTGGTTCAACGGAATTATTAGAAAAAAAAAACTTATTTCACTTAAAAATGCCTACTTGAAACTGCAAAGATTTTTTGCTGATTTTGAATTTTTTTTGAAATTTTTTTTTCATTTCTTTTTGAATTGTAACACTATGATTTTCTTCTAGAGGGTATTTTTGAGACTTTTGTAAATCTTCGCGTCAAAATTAAGCTTTAACCCTGTTTTATCGGTACTTCATTCCATTTTTGAGGTCAAAAAAGCATTTTCTGTCAGAAAATCGCCGTTTTCACTAGACTTTCTCAATTTCCACGTCTCCTCGAGCAGCTGAAAATCCAAAGTGAGGAAAGCCAATGAATTTGGAATTGAAGTCCCGTTTTTCGTGTCGTTTTGCGAGATCCGAAATGCATTGGGCCGCCAAAATCGATGATAGGGACATTTCAGGGCCGTCCAAAACGATGTGATATGTGGCTGGCCGTCGTCCAACTCCTCGTCAACGTCATCTTCGCCCTGCCGTTCACCGAAGATCTCCCGCCCCACAAGTCCCATTGCTATAGGTAACGACTTTAGAATCTCAAGTGGTCCCTAGAGGGGCCCTTGAAGGCTTCCCTTTAGGGAAAACCTCACCTCGCCCTACAGGGGGCACTTAAGCTTGCAAAAGTGGCCCCTAGAGGGGACTTGCTAGCCCCTTATTGCTGTGAAGGAAATAAAATACCTCTATAGGGACCACTCCAGCTTCAAGGGTCAGACCTTAAACCCCTATAGGGGCCACTCTGGCGTTCCTAAGGAAGATATGAAGCGATTACTTCAAGGTCCTAATTTTTAGATCGAAGTGCACATTTTAGGGAAAATCATTAATTATTAAAAGCTGGTTTACACTTGAAAATTCGTAGACAAGGTTACAGTTTCTGGAAGTCTTAATATCACGAACTTCTATTCAATTTTTTGATCCTTGAGAAATTTCAAGCCGTTTTTAGAAGCTTCAGTCAGGTGTACTCCATAGATGAATTTGCCGTTTTACAACTTTTGTAAATTATCCCGTAGTTCATGATTATTTACAATTAAAAACTGATTAACGTACAAAAGTTGTCCGTGGAGCGCAAATGAATAAGAATTTTTCGCCGTCCGAAACGCCAGAGTGGCCCCCAGAGTGACAACCTTAAGGCATGTTCTAAAACACGAGCGGTTGTGGGGCACGAGCGGCACGACCGTTACTAAATCACGAGCGGTTTCATCTTTCGCTCCTTCGCGAACGCTTCTAAATCACGAGCGTTTTTTTGGCTTATCGTTCTGTTCGAGCGTTTCTAAACCGCGAGCGTTTCATTTTAATCATTTTCTTTATTACCATCCAAGTGTGTGTTTCATATTTCTACCTTCTTTTTTTCTCCTTGAATAAAAAAATTTTGACGATCTTATATGCACATTTTTTTCGCTCAATTTGTTGATTGATTCACATTTGAGGTTCATATAATGGATTTTTTTCTAAGTTTTTTTGCGGTCTCTATAATTTCACAGATTCTGCGTATGGCAAATTTTTTTCTAATAATTTCATCTGATTTTTCATATTCAATATTTCACAGATTTTTGCGTATGATAAACTAATATTTCACAGACGTCTCGCATGAAAGTCAATATTTCTCAGATTTTTTTATTTTTTATTATCTTTCAGAGAACCAAAAACATCATCGGTGTTCACCTCGATGAGATTAATTCTTTTTCGGATCAGCCATATGTTGAGGGCGAATTTTTTTCGGATGTTAGAAAAGTTCCCCTGAACGTTCTGCGCGGGATCCAGTGAGGAGAATTATTTTTTTCAATTTCACCTGCTTACACGAAGCCCCCTGTTATTGCATATAAACTCTGATTTATACATTGATTTCCTTTTTTTCTATATTTTCATTTTTCCAATCTGTTTTCGTTATACGGCTGTCATTCACCGATGAACCACCAGACGCTTATGGCATTTATTTCATTCATTCGCTACGGTTATTAATTTATTTTTTTGATACTTCGTAAATTTCGTATCTCGTTTCATGATAAATATTTTTCAAAGCTTGGAAACGAATAAATTTTTTTGGTAGTATCTCCAAAAACTATTCTAGCGGGTAAGAGGAGAATAAAATATGAATGGCATCAATTCGAATATGAGATTCTATTACCAGAAAAAAATTTTTGAGAGAAAGTATTAGAAAAAAATTTGCTATACGCAAAATTTGAGAAATATTGACTTTCATGCGAGACGTCTGTGAAATATTAGTTTATCATACGCAAAATCTGTGAAATATTGAATATGAAAATCAGATGAAATTATTAGAAAAAAATTTGCCATACGCAGAATCTGTGAAATTATAGAGACCGCAAAAAAAACTTAGAAAAAAATCCATTATATGAACCTCAAATGTGAATCAATCAACAAATTGAGCGAAAAAAATGTGCATATAAGATCGTCAAAAATTTTTTTATTCAAGGAGAAAAAAAGAAGGTAGAAATATGACACACACTTGGATGGTAATAAAGAAAATGATTAAAATGAAACGCTCGCGGTTTAGAAACGCTCGAACAGAACGATAAGCCAAAAACGCTCGTGATTTAGAAGCGTTCGCGAAGGAGCGAAGAATGAAACCGCTCGTGATTTAGTAACGGTCGTGCCGCTCGTGCCCCACAACCGCTCGTGTTTTAGAACATGCCCAACCTTAAGGGCCTTCGAAGGTTCCCTTTAGGGACCACCTTTCTTTCCCCCTTAAGGCAATAAGTCTTCCAGAGGGGCCACTTTAGGGCTTTAAATGAGTGGTCACTCTAGGCTGGTGGTCCCTACACGTCTTTCAAACTTTAAAATCTGAACAAAAAGTTGAAAGACCTCTATAGGGACCACTTAAGTCCTAACCCTATGGGAAGCACTATTTTTCCCCTACACTTACCCCTCTAGGGACCACTCTGTGTAGCTGGATTATTGTTTTGGACGTTTGAACATCAGCAATTATTCTTTGTCAGAAACAGCAAAGTGGACTATTTTTGTCACTTTTCTATTTTCGATGCTTCAAGTGGTCCCTAAAATGATTTTAAATTTTTTTCTTCTGGTTTGGAAGTCAAAAGGAGCTTATTCATACTTTCTATAGTCGATTCTAATTTTATCAACTTTCTGTTCATTTTGCAACCTTTTCCTAGGCCACGTAATACATCAGCGTCTCTCATGTGAGGGTTTTTAATTAATCCCAGGCGCTCATTTGGAGACGGCGGAACTTTGGTTTTCTCAGAAGCAAATTAAAGGCCAGCTGCGCTTTTCGTTTCGCTCACCTTGTAAAGTTTGAAAAGGGGTTGAAAATAAACTAAAATTTAAAAAATATTGATTTTTCAACGTTTTTCTGTATTAGCTCACTTTGCCGTTTCTGGAAAATTATAAAGTTTAAGAGCTATTTTCACTAGCTTGCTCGAACGGATAAAAATGTCAGCAAGTGATAAAATTAGGGGGCGCAAAGCCCCGCCCCTTCGCGCCACCAAAATGACGATTTTTTTGTTGCATAAACGGTTTTGAGGCGTTTATACTAGCTAAAGTCCCACTTTGAAAATTAACTGTTTCTGTTAATCTATGTAATCGACAACGCTCTACAAGACTGAATATTTTTTTAAAACTATGTATTTTTCCAAAAAAATAAGCGAAAAAAAGTAAGATTTAACACGAAAAAAACTGACAAGTTTCACAAAATCGTCGCGTTTCAGAAAAACCAAGTGAGGAACGCTTCTAAATTGTAAGTATGTTATACATTAACACTTTCTTTATTTTTTTGAGTGAAAATGAAAAAATCTACCGACGCGAAAAAAATATTAAAGCTTGTAAAGTGACACCAAACTTTGAAGCTGAAATGCGAAAAAAATTTCAGCGACATGGTATACTTTTTTATTTGATTTAAAAAAACTCACAATGTGTTCAAAAAAATAAAAAAATTCAAAATGAAAAATAATTATTGGGACAGCGAATCAAATTATATTTGGATTTTTACCAAAAACCTCCTTTTTTTCGCCTGCCTCGTTGATGCATGAGAGAATAGGATCGCTTCTATATTTTTTTGATCAGGTTATTAAGCGTTCAAAACTCCATCAATGAAAAAATTATGAAAAAAATCAAACGACGCGAAAAAAATAACGGCTTTGAAAACCTCGAAAAAATGGCAATTTTTTTTGAAATTTTGAAAGAATTCGTGCAAGCGTTCGTAGCTGTGTTTGCGTCAAACACACCGATGCGCCCTTTTTAAATGTTGCAGGAGCCGTTTTTTTGGAGTCAAATTGCACATTTTCCTGTTTTATTTCGAAATAACATTATTTTTTTCATTTTTTTCTTTTTTTCCAAACTAAATGATAATAATTTTTTTCTGATTAGAAAAAAAGAAAAAAATAAGCTGAAAAATTTCTTCTGACCTTTTTTTCTAAGTAGTTTTTTTGATATTTTTATCAAAAAAATTCTTATGAGGATTGTACAAAAGATTCATACCAAAACGTTAAGCTCAGTTCTGACAACCTCTCAGAACAGAAAACCGATTTGAAAACGGTTCAGAAATGCGCAAAAACATTTAAAAAGAAAGCGTGCGGCAGCGGGTAAACCGTGAGATTTTGCCTCCAGTTGAACGCCGCGCGCGCTAGTTTTTTGGCCATAACTTTTTTCTTAGTGGAGCTTTTTTCAAAAACTAAACGGATTATGAAAGTGGACAGTCTCTTCTATCGAACAATGTGAAAAAAATTTTTTGAATCGTTCTGGAGAAATGGCTTGCGGTCCCTAGATAAAATCATTCTGAAAAAAAAAGTTGAAAAATGAAAATTTGCTCCATCGCACCGCTAAAATCGAAGTTAGTTGACTTTGCAGTTTTTGGAAAATGATGAATGAATTTTGTTCGACTGTTTCGGTGCTTCCTTCATGTTTCAACATGAAAAAAATTCAAATTTTTTTGAAAAAAATTCTACTTTTTTTAGAAAAAAATTGATCGAAAATCAGTAAAATTTCTTTTTTTACGCTCAAAAAAATATGTTCAATTAAAATTTCAATGTTCAAAAAATCAAACTGAACAAATTTTAATAAATTTAAAAAAAAGAGAAAATTTGAGACATTTTTCTGGGTTCACATAGGACTACAAAAAAATTGGTAATAAATTGATTTTTTTGATTTTAAAAAAATCTGGCTGACTTTGCTGTTTCTGACAAAAAAATATTCATAGATTTTTAGAACTTTCTGAACACTTCAATCGATATATTTCTAAAAAAAACAAAAAAACGATTTGATTCAAGTTGTGAGGAATTTTTTTAAAAATGATTCGTCTTGAAACCATTTTTTTATGAAATGTGACTATGCGCCTTTAAATATATCTCAGTAGGAATTCCAGAAAAAAATTGAATTTTTTTCAAAAATCTTTCAAAAAGGTCTAAAAAAATTTCAAAAAGGTCCATTACAAAAAAATTTAAAGGAGCTTGAATTATTGTTTTTGGACGTTTAAACATCTTGAAATATTCTTTGTCAGAAAACAGCAAAGTGGGCTATTTTTTTAGTTATTAACTTTCAAATTAATTTTTCTAACAAATGAACCCCAAAAAAAAGTCCAAAAAATTTTAGAATTTCTTGAAATTCAGAAATATTTTTTTCAGCTGCGCCTCCTTCGCCTACCTTCCACTGTGGCAAAAGCTCATGCATCACTATTATCCGCCCAAAAATTTTACGGACAGTTGCTGGCAACCCGATGGCCGTGAGTCGTTCTGAAGACCTTGAATTTTTGCTCGTTAGGTGAAGAAAAATCGGTAAAATTGCGAAAAATTTGCTCAACTGAGTTGCGCTCCATCGATAACGCCAGTCCGGGCTCTAGGATGATACAGGGCAAGCCCTGCTTCGACTAAACTTTATCATCCAAACTTAAGATTTTCAGCAAAAAAAACCCTTTTACTCATAGTTTCTGTTGCATTTTTAAGTGAAAACGAAAAAAAAAAATGGGATTTTTAATGGGATTTTTGTCGGAAAAAAGTCTGATAACTTGAAAAAATTTTGCGCTATTTGGGCCAGCCCGGCTTTGCTTGAGGCTACGTCGAGGTCGGGCCTGGCGGGTATAGAAAATGACCGGGCTGACCCTCGCCCGGGCCTTCCACGGCTTATAAATGACCGCTCCGCCCGTTTACCTGAGGCTACGGTAAGGTTGGGCCTCGTCGGGTTTAGAAAATGGCCGGGCTGGCCCGCGAGCAAGCCTGCCATGGCTAAAAGAAAGACCGGGCCGGCCAGAGCCTGCCAAGTTTTAGAAAACGACCGGGCCGCTCGTTTTTGCTTCAGGCCTCCGTAAGGTCGGGCTTGGGCGGGCTGAGAAAATGACCGAGCCTGCTCGAGCCTGAGCTCGCCACGTGCTAAAAAAAGACCGGGCCGGCCCGAGCCTGCCACGTTTTAGAAAACGACCGGGCCTCCCGTTTTTGCTTGAGGCCTCCGTAATTTTGGGACTGGTCGGGTTTAGAAAACTACCGGGCTGGCCCGCGAACAAGCCTGCCATGGCTAAGAGAAGGACCGGGCCGGCCCGAGCCTAAAAAGTGTAGACGTTCTTCAAAATGAAATGTCGTTTTTTGGGACCTTTCCAGCTTCAAAAATGGCAAAAAGTGCCAGTCCGCAATGTGGCGTCGCGTGTATGCAGACAAGGTTTCACAGTCTTTCAATTTTCTCGAAAAACGGATGAAAAACGGGCCTTTACAAGAATTATCAGTGGAGCGCAACAAGTGCTCGATTTTTCAATTTATTGCAGCTTTTTTGTCACTTTTTTGAACAGAAAATCAAAAATTCAATAATTTTGAAGGGATCGGCCTCGTCCCTTGCACGTCCGCGTGTTTCACCCTCGTGGAGGACATCGATCAGCAGGATTGTTAGTTTCTTTTTTTTTCGAAATGGAATCTTTTGACAGTAGATGACTCGTTAATTGGACTTTGGTCATTTTAAATTATTTTCATGGGTTCTTGAAACGGCAAAGTTGAGCAAGAAACCTTAAATTTTCAAAAGTTCATCTTTTCTGCTTTTTTCAATAGCTTTTCATGAAGGAAATAGGTTAACTGGGCTCGATTTATTTATTTAGTTTTCAAAATCCTGGAAAAATTTCAAAGCGAACGAAGTGTTTTTTAAAGAAGAAGAGAAGATTTAGTTATCCTCGAAAAATGCTTGTTTTTTTGAGATTCCGTTAATTTTTTTAATCGTTTTCTGGTTACCTTATTTCGATCTGAATTATTTTTTTCTTCAAAAATGATTTCCTATTTTTTTGAAGCTTCTGACGCTCAAATTATGAAAAATACGTCTTCTTTTTCCAAATCTTCAATTTTTTTCTATTGAACCAAGTGAAAATACTCAATTTTTTTAGAACTTTTTTTCCATATTTCTAGAATCCAGATTCAGTTTTGAAATTGCCAGATAAAGAAAAAAACATGATTTCGTGATTATTTGGACCTTTTTGGCACATTTAAGAGCTCAAAAAAACGACAAAAAAACGTCCCAAAAAAATGCAAAATTGTTCACAAAAGTCAATGAAAAGTTATATTATTAAGAAACTTTTTTTCTTTTTTTAAAAACTCTTTTTTTGAAACAGTAATGTTCGAGAAATCCATTTATGTACTATCGTTGCGTTGGAACACTTAAAAAAATAGCGAGAAAAATTATTTATTTTTAGGATTTTTAAATTGTTTTATTAAGACCTCAAAAAAAACGAGAAAAAAACGCCTTGGCAAGTGCAAAATTGTCCACAGACGCGGTCAAAAAGTGCAAAAAGATCAATTTTAGCACTTTTTTTATATTTTTTTGATCCGATTTTTTTGAACTATCAGTTAGAAAAAGTAGCTATTTTTTTGTTCTTGAGAAGCTATTTTTCGATTTTAAGTGATAATTTCAGCCTTTTTTTGGAACATTTAAGAGCTTAAAAACCGTGAAAACGAAATGACGAGTGCAAAATTATCTACAGAAACGTCCAAAAGTGCAAAAAGTCAATTTTCAGCACAATTTTATATTTTTTGGATCCGATTTTTGAACTATCAGTTAGAAAAGTAGCTTTTTTTTGTTCTTCAGGAGCTAATTTCACCCATTTTGGATAATTTAAGAGCTCAAAAAACGAGAAAAAACGCCTTGGCAAGTGCAAAATTATCCACAGACACATCATCATCAAAAATGCGAACGATGCCCTTTCCCTAGAAGGAGAAGAAGCTGACAAGAAAAGGAAGGAAGAGCCTATTTAGCGACCTATCTGGTGTCAATCATCCAGAGGTCCCCCCCCTCCTTTCCAAACATTCGCATGTTCCCTGCATTTTTCATTAGTTGCCGCATTCAAAAACGGCCTGCGCGCCTAGCCGTGTCGAGTCGAGCCGAATTCGACGTCGAAATTAGAGTTTTCTCCCGTTTTTCGGCAACTTGAACCAAGGAAATCGAGTCAGGGGTATTTTAGCCGTGGAGCGAATTAGGTGAGAAAAAATGGCCGCTGAGCAAAGAAAATTTCAAAATAATCATCGACTAAGATCTGTACTCTCTCAGAAGATTTTTTAGACGGCTCAGAAAAAATTGGTACGATTTTTAGCAGTGGAGCGAATTAGGTGGGAAAAAATGGCCGCTGAGCTAAATATATCAAAAAATACGCTTTATTAAGCTCCTCTTATTCTGGAAATTAATTTTATCCTTTTAAAGGGGTATTTTTAGCCATGCAGCGAATTAGGTGAGAAAAAATCGCCGCGAGGCTGATTTTATCGACAAATATGCTTTATTTAACTCCTTTCTGTCCAGAAATTAATTTTGTCTCGTTTTTGGGCTACTTGAACCGAGGAAATCGAGTCAGGGGTATTTTAGCCTTAGAGCGAAGTTGGTGGGAAAAAATGGCCGCCCAACTATTTATATCAACAATTAAGCTTTATCCATTTTTTTTCTTTTTTAAATCTTTTTCAAAGTTTTGTTAACGTTTTTCTATGATTTTGCGGCATCTCGAGCGCGAAAATTGAGTGGATATAAGGTATTTTAGCCGTGGAGCGAATAAGGTGGGAAAAAATGGCCGCAGAGCTGATTTTATTGAATAAAACGCTTCATTAAGCTCGTTTTTGTTCAGAAATGTTTTTCACGTTTTTCGGCAACTTGAGTTGAGAAAATAAAGTAGATATAGAGTATTTTAGCAATGGAGCGAGTTAGGTGGGAAAAAAATGGCCGTGGAGCAAAAGAAAATTTCAAAATAATCATCGACTATGATCTTTAAACTCTCAGAATATTTTTTTAGACGGCTCAAAAAAATTGGTGCAATTTTTTTAGCCGTGGAGCGACTTTGCTGGGAAAAAAATCGCCGTGGAGCTAAATATTTTTTTAAAAAAAGCTTTTAACCATTATCTCTTCTCAGGACTTTTTTTGAAAAACATCTTTATAAGTTTTTCTTTCATTTTTTTCAGCATTTTTTTGTATAGGAAATCGAGTGGGTATAGCGCATTTTAGCCGTTTTTAGATGTAAAAAAATTGTCGAGGAGTCAAATTCATCGGAAATAAGCTTTGATAAAATCGGAAAGAGTTTCACAGTTCTTATAAAAGAGAATATAAAATCTAAATTTTTCTACTTTTTAGACTTTGAAGTTTGTTAACCTGCAAGGGTTTACACTGAGAATTCTTGAACTAGCTGAGTTGTAGAGTATTGGTAGTACTTAATCGTTTTCCGGTTTCATTAGGTTCTTTTAAATTCTTCAATGAGAGGTTGCCTGATTCGTATATTCTGAGAATATGATAATTTCAATTAACAATTTTACATTTTGAAGAACTGGTCTTAGATTTTTAGAATTTTAAAGGCATAGGGGCAGTAAAAAACGGTGTTTCAGTTCAAAACAGTATTTTGTAGAGTTTTTCATTGCAAATGGAACGGTGAACTTGAAAACGTACAGAAGTTCCTAGTTTTGGAGAAAAAATAATTCAAAGTCGGAGGGAGGAAAGCTTGAGTTCCCGCGAAAAGAGCACTTTGCAGTAAAGTTGCTCTATGGACAACAGGCTTCGCCATCTTCCGGATTTTCTCTTTTTTCTTCGTTTCTTTCAATTTTCAATTTTTTCTGTTGTCACCAAAGTTCTTTTCGTCACAAAAACAGTTGTCTGCATACCGATCCAAAGCATTTTTCAAAAATTAGGGCGGGAAAGCAAAATCGCTTTTTTCTTCTAAAGTTGTCACATCTGTAATTTTTTCGAGTACACCGTTCGATTTCGCAAAAACTCTACAAAGTACTGCTTCAAACTGAAACACTGTTTTTAACTGCCCCTATGCCTTTAATATTAATTATTATTTGCAAAACATACAATTCGCTGGTTAAGGTTGTCTTTTTTTTCTGCGAAAAGAATGGTATTTTTCATGCAATTTGGAGTAGCTAAATGTACCTAGTTTAGAAAATTCGCTCAAACGCTAATTTTCTGAAAAAAATCTCTTAAAATTTTCAAATTTTCTTTTCAAAAAACCCTGTTATTATCAAATTCCCATTCAAAAACGTCGGATTCATTACTCGGTGGGGGGAGAAATTAGGATTCTGACGGCGTCGCCGTGGCGAAAATTAGTTATTAGAATATTCCCGATCTCATTGCCGTTGCATATATTTACACGGCTAGGAGAGAAAAAGAGGTGTTCACCCAGGTTGTTGGTCGTTTTCGTCTCGAACCGAGTTTTTATTAAGAGATACGGGAGTTATGAGGAAAATACTGGGATTGGAGAGGGGTTTTGACTTTGAGAAAAACGGAAAAAGTTGAAAAGCATCGAAAATTGACACGGAAGTTTTTTGGATTCGAGAAAACCAAGATTTTACTTAGGGATACGAAAGCTTTTTTCAAAGTCAGGTCGAATTTTAGTAAAAATCTAGTAGAAATACGCTGAAAATAACGGAAAAGCTGCAAAAAGCGACTTTTTTTTCAAAATCTTGCTGTAAATCCATAATTTAATTAAGGGATACGAAAGTTATGTCAATTATATTGACTGGGTAGAGGGAATTTTTTTCAATTTTGACCGCTTTTTAGAGAAAAAAATAAGTATTAATAAGTATAGAGGAATGAAAACTCAACTTTGAAAAAGTTGAAAAAGGCACCATCGAGCTTTTGAATTCAAAAAAAACTGCATTTCGAGAAAGCTCTGGAAAATTTGTCTTAATCCTTTTTTTGGAACTGTGTTTTTGCTAAGGAACAAAAAAATGTATAAGACGGGTTTTTTTCAAATTTGGGCCGATTTCTGAAGAAAAAAATAGGTAAAAAAATAAGTAGAAAAACGGAGAAGCTTCAAAAAAATTGACCCGGAAACCTTCTGGACTCGAGAAGTTTATTGAGTTTATTTTCTTCATCTTTTTTTGTTATAGTTTCAGATGTTGAGTATGTTTTCAAGACATATGCATTTGTCACAGTGAATGAGAAATTCCAGGAAGCTATAAAACCGATTTTCGATACCCATTTTTGACTGGAAAATGTGAAATTTTGAATATTCTCAAGCCAGATTAAAGACGGTCTGAAATTGCCGTCTTAAATATTTTTTTAAAGTTCGAAATCGATAAATTTTTCATTTCGAAGCAAAAAAACATTAATCGATCTTCCTCTGTCAAATTTAATCTTTTTTTCTCATCTCTTTTTGAAATCTTCATAATTATTGAGTGAAAAATGGTTCTTATCTCGAATTTTCGAAGAAATATATGTGAAGCAGCAACTGACGCCTCATTATTCTATTTATCAAAGCTTCAATCGCTAAAAAAAAATTCCGCGAGTAAAAAGCGTTCATTAGGACTGATTTATGGGCTTCTCACCAACTTTTTTTGTGGAGTTTTTTTCAAAATTTCAGAGAGGGAAGGTCTAAAAAGATGATATTTTGATCGAAAATGGAGGTAAAACAGGCAGATTTTTTTGAGTTATTTATTGAAAAAAATCTATCGAAATCAGGAGTTTTTTTGGAGGAGAAAAAAATTAAATTAAAAAAAGAAAAAGCCGGCTTTGAAAAACCTAACAAGTAATTTTTGGGCCAGTTGTGGTGAGAAAAAAATATTTTTCTTCAAATGTGATTTTTTTGGCTCTTTTTTTAAGATTTCAGAGGCTAAAAAAATTTAAAACCGTTTCTCTTCGAAACGCGCGGCTTGTCTGTGTACATGCGCCTTTAATAGAACGAGAATATTGGTCAGATTTAAAGGAGCATGCATAGAAACAGGCTCCGCGTTTCTAAGAGAAGGTTTTTTCAACTCGGAAGGACCTTCTCTTCGAAACGCTTGATCATTCTCCGAGCATGCGCCTTTAATATGACGAGAATATTGGGCTTATTTAAAGGCGCATGCACAGAGACAGGCTGCGCGTTTCGAAGAGAAGGTTTATGTGGCTCCGAAGAAACTTCTTTTCGAAACGCGTGACTATTCTCTGAGCATGCGCCTTTAAAATAACGGCAATTTGAGGCGGATTTAAAGGCGCATGCAAAGATACAGGCCACGCGCATCGAAAAGAAACGATCTGTAGCTTGGAAAAAGAGTCAAGCTGGGGCAGAATGGACTATATGAAGAAAAATAAAATCATTTCAGTCTTCACGGAGCACCGAGGCGTTCTTGAGAGGCTGTGTGGACCGACTCCTTCTTTTCGGATTGGATGACGACGTCCGGAACGTCTACGCCTCCTATAATTCACAGAGGATCTGCCGGCAGACCGACAGGAATATTCTGAGGCTCTATCCGTTGTCGGACGAGAGCGAAGTGGTTCGTTCAAGATTTAAAAATACTTTGAAACGTTGCTTAAGTGTACTCTTGGAGTTCCAAGTAGATTATTTTGAAAAATGTCAAGTTTTTTTGAGGTTAGGCTACACCACCAGCTTCGGGATTTGAAAAAAAGTGTGAAAAGGACATTTTGAGCCATTCCAAATGCGACCACGGCATTTCCAGCCAATTATTTAGGGAAATCTTGATTTTTCTTTTTTTTTTCAGAGCGTCTTTGAAGTTTACAATAGTTCAAATTTCCCATTTCTCTGATAATTCCCATTTTTCGGGCCTTAGGAGGGCCAGAGTGGTCACTAGAAGGGTTTGGAAAAAAAAAGCCCCTATAGTGGACAAAATAGAGCTCCCTGGAGTGGTCCCTATGGCGGTTTGAATAAATAGTCTTCCCTTAAGTGGTCCCCATAGGGTTTTGAGATCTGACCGCTAAGCTCCTAAAGCTTGAGTGGTCCCTATAGGGTTTTGGGATCTCACCGCCAAGCGCCTAAAGCTTGAGTGGTCCCTATAGGGGTTTTTTGATTTTTTTTCTGATTTGAAGGGGAAAAACTTATTGGACAGCTCTAGAGTGGTCACTTTCCCAGGCTTGAGGGCCTCCTATAGAAGGAAGTAAAGTGGTCTCTTATGGAGAACCTACTAGGGCCCCTCTAGGGACCACTTTGGGGTTCTTAAGTAAGTTCTTAAGGGTTTTCTGAAGGAACATTTTTCAGGTAACGTTTTGCTCCTGTGTCGGCGACTTTTGCAACGACAAAGACATGCTTTCCGGCTCGAATTCTTCCGATAGACCGACTTTTCTTCTTTTATCCATCCTTATAGCCCTATTTCTCTTGAAATATCGTTAGAAATAATTTTTCTTAACCTAAACCCCGGGTAGATTTCATGTGAACGACCAATTTTTTGGACCTATTATAATTATTTCTGAATCTCGGAAGTCTTTCAAATTTTCCATTTCGTTGAACTTTTTGCTCATTTCGTGACAATTTTGTAAGGGAAAAGAGCTATTGGCCACTTAAGGGGCTCCTCAAGGGCTCTTTGAAGAGGACACTGAAGTGGCTACTAAAACCACCTCTTTAGAATCCACTATCTTGGCTCTTAGTGACCACTATAGTAGTTTTTATGATTCAGTAGTACCACTTAGACTTCTAAAGAGGCCACTAAATCACTTAAGGGGTCACTAATTCGACTACTATAGTGACTTTTAAAACGTCAAAACCCTAAAGTGGCCACTAAAATTTATCCCAGTCACGTTCATTTCTAATTATAATAATATGTTTAATAAATTGAACAACCCACGAGTCACAAAATATCCGTCTGCACCCAAATGTGATTTTATTCGTCTATTATATCATTCTTTTTCAATGATAAACCTTTTTTTGAAAAATATACTCTTTCAAATAATCAAAAAAACACAATATAACTTAAAAATCGCTGATAGCTTATCATTAAATCGAGTTATAAGCTGAGGCGAGTATGAAGCTTCTGGATGGAGCTCAATCGACTGAAAGCTTATATCATTTGAAAGCTGAAGAAGAGACAAATCGAATGATGCAATTGGATAAGCTGTAGCTGCTCTGGAAGCCGAGATATAAGCCTTCAAAGTTTCCCTAAAAAATAGAGTTGCGCGTGAGATAAAATATATCGTGTGAGGTTGAGCGTCGGGTCAAGCGCCTGTCTGAGGGTCTCATCGGTGTGGTTTCTTCGCGAAAAAGGAAAAGCTCAAAAAAAAGTTGGGTTTTTTCAAGATTTTTCTGGTGTAATCGATAGAGCAGCTTTCATATAGTACTTCTATCATATCAGTTTCGAAGGAAAAGCTCAAAAATTGGGAGAAAAACGGGTCCGAAAAATGAGGATTTGAAGCATTGCATCTCCGTTCATTCTGAAGTTTGAAAGATGATATTTATGTCAATCGATTTTTCTTTATGTCAGCTTCTCAATGGTCTTAGTCTGACAGAGTTATTATCACTTTTGACAAAAATGATGAAGTTTGAAAAATCATAACTTTTTTTCTAGCAGCCATATAACTTTTCTACCTACTTTTTCGGAATCTAGACGTCATTCCCTAGCGATTGATATGAAAATCTCGAAAACTTTGGATTTAGAAAAAATCGAAAAAAGTACAGCCCTTAGGTTTTTTTCAAGCTTCTGAAGTCATGGAAGCCGATCTGGACGAGACTTATATCAATCGATAGATCTCGGCGAAAAAATAACCGGAGACCAGGTTTGACCTCTGTAGGTCAACTAAGAACTAAGTTAGAGGCGATCAAACTTAGGAATCAAAAACCTCAAAATACTTTAAAACTAATGTTAATCGATAGAGAAGATCAAGGAGGTCAAGAAAAACTAAGCCTCTAAGTTCATAACCTTCGAAAACTCGAGTTATGATTTTTCAAAAACTTCGAAAAATCATAACTTTGATTATAGAAGCCTTAAAACTTTTCGACCTGGATTTTTGGACTTCTGACGTCATTTCCTATCGATTGATGTAAAAATCTCTGAAATTTTGGTTTTCGGAAAAATCGAAAAAAGTACAGTCTAACCCCTTAGGTTTTTTCCGAGCTTCTGAGGTCATGGAAGCCGATTCGGACGAATTGTATATCAATCGATAGATCTCGACGAGAAAATAAACTGAGACCAGGTTTGACCTCCGTAGGTTAACTAGGAACAAAGTTAGGGGCGATCAAACTCTGAGGTAAAATTTCAGAATGAGTCGGAATTTTTATCAATCAATGCAGAAAGTCAAGAGGAGCAAGAAAAACTAGGTCTCGAAGTTCAGAACATCATATGAATAAAGTTATGAATATCCAAAATGTCAAAATTCAAGCTTTTGGATGAAAGCTCAATCGATTTGAAACCTATATCATTCGAAAGCTGAGGACAAGACAAATCGATTGATATAATTAGATAAGCTGTAGCTGCTCTAGGAGCCGAGATATAAGCCTCCAAGTTCTCCATAAAAAATTAAATTGCGCGTGAGATAAAATAAGTCGTGTGAAGTTGGGCGTCGGGTCAAGTGCCCGTCTGAGGGTCTCATCGGTGTGATTTCTTCGCGAAAAAGGAAAAGCTCAGAAAAAAAGTTGCGTTTTTTCAAGTTTTTTCTAGTCTAATCGATAGAGCAGCTTCTATATAGTACTTTTATCATATCAATTTTCGAAGGAAAAGCTCAAAAATTGGGAGAAAAAGGGGTCCGAAAAAATGGCATTTTTTGGACTTTCAAGCTTCATAACTTTGTTCATTTTCGAGTTACAAAGAAACTGATTATATCAATCGATTCGTCTTATCATCAGCTTTTTAATGATATAGGTTATCAGTTGATTGAGCTTCATCCAAAAGCTTCAGACTCGCTTCAGCTTATAACTCAATGCTCTGATAAGTTATCAGGGATCTAGATATATTATCAGATCCGTCTCAAGACGCTCTATCGACTGATTGTGATTTCATCTCGATCGAGGAAAAGCTGAGATGTAAGCTGGAAAAGTCGATGACGTCAAACTGATTGGTCAAAACTCTTGAAGTCCTATATCATTGGAAAGCTGATAATGAGACGAAATCGATTGATATAATCAGTTTCTTTGTAACTTGAAAATGAACAAAGATATGAAGCTCGAAAGTCCAAAAAATGCCATTTTTTCGGACCCTTTTTTCTCCCAATTTTTGGGCTTTTCTTTCGAAAGTGATATGATAACATTACTATACAGAAGCTGCTCTATCCGTTACACTAGAAAAAATTTGGAAAAAATCAACTTTTTTTTGAGCTTTTCCTTTTTCGCGAGGAAACCACACCGATGAGACCCTCAGACGGACACTTGACCCGACGCCCAACTTCACACGACTTATTTCATCTCACGCGCAAGTTTATTTTTTAGGCAAACTTTGAAGGCTCATATCTCGGCTCTTAGTGGAGCTACAGCTCATCAAACTATATCATTCTATTTTTCTCGTCCTCACCTTTTTAATGATATAGACCTTCAGCCAATTGAGCTTCATACAGAAGCTTCAGACTTGCTTCAGCTTGTAACTTGACTTTTTGATAAGTTATCACCGATTGAGATATATAGTTGTGTTCGTCTTTGAACGCTCTATCGATTGATAACCATTCGTTATAGATTGAGGGCAAAGCTGAGATGTAAGCTGGAAAAGACAATGACGTCATTTTTAGGTTGAGCTTCATCCAGAAGCTTCAGGCTTTTCTCTTCTTCACCGTGACAAAAAAATGAAAGTTTGAAAAGATTTATTAAACTCGAGTGAGAGGGCAATTTCAGGTCCGGAGCTAAAAATGGTTATTTGCTGCCGAGGTTGTTAATTGCATTTTGCAAGACGCGAAATCTCGCGAATTTCTGTCGTGTAGGTAATGGGAAACGGCAATTAACCCAAACACACACACACGCAAGGCCAGAGTGTAAGAGAGAGCTTTAATCGCGATTGGCTACCACGGACAGAAATTTTGAGGGACTTAGGAAGTCCAGAGTGGTCCCTTCAAGGGCAACCAGAATCCTTCAAAAGGGTCCCTCTAGGGACCACTTTACCGTTCCCTATAGGAGGCACTAAAGCTTGCAAAAGCGTCAAGAAACTCCAGAGTGCACCCTGGAGGGGCAACCTTGAGAGCTTTTGTAGGGTTCCTTAAGGGATCCCTTTACTAACCCCTAAAGCGGGCTCTGAAGCTCGCAAAAGCGTCAAGAAACGCCAGAGTGGTCCCTGTAGGGACAACTTTAAAAGCCTTTAGAGGGATCCCTTTATCAACCCCTAAAGCGTGTTGAAAGTCCCTACACGTCTTTTTAACTTTCAAATCAAAACAATGAAAATATCCCTATAGGGTCCACTCAAAATTTATTGGCCTACTGCTCAGACCCCAGTAAGGACCACTGCGAATATCCTAGGGATGTTGAAAAATTCCAAAAAATGCATCTTTTTTCTTTGAACACATTTCAGAAAATTCAAAGACTACCATAGGGATCATTTAAGCTTTAAATGGCTTAAGATCGGACCTTAATCTCTTCAGGGACCACTCTGACATCCCTAAGTTCTTTTATAAAATCCATCAATCGTCATAATATTTATTGATGTAATTTTCGTCCTTTTTTCGATTTTTTTTAGACTGTAATCTCAAAAAAGTGCTTGATGAATTTTTACTTTGGATGATTTCCAGAAAAATCTACACTGAAGTTGAAAATTGAAGCGTTTGCGGTCGCGTCGCGGCTTCTGATGACGTCACCTTTTTTTTTCACGGATTTTATTTTCAGTTGACTTCCTGAAGACGTGTCTGAATATGAACTAATTTTTGAATCATATCCTGAACTTTTTTTGACTTTTTGAAGAAGTTCTCTCACTGTTATGATTTATTCAGAATTCCGCATCTTAAAAACTGGACATACCTCGAAAAAAAAATTCAGACGCGTGCGGTCGCGTTGCGGCTCTAGACTCAATGACGTCATCATATATATTTTCACCCTTTAACCTGAGCGCGAGCCCGGAAGTTTGTGCCGTGTTCAAAGTAATTTCCGCGAAATGCAAAATGGTCTCTGACCCTCCAAAATTTAGTTATCTTTCTCTTTCTCTGACGGCTATTTTGAATTTCGCGGAATCACTTTGAACACGGCATTGGAAATCAAAGATAAAAATCTTGAATGAAACAGTAAAGTTGTGTATAAACTCGGCGTGGAGATTCATATGAAAATCCTATTTTTTCTATTGATTAATTCAAAACTTTCATGTTTTCTTGTTCTCTCCGACCAAAAAAATCACCATGACTACTTGGAAATTTGATTTTCTTTCTGATAAGCCAAAAATGGAGTCAAACTAAAAGAGATTCGATTTATAAACGGCCGACAAACAAGCAATAAAGTGACTAGATTGCTCAAAACGAGTTATTTCTCACTGGATTTTGGACCTGAAAACGCTGAAAAACTACATTTTGTACAAGAAAAAACGAAGAAAAACAATAGAAATGCGAGGGCAAGAAAAAATGACTCGGCGTTTTTTCTAGAGAAAATTTGCTCCATGGCTAAATTTTCGATTTTTCCGATATTGGTCAAGAAAAAAACGCCCAAGTCATTTTTCACAATCTTCAGATCACGAAAAAACGAGGAAAATACATAAAATCAGGGCAAGAAATACAGATTTTTTTCCATTTGTACATTAAAATTACAATCGAAAATCACAGATCTCAATAAAATACAACAATTTCGTTTTTTAAGGGTTGAATCTTCGAGTTTGATACTGAAATAGGCAAGAAAAAAACTGAAAAAAATCCCAGGAAAAAAATTACTTTTGAACTGAAAAAAATGAGCAATTAAAAGCCTTAAAAAAAGAAAAAAAATTTGATTATAACACATAGAAATGAAAAATATTGGCATAAGGCAAAAAAATTATGAAGGAAAAAGAGGAATTTTAGCTTCTAGGTACTTGAAAAAAACTTTGATTTTTTTGAAAAAAAGCTGCCTTTAAAATTCGGATTTTTCGTGGAGAAATATGATTAAAATAATAAAATGCGCTCTAAGAAGCAATATTTTTCTTAAGTGACCACTTTAAAACTTTACAAAACTACTTGGGGCTCACGGAGAAAAAAAAATGGGTCTTAAAACGAAATTCGAAATTTTCGAATAATTTGTAAAATTCAATCTAAAATTTGAATTTCGCGCGTAAAAGTCGCCAAAATGCCAATTTCGTGAACGCGTAATACTTTTGAAACACGTCAGGACAAAAGATCCTTTAAAAATTGACCCTAAAGGGACTATTCGGGTTGTTCAACGACTTCGAAGGTCTTGGATAGGCCGACGAGGCAGTTGGAGTAGGCGGAGAAGTATCCGAGACGGTACTTGCCGACGTCGAGGTTGACGAACTCGCAGACGTGGTAACGGGTGTCATCTACCGTCTGCTGGACACACGTCGCCACGTACATCCAGTGGAGGGCCGTCGTGCAGTCGTCGATTGTCGCCTAGAACAATGCAAAATCAATCAATGAATCCTTTATTTTGTTGTTTTAGTCAGATTTAATCGACTAGGCGGAGAACAAATATTTTTGAAGTTATAACGAACAACCGCCTTTGGCGACCTAGAAGACCGAACGTGTAGTTGATCTTGTTGAAAGCCTGATCTTACGGTTCTTTTTTCTTCTGCGAGTAGTCCATTCAGTTGCGCCTGGAGGAGCTCAGAACGTAGCGGAACCCCGGAGACCGTGCTTTAGATGGAAGCCTCGAAATGAGAGCGACCACTTGAGTGAAGCGTTTACAAGGAAAAAAAATGAAAAATTTTCTTTTTCTGTGTTCGCTGGCTATAGTGTCATTTATCGTTTATCCCGTTTCACGATTTTTTTTTTCTCCGAGCTACAGAACCCTTCCCGCCGAAGCGCGTGGGCCGTCTCTGTGTATGCGCCTTAAATTCAGCCACAAATTATCGTTATATCAAAGGCGCATGCACAGAGAATGGTCAGGCGTCTCAAAGGGAAGGTCCTTCCGAGTTACAGAACGCTTCCCACCGAAGCGCGCGGGCCGTCTCTGTGTATGCGCCTTTAATTTGGCCCCAAATTATCCGTTATATTGAAGGCGCATGGGCAGAGAATGGTCGAGCGTCTCGAAGGGAAGGTCCATCCGAGTTACAGAACCCTTCCCATCGGTGCGCGCGGGCTGTTTCTGCGTATGCGCCTTTAATTTAGCCACAAATTAATGTTATATTAAAGGCGCATGCACGGAGAATGGTCAAGCGTCTCGAAGGGAAGCTTCCTCGGAGGGTTATGTAACAAAAAATAATGTCAAGCTGGCTCGGAATGGGCTGTATAACCCCTTATTTTATCTTGAACATTATAGTTCCTTGTTACTTACAAAATTTCTTCTACAGCATCTTCACGGCGTTTTTGTTAGTGGAAGAAATAGCGAAACCGAAAAAAAACGGTGGGCGGAGCCAAAATATCCACCGTTCCCACCTGACGTCATGGGAACGGCAGAGATTTCGGCCCTAAGAGCGTAAATAACACGGTTAAAGGCGCAGGCCGCCGTATTGCCAGAGGACGAATCGAAAATTTATCTACATTGACGCAATTTTCTGCGCGAAATCGGCGCAGTGCATGCACACGACACACGACACTTTACGGAGGAAAAGTGGGCGTGGCGTCGTCGAAAAAACGCCGTGTCTTTACAGGCCACCTACGGACGGGCAAAACAAAAACCCACCGGATAAAGCCCGATCCAATCCCTGTAGCTTCCGCGGTCTTTCCAATAAGACGCCTTAATTTGTAACCGGCCGATCAACGGGACGGATGTGTACCAAGTTGGCAGCTTCTCGAATATCACGTCCCAATCGGCCGTTGGAGCGCTTTTCATCTGGAAATTCGTCCTTTTGAAAATAAAACCAACCTTTTTCGTATTTATCTCACGGTTTTCCAAAGAAAAACTTAAAAATATTGTTTTCTATCAAAAATTTACTTTTTTTTTCCACGTTGGAATAAAATTGTACTGTTAGTAGATTTGAGTGGCCCCTAGAGGGGTTAGCAAAAAAAAAAACAGTCCCTATAGGGAAGTGCTTCATCAAGGGCTAAAATTGAAGTGGTTCTTTAGGAGGTTAAGGGTCTGAGGCATAAACCCCTAAAGCTCAAGTGGACCCTAAAGGGAACCTTCCATTTTTTTTCCGATTTCGAAATATTAAAAGATTTTATTGGTTAAAAATTTGATCGATCGATTCTCTGTTTAAATTTTGAATTCAAAACCGCCAATTTATCAAGTTTTTAGCATGGAAATGCGTCTACTCAAAGAATTCATAACTATAAAATAAACGCTACCACTAAAATGGCCACTAACTAAAGTCCCTTGAGAGGCCACTTTCACAAGCTTTAGTACCTCTATAGGGAAATTAAAGTGGTCCCAAAAGAGGCACCTCTAGGGACCACTTCGCAAGACTATCTCAACTCTTTACAAGCCATATTTATTGAAAATGACCTTTTTATTCCTATTTTTTCAATTTTTTCTACGATATAAATAATATTTATATAGAACTTTCTACTTTCACGGAGAATATTCACAATTCGAAAATGTTTAACTTTATGACTTATTATTTTTTTAACTTATCAAAAATAACCTTCAAGTTAAAAAGTCGCGAAAAACCGGGAAATGGTCGCTACTGACCACATTCTCATTGGAATTATAAGTGACCGGGTGAATATCTTCGCCCTGAAAAAAATTCAGAAATTATCACTTCCGTAATAATTTTTTTAAAATTACCTTGTAAAGAATCCGGTCACACCAAGAAGGTGTCCTTTTCCCGTCGTGTTTCGTCGTTCCAACGAATAACCTGAGAAAAAAGTTCCCGGATTATTTTCAAGAATATGTAAAAATGAAATTATGGACGCTGAATACGGAAAATAAATGAAAATAGCAAAATAGCAAAAATTCAGTGATGCAAAAAAAATGTTTTAAGTATAAGAACATAGGCAAAGTCGGAAAAAGGCTCCATAGAAATTTTGCTTTTAAGGTGACAAAGGCTCCCTTTTTGGTGCCTTTTTGCGCCATTTTCTGAGCCTTTATGCACCATTTTTGCTCCCTTTTTCCAGCATTTCTTGAGCCTTTCCCAGAAAATGGAAGGCTCGACAAAGGGACCTTTTTTGTTGCCTTTTTGCTGCCTTTTTGTGGCCTTTTTGCTGCCTTTTTGGGACCTTCCTGCGCCCTTTTTTAGCCTCTTATTTTATTCAGTTTTTATTTAAGACCCGAGCCTTTAAATTTCGAAAATATCAGAAATCTGCAGTTGTGTGGAAAAAATCTATGCTGCCGATTGAAAAATTGGGGGTTTTCTGTTCTAAATATTGAGACTGAAAGGGGAACCATACTTAGTAGCTTCAGAGTGGTCACTATAGGGGGCTTTTGTAGGTTCCCCTCAAGGGATCGCCTTACCTCCCCCTGTAGGGGGTACTAAACCTTGCAGGAGGGGGCACTCTAGTGGAGTATTCTAGGGGTCTCATACGTCTTTTAAGCTTTGTAAACAGAAAAAAAAAACTGAAAGATCACTAAAAGGAGCACTTGAGCCTCAGGAGCTTAGAGGTAAGACCATGAACTCCTAAAGAGTTCACTTGAGGGACCGCTATTTTCTCCAATACCGCGGTTTCGCCCTATAGTGACTACTCTGAAGTTTCTAAGTGCTGGGTTTTCATAGATTTGAATTTTTAGTGGCCACTATAGGGTTTTGACGTTTTAGCGGCCCCTATAGTAGTAAAATTAGCGACCTCTTAAGAAGTTTAAAATTAGTGGCCACTATAGAGGTCTGAGTGATATTATTAGGTCACTAAAAATTTTAGTGGCCATTTTAGGGGTCAATGGATCAACATAACTGGTCCAATCTGTTTGTTTCAAAATTATCAGAGTTACTGGAAGGAATACTGGATGAAAAACTACTGAAGTGGCCACTAAAAAGGAAAATAGTGGCCACTATAGAGGTGGGTTTAGTGGCCACTTCAGTGTCCTCTCCAAGTAGTCCTTGGCGAGCCTCTATAGCGGCCACTAAAAATTTTCCCCGATGAAAATTATAATTTTTCACAAACCTATAAGTCGGTCTGAAATTGATCGGCTGCTCTTTGAACTTTTTGAAGGCTTCCCCGTCTCGTTGCGCCTTTTTCAACTGATCGTCCTTCTCGAGAAGCGATAAATGTGTCCCGTTTTGGATCATTTGAAGGACCTCCTCCGTGTCATGATCGACGCGGAAGTTCAGGTCTCCTACCCAAAATGTGGCTCTAAAAAGGGGGTTTTTGATGATTTGTGAGGTCGGGGAAGTGATAACCTAACACTGGAATCTTCGGGGAACATGCAATGCCGATTGGATTGATATTGGGCCAGACGACGTTCATAGGCGGCCGCGTCATGGATAAAATGGCTGTTCACGAAAACCAACGAGAACGGATTCTACAAACAAAACTTGAAAAAAATGATCATTTCGATTAGTTTTTGTGACAAAAGTATCAATTTTTCGGATGGTAGGAAGGGATTTTGGATCCGAGAATGTTCGTGACCGTGAATTGTGCATACACCGATATTTGAGGATCGGATCTTGGAAAACGATTCACGCTTGTTTAGGGCAGCGCTACGGCGGCCTGTCAATATTGCGCCGTCAATTTCGGAGCCATGAAATTTTTTTAAATTTTTTTCTTTCTTGCAATTTGTTTAGGACCTATTTCTCGTCACAAAAAGTACACCAGTTTTTCATTTTATTACCGAAAAAAATCTAGCTTGACTACCGTAATACGAACGGCCGCCTTGAAAATGTGTGAATTCTTGGGATTTTTCCCTCTTTTTTTGATTTTTGAGATTTTCCAATTTTTTGTAAAGACAAGTTGATAAAGAATGCATACGAAAGAAGGCGAATATTTCCTGAAATATTTTTTCAATATTGGAGCCCCCAACATCGGTGTATGCACAGTTCACGCTCACGAATATTTGCGGACCCAAAATTCCTTCTAACCATTTCGCGGAGAAAATTCATGAACGGCCCAAAAAAAAGTACACGAAATTGACATTTCGGGAGAACGAGATTTTTGAAAAAAATCCCTTCAAAACGAACCCTCAACTGAATTCTCACGCCAATGGATCCTTTATGTCCCGTCAGGCCTCCTAAAGTATTCCGGGCGAATCGAAAATCAATCTTTTTTATCTGAAAAGCGGCTTTTTTTCAAAGTTATTGCTGTGTTCAAAGTGACTCCGCGAAACTAAAAATATCCGTCAGAGAACGAAAAAGCTAACAGAATTTTGAATTTCGCAAGAATTTCTTTGAAAAAGGAAATGATGACTGACATAAGAAACAAGCCGTTTCCGTACAAAAATCGAGATTTGATTGGTGGCTTGATAATTCTTCGTTAACAGAGTTAGATGGCCGACTTTGGTGGCCCACTTGACGAAATGTTTCTGCCAGGTTTCCGCCGCGCCGCCGATCGTTTCCGAATGGGCCACTTCCTGAAAATTGCTTTATCAAAAATTTTGGGTTATAAACTTCAAAATTTCGTTTTTTCCTCACCTGATTGGTAAAAAACTCTTAAATTTTGCTCTGAGGGGCCCTTCAAGACAACTTTAGGGGTCTTCACAGTGTTTCTGTGGTTAAATGCAATAGGGGCGCGGCTTTTTTGCAATGGGGGCGCGATCTTGAGAGCCGACTTTCGTGCATTTACTGGTGGGAATTATAGCGAAAAATAATGTGAAAATTATACATTTTATTTCTGAAATGCATCTTGAAGGTAGCCTTAAGGGCCTTTGAAGATTCCCCTAGAGGGGCCACCTTTTGCAAGCATTCTAGTGGTCACTAAAGGAGTTTCAGTTCTCATTAAATGATTTTTTGAAAAATATCAGCAGGTTTGAAATTGACCAAGAGATAAACATTTCTATGCGGAAAAATCAATTAATTTAGGCTTTTCGAAGGAAAAATTATCAACAGAACCCAAGAGGGACCCCTGAAACTTCAGCCCTCTAGGGAGGCTTATTTTTTTCCCTATAGGGGCTGCTTTTCACTTCTGGCGTTCCTAGAATGTTCCTTCTTCAACTTTTCTGATTACTCGTTTTAAATATGCTTGAAGAACTGAAGAGGAAAGTTCGAAAAAATCAGTTTTTGGAGGGGTTACTTAAGGGTTTTCTGAGAAACCCTGAAGCTTCAGGAGAACAAAAATCGAAGCTATAATTAAACCCAAAAAAAGAAGATATTCACTTGCATACCGACGACGAGAATGTGGGGATCTGGAGGTGTTCCGGCCAATAATTGAACGACGCCTTCTTCTGAAGGCGGCTGCATGTTGACGTTGAACGTCGCCAACACCACGATCCAATCCATTTCTGGGTTTTTTTTCTTTAAAATGATATAAAAACAGAAAAAGCATGATTTTGCACGTGGAAACCCCTACAGGGGGCACTATTTTGTCCTCTATAGGGACTGATTTTTCTCCTGATCCCTTTAGGGACCACTCTGGGGCTTCTAAGCAGTTTAAACTAGAAGGTTTCCGCGGATATACATAAAGTCAAAGCAAAAAATTTGTGAAAAAAATATGAGAAAATGGAATGATTATCCGTGGAGCGCACTCTCACCGCTCGGGGTCATTTTTGCCCGAAAAAAAACCATTTCATGACTGAAATTGATCCGTATTATTATTGTTTTCAGTTTAATTAGTGATTTTTAATGACTCTCAAACAATTTCCCAATCAAAAAGTCAAAAAATATCCGGAACTTCTCAACCTTTTCCAAAAAAATCATCAAAACCAACAAAGAAATCAGAATCATTCAACATTTATTTTAAATCCCGCATTAGGTTTCGACACGAAAACGAAGGATGCATCAGCCAAAAAAGGTTTCAGAAAGAGAATCTTCTAGAGAAGGCGCGAAAAAAGCAAAACAAGTAAAAAGGCTATCAGCACATTTTATACAACAAAAAAAACAAATAAGAAATAAAAAAAAGAGAGGCAAAAAAGTTGAAATCAATCACGTCAATTGACTTAATGAAAGAGGTATCACACACGCTCGAGTAAAAGTACTTTGGAACGCCAGAGTGGTCCCTGGAGGGGTCAGGGGGTAAAAACCCTAAGGGGTCCCTATAGAGGTTGAAGATCTGACCCGTAGGCTCCTAAATCTTGAGTAAACTTCGAAAAAGTAGCCCCTATAGGGGTCAAATGAATGCTCCCTAGAGAGGCAGACTTCAGGTGGTCCCTATAGGGGTTAAAGGGCTGGCACATGAGCCCCTCTTAAGCTCAAGTGGTCCCCATAGTGGTCTTTCGATTTTTTGTTCTGATTTTAATTCAAAAATGTATCGGATAATCCTTTTTTTATAGTTTTCTTTCAAAAAACGCTAATTTAATTATTTTTTCGCATGGATGCTATTGTCCTTAACGACCGGCATTTTCCCCTTAAGTGGCCACTTTTGCAAGCCCCCTACAGGGGAGGGTAAGGTTGTCTCTAGAGGGGAACCTTCAAGTGTCCCTCCAGGGATCACTGTGGCGTCCCCAAGAGTAGCTGATTCACGGCTGGCTTGAGCCATTGGTAAATGGGTCTTGACACGATTTTCTGAAACAATCGACAAAGTTCTCGGAGAGCCCCAAGATAGCCATGAATCGACTATAAAAATTTTTTGAAGCAATCATTTTTTTTTCACAGGCCAAGGGAAACAATGATACATGATGACTCGATTTGGCAATATTTTTATATTTTTGTTTCGAAACAAATCCTTCTTTTTTGGCGGATGACATTCGGTAAAGGCGGAGGAGAACTAAGTGCAATAGACGAGAAGAAAAAGAAGAGAAAGAAAAGAGAGCGATTGTATAGAGTCATTCAATGACCAGACGATAGATCGTATACAAAGGCTGAACCCGAACAAAATAGAGAAATATGGCGAAGAAAACGAGGTTCTTTTTTTTTGTTGTTCTTTTGGAAGACGGCTTTATTTTCCGACTCTTCTTATTCTTTTCCGGGCCGGCGATCGGACTGAAGATGAAGTTCCGGCTTCATCTTCGACGGTGTCGTTCGAGATGTTCAGAACGGCTTCGAGCAGCTCCGTGGCCAGCTCGTGTCGGTCCTTCAAACCAATTTTTCGTTTTTGAATCGTTTGAGCAAATTAAATTTCCTTGTTACGTGGGTTCTTCCTGTAGAAAAACCGCAAGATTCAAAAAAAAAAATGCATGATTTTAATGAAAATCCATTTTTTTTTCGGTATAAAAAAATATTTACAAAATGAAGCTTTATGCGCAAAACGTTCAATTTGTCCCTGGCTTTCCTTTAAAAGAAAATTCATTCGATTTGAACTACAAAGATTTTTTTGGTATTTCCTCCACTGTAGCCCGAAAAAGGGGCGGAGTCACTCAGAAAGCTACGAAAAAGATTCAGAACCTTTTTTAGTTATTCTGAGCGCCAAAATAGCTCAGAAAACTAAATCTTAAACTTTTGTATAAACGGTTTATCATGTTTCTGAGAGCTCGTGTGATAATATTGGATGAAAAAATCAAGGAAAATCATAAAAGCTTTTTAAAATTTTCAATTTCAAGCAGCTAACTCCGACCCCAAGACTACAGCACCTTTTCGCTTCGATTAATCATTGCCCGCGACGATGCTCCTTTTAATTGCTATGCTTTTTTTGATCTTTACAATCCAACAGTTTGACAAAAAAGTCAAGAAATGCAGTGCTATTAAAGGATCATCGTAAAGCGCGATAAAAAAATCGACACGAGCGGTACTGTAGCTCCAGGGACTCGTGTAAACCTAACAGTTCGAAAAAAATTGTCGAAAAAAATTTTCTCATTTTATATAAATTTTTTTAATCAAGGCGGTTCGATTTGACTGTTATCTACTCGATTTAGGGCATTTTTTTTAGCCAGAAAATATAATTTTAAGCATTTATTTTTGCAAAGATTTTTTGAAAAATTGTTTAAAATGGCGTGAAAATTGATTGGATTTTTGGTTCTGTTCAATTATAATGGAAAAATTGAAATCAGAAAAAAAATCGCATTTTTTTATAAACGGACCGAAAAAGGGACGAGTAGCTCTGTTTATGAGGAAAATTCAAGCTTTTTCTGAAAAAAAATTAGGGTAAAATTTCCAAAAAACGGCCAGAATTTCTCCCGATGTGTCAGATGAACATCCTGGACTTCTCGAAGTGCAAAAACTACCCAATTTTTCTAGAAAAGACAACTCAAACTCAAAGGAAACCATCCAAAAAGGCCGCAGAAAGAATTTTTCATATTTGGTATTCATCTGGTACATAAAGAGGAACCAAGGATAATTTTAAGAGAACTTCCGAATTTACCCAATTTAAAACGGCTAAACAACTAGGTAAAATCTGAAATTCAGTTAAAATCTGAATCGAGAAACATTAGATTGAACTAGTAAAAAAATTTTTTCACATCTAAAAAAATCAGGAAATTTTTCAAATCGTCAAAATGATGAAAAAAATCCCAACTACAGGATAATTTTTGGATAAAACTGAAAGGATTTTTTTATTTCCAAAAAGAAAACCTTTTTTTCATGGTCCTCCACTCCTGCGTCCGTATGATCGCCTTGTGGTGGATCGCCAAAAAAATCGAATAACCGCCTGAAAAATTACCATTTTTCCTCGTTCAAACAACGGAAATTTGAAGAAATCGACCCATTTCGGCAAAACTAGGCTACGGCACAAGTTTAGCTCCACGGAAAACTTTCGAAATTTCGTATTTTTCTATCCGTTTTACAAACGATTTTAGCCATTTATTCTCTCTATCTCTATGATTTTTCGCGAGAAAAATACTACATTTAAAAAAACATTTAGAAACTGATTCAATGCCTAATTCACGTGTATTTTTATCCAAAAATCTCATTTTTATTATTTATGAATTTTTTTGCTACATGACTTTCTGTTAAAAATGCATAATTTTTCAAAAATTTAACCAATTTCCAGTTTTTTTATTATATATATTTAGTGACCATGGCGCGCAAAAACGGTAGAAAAAACCTTGCAACTAAAATTAAAAAAGAAAAAAAATTCAAAGTGTTCGATGGAGCAAACTTGCGCCATGGCCTAGTTTTCCAAACTAGCCGACTTTTCCAATTTTCTCGAACTCACATTTTTCAAAATAACCGCACTATACGTGTCTGAGAAAACAGCAATGTGGGTGATATTTTTGTGGTTGATCGTGTAGGAAATTTGGCGTTCGCACTGTTCTTTCAACGGCAAAACTTCGTACTTGTCGGCTGGAATTTCGAGAAAAGTTATATGAAATTATTAGAAATGAAACAAACCAATGGCCAAAATCTCGTCGACGGAATTGGAATCCAACGCATCCGTGCTACCCGTGTACATGAATTCAACCATTGCTCGTACCTGAAAAATTGAAAAAATGGATTTTTGAAGGTCTATGAACAGAAAAATCGCCCTCACAGGATTAATGATAAAACTCCGTTGTGAATCTACTTGCAAAATATCAAAAAACCAATTTTGAACAGTAAAATAAAGGCTATCAAAGAGAGAAATTTTAATTTTAGACTCGAATATCTATTTAAAATCGAAAAAATAGAAAAATCAGATATTCAAAGTTTTTTTCAATTTTTTTCAAGTTTTTCTACGTGCTGTCTACTGAACATTTTGTTGAATTAATGAAATTAATTTCCCATTTGCCTGAATCTTGAAAAAGGAACGAAAATTTGAAAATTAAACAAACAAAGCCGTTCTAAAAAAATCCTGATTATCAACCTTTTTTGGAATAAAAAGAAGCAAATATATGATTAAATTCGCATATTGTTCAAAACTGCTCATTTCCATCATTTTACAGTCAATTTCTGCCTAAACTACGAATTGTTCTCAGATTCCTACATTTTGGAGTTGAAAACGAACTGATTACACATCAATAAAAATTTTTAAACAAATTCTTAAAGCTTCTACAATTTGCCTCACCTATTTTTCGTCATTTTCTAGAAAATAGCCATTTTTTTGACATTTGAAAGCTTTCCCAAAAATACCAAAAACAACGAAAACGAACCGATTCATACTTGGCGTCGGTCATGTCGATGACTCCATTTTGGGCCTCCAACATGGATTCATTGTTGAACATGGATTTGAAAACCGGGGACATTTGCCCCAAAATACATCGATGGGCTTTGATCTGTTTACTTCCGACCTGAAAAATAATGGATATCGCAGTGAGATATTTTTTTTGGGTTTGCAAAAAATTTAGTGGTTTTTTCCAACTTTCAACGTATTTTTTAACATTTATCGAGTTGGGAATATATAAACAATCACTTCAGTTTGTGAGAAAAAAATAAAAAAAAATAGCACAGAACCGAAAAAACCAAAATTTTCATAGAAAAAGTGCATTATGAACTTTTTAAAACACACATTTTTCTATTGACAATATTTTTGCAGTTCTTAACTTAATTTTAAAAATTGACTAACTTTTCTCCGCTTCTTATTTATTATACCCTATCTTCTCCAAAGAAGTCATAAAAAGCGAAAAAATTTAAAAACAAGTATAAAAAAATTTAAAGTTAGGATTAAAATTTGAGTTATAAAAATATCACCTCTAGAAGTATTTCGTGTGAAAAAAATGAAGAAAGAGAATGATTGAAAAAAACATAAATAAATAAAGAAATCCCACTTTCTCTATTTCATGAGTACTAAAACTTCAAAAAAATATTTTTTTCAACAATTTTTTTCAAAATTTCTTTGGAACCCTGAAGCCAAAAAGAAAAAAACCTAAGCCCCAAATTTTTTTTGAAAAAAATTTTTTTCAAAATTCATCAAAAAAACTTGAGAGAATCCGAAAAAAATGATTCATCTTTCCAACATTCAAATCAACCACCCATCCATTCATCCTAAAAAAAAATCAATGAACCCCCCCCAAAAAAATAATAATTTTACCTTTATAACGCAGTCAGTAAAAAGTTCATTGTCCCACATGTCCCGGATGTTATCCCGGACACTCATTTCGACTTTGTCTTCACAATCTTCCGCAAAATTGTCCTCGTCTACCGGTTCGACCGATATTTTTTTGAACCAGGCGGAAAATATTCAACCTGCAATCGAGCTTTGACAAAAAAAGAAACTTACTCAGTGTTTAATTCAACCAAAAAATAATGTTCTGAAAAACTTTCTCAAAAGTTCAAAGGGAAAAAAACGAATTAAATCAATTTTCCTAGCGAAACATCCCCGATTACGGAAAAAAATGAAAGGAAATTCAATATTCTTCAAAAAAATTCGATCAAATGGAAATAAAATCAACTTTCTAACAGAAAATATCCCTTTTTTTGAGTGAAAAAAATAAATCGAAAAAAAACTCTACTATTTCTTTAAAAATTCTTTGAAAAGTTGTAAGATGAAAAAAATAAATTTTTCTAACAAAGATTGAATGCTCCTAATCCCGAAAAAAAATTCGGAATTTTCAATTAAAAATCTAAAGAGGAGATAAAACCACTTAAGTAACCACTAAATAATTCTTAATCGCCTGTAAAAGTCCCCTCTTTAAACACCAACAACGCGTTGAAAAATTTCAAAAAAAAAAAAAATGAGAACGGCAATCAACACTTTGAATCATCGCTTAAGTGTACCTGAAACCTCTTAAGAGAATGCTCAAAATGAAAATTATTCGTACTCTTCAAAACGCTCCATCGGATCAAATAAAAAATTCGAAAAAAAGCCGCAGAGCCAAGAGATCACTAAAGCGACCTCTTAGATCATTGGCGAAAAACTTTCTTCCAAAAAATAGAAAAAAAAACTCCGCGAATCCAAGAAATCACTAAAGTGACCTCTTAGATCATTGGCGGGAATTTCCATCAGTAAAATAGAACAAAGTACTTCCATGGATCCAATAGATCACTATAGTGACCTCTTAGATCATTGGCGGGGAATCTGATTCCAAAAAAATAATAAAATAGGAAAAAAACCCGCGAATCTGATAGATCACTTAATTGATCTCTTAGATCATTGGCGGGAATTTTTTTCAGAAAAAAGGTAAAAATTCCGCGAATCCAAGAGATCTCTATAGTGACCACTTAGACCATCGGCTGAAATTTTTTTGTCTACAAAAAGAAAAATCCGCATTCAAATTTTTTTAATAAGCAAAAAAATTAATAATCTCGTCTTTTTTTCTTCAATTTTTTTGAAACGGTAATAACCAATAAAAAAAAATTTATGTTCTGGTTCAAAAAAATTTATTAAAAAAAGTGTACATAAAAAAACCAAAAAAATCTTCTCAAAAATTTATAAAAAATGTTTTTCAAAGCAAAAAAAATTTAAAAAAATCGAACTGAAACACCTTTTATCCTCTCAAAGTTTGAAAAAATATTAATTTTAACTTAATTTTTACAAAAAAAGAAAATAAAATGAAAACCCACTTCACAAATAAGAAATAACGTTCCATCGGCCTTTAGAGCGCCGCTCATTTTTCTCGGGAAACCTGAAAATTTTTCTCTTTTTTTCTGAAAGATAAACAAAAACTTCCCTTCAATAAACTTTGCATTGAAAGGTAATAAAAATTGATTTTTGGAGCTGAAAAAGGGCATTTTTTTCAATTTTTTTGCATGTCACTGGACTTTTTCTCAAAATGAAGATAAGCAAACTTCTAAACTATTTTTTTAAACTTTTTCCTGTCATTAATTGATCTTTTTGTCAAGAAAATGGTGGTTACAAGGAGAAAAAAATTGATTTCAGGTCGAATTAGAGTAAAAAGTTCGAAAAAAATGGCTGAAAAACTGACGTTTTTTTCTATTTTTTTCGTTCGAATTTCATCAGATGAAGCCAAAAAAATGTTACAAACTGGAATTTTTTTCCATTTTTTTCAAATAAAAAAAGTGGCAAGCAAAATTGATAAGAACATTTGTCGTTTAATTCTTCAGTTGAAACTCGAAGAAAAACACAAATTGGAAAATTTCGTATTTTCAATGCGAGTTCCGTTAGTTAAAAGTTAAATTAATAGTCTAAAACCGAAATTTTCCCATTTTTCAGTACAAAATCCTTCCGTAGGAGTACCAGAAATTCGCCTTTGCTCTGTTAATTCGTAATATTAATCTTGTAACCTTAAAAAACTCAAGAAGCAGAATCAATTAGAACATTTTTTTGGTTAACTACTTTAGTTAAAAAGTCGAAAAAAAATTTTTATTTTCCTTTTTTTTCAGTTCTAAACCCATGTTGAAGGTCAAAAAAACGTTACAAAAGTGAAATTTTCCCAATTCCCCGTTCAAAATTACCTGAAATTTGCCTCGACCCTGTTGATTGGTGAAATCCTTGGTGTCGCGGCAAACGCTGACCCTCTGGGAGCTGCCGTCGAGGGCGTAGATTTGGAATTCGGTCATGATGGGCTCTTCGCCGCGCTGAAAAATGATCAATTTCGATCAATTTCTCGTTGAGAAGCGCCCAACCACCTGCAGGCCGACTTGTCGCAGGAAAAACGAGACATTATTCTGGTCTTCTTCTCGTTTTCCGTTGGGATAGACGTGGAGTTCCCAACAGACTGTGGGGGCCTGGGGCACCCCGAACTGGTGACTGACCAGGTTGTGTCCGTTCTTCACCAATTTCATCAGCTTCTCGAACTGGAATACAAAAAATCCTTAAAATTTGACTATGGATACAATTTTTACAATAACCAAGCTCATTGATGATTGATGATGATTTAAAACACGTTTTGACTTCTTTTTCGCCAAAGGCGGTGTTAGTGCCGCTCAAAAGAGCAATTTTTTTCACCGCCTAGTCGATTTTATTTGACTAAAAACAACCAATAAATATTGATGATTGATGATGATTTAAAAAAATCTTACCACGGAACGTTCTTTACCCCCCCTCGCCCGCTTGAATTTTTTTGATGAAAAATTTGCTGAAGTGTACTTTTAGGACCCCCTGAATTCAGAACTAGAAGAAAATTTCTCGCAAAATAAAAAATAATTTCGTTTCCGAGTTATGAACCTCCAAATTCCATAAAATACGCAAATTATAACAAAAAAGCGCTATTTTAAGCTTCTGAAGCTTCATAACTCGAAAACGAGATCTCTTGCGAGAAATTTCTTTTTGTTCTGTAATAAGGGGGTTCTAACTTCACTGAAGTTTTATCAAAAATTCAATCCGGGAGTAAAAAAACGTTCCCTAGTTAGGAACAGAAAATTTCTAATTTTTTTAAGCAATTATTTTAGTTCAATCATTTTTTTCAGCATTATTTCAAATTCTCAATTTTGTAAAAATATTTAAGGTTTGAATAAGCTTATCAGCTTCATAATCTATAAATCAATTTTTTTAAAGCTTATTGAAAAGTAAGATTTTCGAGCTAAATTAAATAATTTTTTTCATAAATATACAAGGATTCTTACGAGATAACTAAGTTGATTAGCTCTTAAAACTAAATTATTTTTGATTTTTTTGAAATTAATTGTAAGGAAATTAATTTTTCATCAACGCTTTTTAGAAAAAAATATATCGAACTTTTGTTTTTTTCATGTTATTTCTCAAGGAACTTTTTTTCCATAGCTTCAATAAATCTTTTTACTTTTCTATTCGAGAAAAAAACAGAAACTGTAAATATATATTCTCCAGAGTCAACCTAATTCGCAAAAAAGACTAATAGCGAATTTTCTATGCTAAACTTCCATGGAAAAAGTCACCGAAACCGAAAAAAAAGTCCAATTTAACAAACTAAAGCCGTGTTTAATGTAAATATCTTGAAATTCCGTAACTCTCAAAATTAGTTATCTTTCACGGATTTTTTGAAACTCAAGGAATGACTTTGAACATGGCAATAAGAATTTTATAAAAAAGCAAACCTGCTCAATTTTCCATTCCAATTTCGTTGACAAGGCCGTCACTTTGGTCGCCTGCTTTGAAACGACTTCGAGTTTTCGCGGCTGCGGCGAATTTGAATCGTCGGCTAAACATTTTCCTCATAGAATATTGAAAAAAGAGTTACCAAGGAAGGTAATTTCACTTTATTTTTGATAATTTCCTGAAAACGGGTCAGAAAGCTCCTTAAAGTACAGAGAAATATTCTGAAAGTCTTAATCTGCAAAATTTCTCAAGAAATAAGGGCTAACAATAGAATATTTTAACGGATTTTTAGCTTTTTTCTGACTTCGAGGCGTCCTTTTTCAAAAAAGACTTTCTGCTTAATCAATAAATATTCTGACCAATTTTTCAGGAGTATCCAAAGAAAATTCCCCTCCTTGTGAGAAAAAAATAATGAAAAAAATTACATCTTAATGAGCCGGGACGACTCAAACAGGAGCTACCTGAGGCTGAGGGGTTACGAGCGACCCCCTGGCTCATTTAGGCAGCTGAAATTGAATTAGAACCCTGAAAACGAACACAAAGTGAAAAAAAAGAGAAAAAAAAACAGAAAATGACGAAAAAATCGATGCAAACGCATGGTTTTTCACACGTAGTTAGCACATTTATCGAATTATGAGAATAAATGGACCGTTGAGAAAAATTTCCCATATAAATGTTACGAAAATATTCGAAAATTCGATAATTGGGCTAACGTGGGAACTTTTTTCTCCCAGGGTTAAAATTTCGATCAAAATTGTGCTTGAGAACCTCTTGGAAACAGGACAAGAAAAATATCTATCGTAATAGATTATTTTTATAAAAAAAGTTATCACGATACTTTTTCTGAATTTTTAAGGTCCTGCAGTTAAAACTTCATCACAAAGTTTCAACCAAAAGCAAAAAAATGTCCTGTTCGAAAGACGCAGAAAAATTAGAAATGGCCTACATCCACATGAAAACGGCTCTTCGCGTCAAAATTTTATTATTTTTTTTTCTATCTTCTTTTGAATATTGATCTACCAATAATGAAAAACTCGAAAGATTCTTGGGAAGCTCGAAATTTCAAGGAAAGCAAAATAATATTATCAAAAATCGTCTTCCAAAGGCATTAATATATTTTTGGACGAAATTTCATGTCAAAAGCGTGTTTTAAATTTTTATTTACTATGAGGATGAGTGATAGATCTAAATTATAAAAATTGGTCAAAAAAAGCTCTCAAGATCTAGAAAGCGTCAATAAATTTTTCCCACCATATTGCAAATCTGATTATAATCATTCGAACGACAAAAAAAATTTAAAAAAGTGCAAGTCCAAAAATTTGTATTTTTTTACGATAAAAATGTAGTCGTTTGATTTAAAAAAAATCTGTATTCAAGAAATCTATTCAAAAAAATCTGTAATCAAGTAAAAAAACCTAATAATTGTAATAAAAAGTGAGCCCCCAATTTGGATAAAATATTAACTTCTCAACACGAAATATGAGACTATTTTTGCTCGCGCCATCACGTGGGACCTTTGAAGATCGATACCAATTTTTATTTATTAAACCAATAAGTGAAAATCTTCGAAAACTGGAAAGAAAGGGGGAAAAAGGCTGAAGCGCAAAATGAGGAGGACGGAAAATGAAAGAGAAAGGGTTGGTGGAGGCACGAGGAGCAACGAAAACAGTCGAAACATTCTTGTTTCCAGCCGTCGAAGCCAGTCGCCAACCTCCCTCCACTTCTCGTCCTCCTTTTTCCCATCACCCTCGCCCAGACACCATAGCGCGTCTGCACCCTCCACCAATCGCTCGCTGTCTTGGCGCAACGGAGGACGTTTGAATTGCCGCGCGACCCTATGCCTACACATCTAACTTTCGAATTTATCTCGCTTATTTTTTTCGTTTTCAAATTTTGTTTGTTTTCATTTCAAGTTGTTATATTTTATCTTACTGTACTGATTCAGTAGTAGCAAAGAACACGTCTGGAAACTATGAGAAAGTCTCAACAGAAAAAATTCGCTGTTTTAAAGTTTTTTCGCACTGAATGAGAAAGTTTTCAATTATGAGATTTTCTACATTCCCATCGATGTGGCTTTCTCTTAATGATTATTGGATTTTATTGAGAAGATTTTTCAAAAATTAACCGAAAGTGCGCTTATTGAAATTCAGAAAAAGGGAAAATCAACAGGAGGGCGCGAAATAGTTTTGAAACATTTTCCGTGATTTTGAATTTTTATTTGCTCTCAGGGTTTTGTTCTTCTGAAGCTTTTTTCTTCAAGTTTATCTCAACTTAATATGATAAAGAGTGATCCCGAAACGTTGAAGTTTGATTTTGAGGCATTTATTGATAGAAGAATCTAATAAGTTGACACTTTGAAAAAAACCGTTTTACTTTTTCATGAAGTTTTCAACATTTTCAATCGTATTTTCACTTGCGAATCAACTGCAAGACGAGTTGTTGAAAGATATTGGAACGAAATAATTTTCAACCAAGGAGCTTAGGTTCTGTTTCGCAGCTCGTAGCGAAATCACATCGAAATTTTTTTTTTTGAAGAATACTAAAATTTCTGTTTTTGTTTGGATCCCTGTTTTCAATAACCTCTTTATTTACTTCTGAAATGTTAAGAGCTCGGAAATTCAGTGATTTTTGCAGGAATGGCCTACCAACAGCGCTACGGTGCTGGTGGCGGACCAGGTCCCATGGATACGGGCGAAGGGGTAAGGTATTAACGATACTATAAATTTGAAAACGTCAAATTTCAGCATTCTGTTCCTGATCACGTTCTTGAGGAGAAGGCTAGGAAATGGAAGCAGTTGCAGTCGAAGCGGTACGCTGAGAAGAGAAAGTTCGGAGTGGTCGACACTCAAAAAGAGGAGATGCCACCTGGTAAGGGCCAGGAATCTCATATTGGAAAAGAGGGAATTTGCAGAGCACGTCAGAAAGATCATACGTGATCACGGAGACATGACGTCGAGGAAGTATCGTCACGACAAGCGCGTCTATCTTGGCGCCTTGAAATACATGCCTCATGCTGTTCTCAAGTTGCTGGAGAACATGCCCATGCCTTGGGAGCAGATCAGGGATGTCAAGGTGAATTTTGGAGAACGTTCAAAACGGGCGCACCCGTTTAAGCTCAGCTGGTAGAGCTTTTGCCCATTTTACCACATCTGAGGCACCGTTTTTGCCCTGTTGGGTCTCAGGATTTGAACAATACCGCTGTTTTACTTAGTTATTCTTGTACCCGTTTAGGCGTGACTGAAAAACTGATATCCCCTATACCCTTTGAGACACATGGCTTGAGAAAAAAACCGTTTAGAAGAAAAACACAACGAAATTTTTGGAGATTTATAGAAACCACTTCTTCAAAGCTTTTTACACTGTTTTACATGCTTGAAGGTCACTTTTTTATTCAGAAAGCATAAAAATGGTTTTATGCTCTCTTAAACTTTCAGTGTAATTTCAAAAAATAGGAAGAAAAAAAATTGGTTTCGTCTTTTTTACTATTTTTCTCTAAACTCTTTCGAAAAAGACCAAAAAAAAACGATTTACAATTTTTAAGCCGAAAATCACTTTCCAAGCCGCATAACTGAACTTATATCATTTTTTCAGATCTTGTACCACATCACTGGTGCAATAACCTTTGTCAATGACATTCCCCGCGTTATCGAGCCGGTATATCTCGCTCAGTGGGGAACTATGTGGATCATGATGCGTCGTGAGAAGCGTGATCGTCGTCATTTCAAGGTTTCCAAAAAAATAAAAAAGAAAAATAAAGATTTTTTCTTCAGCGAATGCGTTTCCCACCATTCGACGACGAAGAACCGCCGCTCGACTACGCTGACAATATTCTGGACGTAGAACCATTGGAACCTATCCAAATGGAGCTCGACCCAGAGGAAGACAGAGCCGTCGAGGAATGGTTCTACGACTTTAAGCCGCTTGCCAATACGCGGTAGAATGATTCAAAAAATGAAGAAATGATGAGCCCTTTTTCAGCTTTGTCAATGGGCCGACCTACCGCAAGTGGGCGTTCAGTATCCCGCAAATGTCGACCTTGTACCGCCTGGCCAATCAGCTTTTGACTGACCTCGTCGACGATAACTACTTCTATTTGTTCGACCTGAAGTCGTTCTTCACGGCCAAGGCGCTCAATGTTGCCATCCCTGGAGGGCCCAAGTTCGAGCCCCTCATCAAGGATTTGAACGTGTACGTGTTGGAAATATAGCAGAAATCATCGGTTTTTGGGCCGCATTTTGCATGAAATTGTTCGAAAAGCGAGATGAAGGCTCTCGGGAAAAATTCCAGCCAAGATTTCGTTTTGAAGTAGTTTTGAAGATATTTTGGAAAATGTAAGCAAAATAGAGCGGAAATTATTTATTTTTTTGGAATTTTCGAGGAATATTTCTCTCATTTTTTTACCTAAAAACTGTTCGAAAAAGCGAAATAAGGGCTGATTTATACACCCAACATCATATTTAAAGATTTTTCGTAATAAAGTTTGAAAATTCGGAGCCTCAGATTTCATGTAGGAGCGCTTATTTTTGCAGGAATAACTAAAAAAAGGCGGAAAAAAATTAAATTCATGCTCTTATTTAAACTAAGATTGTGGGGAAAAAAAAAGATTTTTTTACACGTTTTTTTGAGTTCATTTTTCCCAGTGAGAAAGAATATAACTCAAGATTTTTAGTTGAGTATTTTTCAAAGAAACAGGGATAATATAGGTTTTTCAGCTTCTATATAGGAGCTCATTCTGCAGAAATAATAAAAAAACACACAAAAAGGAGCCAAAAAATTAGCTTCAAGTCCTCTTTTTAACTTATATTCTTGAAAAAATCAATTTTCACACATCCTTGACTTCATTTTTGGTTTTTGCAGTGATGAAGACTGGAACGAGTTCAACGACATCAACAAGGTCATCATCCGAGCTCCGATCCGTACGGAATATCGCATCGCGTTCCCCTACATGTACAATAATCTCGTCAGCTCGCTTCCCGTTCAAGTCGCCTGGTAGAAATTTCAAAAAAGTCCTATTTTTATTCGATTTTTATAGGTACCACACTCCATCCGTGGTTTTCATCAAGACTGAAGATCCGGATCTTCCAGCTTTCTACTACGATCCTCTGATCAATCCCATCGTTGTCAATGGACTGGAGAGGGTAAATTTTCAGAAGCCGTGGGACCTGAGCGGGTCTGCCCGTATTAATCGGTTTCTGTATATTATAGAAATTTTGGCTTTTGTATCCCTTTTGAGGCACCTTTTTTTAGCCCATATGGGTCTCAGATTTTTTTAAAATTATATACAGCTTGATCGCTTGTTTCTTCCTGCGCCCGTTTTTTGACCGTTTTAGCAAAGTTGAGACTCAAATAGCCTCAAAAATACGGGATTAATGCGGGTACACCCGTTGAGACACCTGGTAACATTGAAAAATGCGCTTTTTCTTACATATCCTTCTGAACCGTCATGTTGTGATTCTAATCATTGAAAGCGCTATAGAAAATCTCATGAAAGGCGTGAGAAAAATTCAATCGTCGATTTTTCTCAAGATTCGAAGTGAGTACAATTCCAGACTGTTGAAAACCTTCCCTCGGACGAAGAACTGGAAGAATGGGAACTTCCCGAAGACGTCTCGCCGATGTTCGACGAGGTCCCGCTGTACTCGGACAACACGGCCAACGGCCTGGCCCTTCTCTGGGCCCCGCGGCCCTTCAATCTCAGATCCGGAAGGACCAGAAGAGCGATCGACGTCCCCCTGGTCAAGAGCTGGTACCGGGAACATTGTCCAGCAGGTGAAATGATTGGTGTCGGGGTTCGGAATACTAGAGAGGCTCCTTTTTCAAGTTTTCAGAGTTTTTCGGACCTTTTTCAGGGGTTTGAGATTATAGAGACACCGAAATTGTGAAAGAAGGATCGGAAAGATGTTCTGGAAAATTTATCTATTTTTACTTTACGCCGCAATAAAATAAATTCAGTTAGAGAACGACACTGATCCCGAAGCTTTCAGGAATGCCAGTCAAAGTTCGCGTCTCCTATCAGAAGCTCCTGAAAGTGTTCGTTCTGAACGCGCTAAAACATCGACCGCCGAAGCCCCAAAAGAGAAGATATCTCTTCCGCTCATTCAAGATGACCAAGTTCTTCCAAACGACGACGATCGATTGGGTTGAAGCTGGTCTCCAGGTTCGTCGAAACGCAAAAAACCATGGAAAATGACCCTTTTCCAGGTGCTCCGACAAGGATACAACATGCTGAACCTGCTCATCCACCGAAAGAACTTGAACTACCTCCATCTCGACTACAATTTCAACCTGAAACCTGTGAAGACGCTGACGACCAAGGAACGTAAAAAGTCGCGTTTCGGAAACGCCTTCCACTTGTGTCGCGAGATTTTGCGTCTCACGAAACTTGTCGTCGACGCTCATGTCCAATATCGGTAAATATATCATAGAAGGAAGGTTCAAAAGGTGTCCTGTTGAGATTAACATGATTTTTAAAGGGACCTTGGGACAGCCTAGTTCAAAATTGGTCGCGAAAAGTATATTTTGTTGTCTTTAGTAGTTGATTCCTACCATCTAGAAGATTTAAAGAGGGTTTTTTGACGTCTTTGAGGTTCTTTAACTCTAGCTTTTCTTGTCTAGGATTGTTAATTTCGCGTAAAAAGTCATTTTGAAAAGTAACAAAAATTGAAGTGTTTTGATTCAAAATGACGTCAGTTTTGACTGAAAACTCCGATTTCCGTTCGCTGGTTTTCTCAGGATTTCTCCATTTCAATGATATTTTTGCAACTAAAAAGCTGAAAAAAGCAGACGATGTCAAAAAAAATATTAAAAATATGCGTAATGCCGTGTTAAAAGCGGTTCCGCGATGTCCAGAGAAAAGAAAAGATAACTAAAATTTGGAGAGCCAGAGATAATTTTGCTTTTCTTGAAAATTACTTTGAAAATACATAAAGTCAACTAACTTACATAAAATTCTCAACGCAAAATTCTCAACGGACACTTTTTTTTCTTTCCTTGTTGATCATAACGAATTTGAGCAAAATTGTCTATTTTTAGCTTGAACAACGTGGACGCCTATCAGTTGGCCGATGGATTGCAATACATTTTCGCCCACGTCGGACAGTTGACGGGAATGTACCGTTACAAGTACAAGCTGATGCGACAAGTCCGAATGTGCAAGGATCTGAAACACTTGATCTACTACCGCTTCAACACTGGACCAGTCGGTTTGTTGGAATCTCGAAACGAAAAGAATCTATGAATATAATTCAGGAAAAGGTCCCGGCTGCGGGGTCTGGGCGCCCGGATGGCGCGTCTGGCTCTTCTTTCTCCGAGGAATCACGCCGCTTCTCGAGAGATGGCTCGGAAACCTGCTCTCCAGGCAATTCGAAGGCCGACACTCGAAAGGAGTTGCCAAGACCGTCACCAAGCAACGTGTCGAATCTCACTTCGATCTGGAATTGCGGTAAGTTTTGATGGCTGCCCACTGAAAGCTGAATCAAGACTGTCGCGCCATTTTAGTCCAGGGAACGTTGAAATATGAATTTTCTATCAAAAAATATTGAAAATTGCAGTTTTCCTATTTTTGACTTTTTTCAATGCGCTTTCGGAGCTCATTTTCTCACATTTAGGAAAAAAACAAGTTTTTCCATGTTTTTTCTGAAGCTGACGCATTTTTTGGCCGAAAATCTAGGAGAAACGCGTTTTTTGGAATAGGTTATCTTTTTTGAGCTTTCAATGATCTTGAAACTCAAACTTGTCGTCCTGCCACATATATCTCGAAGGTAACCCCGGAGCCACCCGACGCGTGAAGTTGAAAATGAGTAAAAATGTAGAAAATGGGTGAAAAACAAGCTGGTCAAATATCTAGAAAAAAAAGGCTTTTTCGTAAGGAAAATCTTATCACTTTAGTCTGCCATCTGAAACTAACAAGTTTCTGAAACTCGACGTTTTCTATTTCAGTGCGGCTGTCATGCACGACATTCTGGACATGATGCCCGAAGGAATCAAGCAGAACAAGGCTCGTGTCATCCTCCAGCACTTGAGTGAGGCCTGGAGATGTTGGAAGGCGAACATCCCTTGGAAAGTAATCGATAAAACTGGAATATCTTCACAAAAGTGGCGAATTTCAAGGTTCCCGGCCTACCGACTCCCGTTGAGAACATGATCTTGCGTTACGTCAAGGCAAAGGCTGATTGGTGGACCAATTCGGCTCACTACAACCGAGAAAGAGTCCGACGTGGTGCGACGGTTGACAAGACTGTCTGCAAGAAGAATCTCGGCCGATTGACTCGTTTGTACCTCAAGGTTTGAGACGAAATACTGATGTTAGTTAAAAAAATTGCGCCATTTAGAGTGATTTTTGAGCGAGAAAAAATTTGAATCCTTTTTTCCCGCGTTTTTGTCGTCAATGTCAAGAGATTGGTAGAAAAAGAGAGACAGAGAAGAAAAGAAGCTAAAATAGGAATTTAGAGTCAAACATGACGTCACTTTAAATTTGAAAGTTTATTTTCGCTCGAAAATCAAACGCGGCGAAAAAAAAACGATATCTCTCGTAAAAATTAGACCCCAAATCTGAAAAATGTAGGATTTTGTCGAAAAAATGGGTCTCGAAACGAAAATAGTTCACATTTCTTGAAAATACTGAAAAATGTAGCCATTTCCCGTACAAAAATGAAAGTTTCTCTATTTTGGTCGTTTTTACAGTATCTTCAACACATAATTTCCGTTTTGAGACCTTTTTTCAAGTCTTAGTGAGTGTCTTTACACAGTAAAATTTTTTTGAGCTTTTTGGACTTTATTTGAGCTTGTGAGCTGAAACAGCTAAAAAAAAATTTTCATTTTTCAGGCGGAACAAGAGCGTCAGCACAACTACTTGAAGGACGGACCGTACATCTCGGCCGAAGAAGCCGTGGCGATCTACACAACCACCGTCCATTGGCTGGAATCTCGTCGCTTCTCGCCGATCCCCTTCCCGCCGCTCTCCTACAAACACGACACCAAGCTGCTCATCCTGGCCTTGGAACGGCTCAAGGAATCCTACAGCGTCAAGAACCGTCTGAACCAGTCACAGCGTGAAGAGCTGGCCCTCATCGAACAGGCCTACGACAACCCCCACGAGGCCTTGTCCCGAATCAAGCGCCACATGCTCACCCAGCGCGCCTTCAAGGAGGTCGGCATCGAGTTCATGGACCTCTACACCCATCTGATCCCCGTCTACGACATCGAGCCCCTCGAGAAGGTCACCGACGCCTACCTCGACCAGTACCTCTGGTACGAGGCCGACAAACGACGCCTTTTCCCGGCCTGGATCAAGCCCGGCGACACTGAACCCCCGCCGCTGCTCACCTACAAGTGGTGCCAGGGCCTCAACAACCTCCAAGACGTCTGGGAGACCTCCGAGGGCGAGTGCAACGTCATCATGGAGGCCAAGTTGGAGAAGGTCGCCGAGAAGATGGACTTGACCCTGCTCAACAGACTTCTGAGGTCTTTTTGAGAGATTTTTCGGGAAATTCAGCTGAGAAATTTAATTTTTAAGAAACCATGACAGTGGAGATGTTTAAAAGACTGTATTTGGAAGTACTAGAGTCATTGAAAATTCATTTTTAAAGATAAAGCGTTTGAATTGAATTTTTAGAATTTTAGGCTGAATTTTACAGAGTTTCAGTTGATTTATGCTCAAATTTCATAATTGCTCGAACTTTTGGAACCATTTCTCAAAATAAACAAGTCTTTATCTCATAAGTTTTACTCGGAGAACCTTTTCTCAGGTAATTTTCTCTTAAAAGTCCAATTTTTCAACTTTAAGAACTTGCTTTGGGTTTTGCCGAGTTTGGCTTGAATTTTACGAAGTTTTAGTTAATTTCCTTGAAAAATTAATTTTTCAATGATTTTGGTCTGGCACCTTTTCTAGGTCATTTTGCTCAAAAGTCGACTTTTTTAAGCTTCATCGATTTTTTTTCCATATTTAATCACATTTTCCACTGAAAAATACATATATCTCGCCTGAATTTTCAATTATATTTCAATCATATATCTCGCCTGAATTTTCAATTATTTTTTGAATCGGGACGATTCCAAAAATCATTACTTAGATTGATCGTGGACCACAACATTGCCGATTACATGACGTCCAAGAACAACGTTCTGATCAACTACAAGGACATGAACCACACCAACTCGTTTGGTATTATTCGTGGCCTGCAATTCGCTTCTTTTATTGTTCAAGTATGAAAAATATCGTTTTATCGGAAAATCTATCCATTTTCAGTACTACGGCTTGGTGCTCGATCTGCTGGTTCTCGGCCTCCGAAGAGCCTCGGAAATCGCTGGACCTCCGCAATGTCCCAATGAGTTCTTGCAGTTCCAGGTGAAAATCTCCTCCTTTTTGTCATAAAATTATAAAAAATGTCAGAACGTCGCCACGGAAATCGCCCATCCGATCCGTCTGTACTGCCGTTACATTGACCGCGTTTGGATCATGTTCAGGTAAAAAACTAGAATTTGAGATTCAGAAGAAAAAAGAATGTTTTCAGATTCTCCGCCGACGAGGCCCGAGATCTGATCCAAAGATACCTCACTGAGCATCCGGATCCGAATAATGAGAACATCGTCGGCTATAACAACAAGAAATGCTGGCCTCGAGACGCCCGAATGCGCCTGATGAAGCACGACGTCAACCTCGGAAGAGCCGTCTTCTGGGATATCAAAGTAAAAAATATCGAGAATCAACTTTATTAGGTTGAAAAATTAGATTTATTCAATTTTGAGGCCTTCACTCATATTTTTTGAAATTTTCAAAGTTAGGAAGTAAATCAAGTATTGACTTCAGGGCAATAAAAAAAAAATAATTTTTAAACGCGGAAAGGAGTACTGACTTTAGAAAGTTAGGAAGACTTGGTGGCTTTTTCAAAAATTTCTGCCCATCTATGGTAGAAAAAAATTAATGTTATTGAACTTTGGGGTTGTATTTTTTTGACATTTTTCATGAATTTCGTGTCTCAATTTCCGTATTTTCATAAATTTTGATACTTTTCATCTTTAATCTCGTTTCCACATGCATACTTCTTTAGAAAACTAGCAAACCTTGAAAAAGGCTCCATTTTTTTCTACTATATTCAGGGAAAGAGCTCGAAAATGTAGATGAAAAGTTTTGGATCAAAAATTGAAAAGCATTTTTTTTGAGGTTTTTGAGTATCTACTGAGTATCTAGAGTTTGATCAAATTCTGAATGGGAAGCCCTTGCTTAAGCTCCACCCCTAATGGCGCGATGAACCAATCAAAGAGCGTTTTCGAATGACGGCATTGTACTTGATATTAAAATTATGGACAGACTATAAAAAAAACTCTCCTATTCCGCAATCATATGTACTTTTCTTGCAATAAATTGAATAAAAATCGTTCAGAATCGTCTGCCGCGCTCGGTGACGACCATCGAGTGGGAGAACGCGTTCGTCTCCGTGTACAGCAAGGACAACCCGAACATGCTCTTCGACATGTGCGGATTCGAGTGCCGAATCCTTCCCAAGTGCAGAACGGCCAACGAGGAGTTCGTCCATCGCGACGGCGTCTGGAACTTGCAGAACGAGGTGCAAAAAAGGACCTGTCAAAGTTAAATTCCAATTTTCCAGGTGACCAAAGAGCGAACGGCTCAGTGCTTCCTGAAGGTCGACGAAGAGTCCATGTCCAAGTTCCACAACAGAATCCGACAAATCCTCATGTCTTCCGGCTCGACGACCTTCACCAAAATCGTCAACAAGTGGAACACGGCTCTCATCGGCCTGATGACGTACTTCCGAGAAGCCGTCGTCAACACTCAAGAACTGCTCGACCTGCTCGTCAAGTGCGAGAACAAGATCCAGACTCGTATCAAGATCGGCCTCAACTCCAAAATGCCCGCCCGTTTCCCGCCCGTCGTCTTCTACACGCCCAAGGAAATCGGAGGACTTGGTACCCACTCTTTGAAAAAGCTCTCATTTTCCTCCTACTTCAGGAATGCTCTCCATGGGCCACGTCCTGATCCCCCAGAGTGATCTGAGATGGATGCAGCAGACGGAAGCCGGAGGTGTGACCCATTTCCGGTCCGGAATGAGCCACGACGAGGACCAGTTGATCCCCAATTTGTACCGTTACATTCAGGTGAACAATTGGGGGAAAAATTTAATGGATTTTATTCAGTTTTCAAAGTTATCTCTGACTCTCCAAAATTCAGTTATCTTTTTCACTTTCTGATGGCTATTTGGAACTTTTTGGAACCACTTTTGGAAACACAGAATCAAGTTTGTAGAGAAAAAATGCTCGCGTTTTTCATTGTTTAACAAATTTCTGGATTTTCCCTCCAGTGGCCTTTTTAAAACATGAAAAAACGAAGTTTCCCTTTAAAGTTTTTTAAAACATGAAAAACAAATTGTTCATTTAAAGTTTCTGAAAAGACTGATTTTCTTTCTCTATAATCATTTTAATGTACCTCTTTTTTTGAGCTCGTTCTGAATGTTGAAAAAAACTTAAAAAAATATTGAGTAGTGGTGATTTAAAATTTTTAGCTTATCACTTTTTAAAAATTCCAAAGTGATTAATTGAACCTTTGATTCCATAAAACTGTCAAATCGGGACTTGTTTTGGTCCCACCGACGTCTGAGAAAGTGATGAATTCATTATTGGTTTATCACTGGTATTTACGTCGAAAATAGAAACTCAACTCCTAAGAAGAGTCGCGTTTTGCTCTGAAATCGGCTCTAGAAACGGTTGGAACAGTCCGAAGTTAACAGACAAAAAAATATAGATTTTTTTCGCCAAAAAACTGAACTGATTTCAGCCGTGGGAAGCAGAATTCGTCGATTCGGTCCGTGTCTGGGCCGAATATGCTCTGAAAAGACAGGAGGCGGCGGCGCAAAACCGAAGATTGACGTTGGAAGACTTGGACGACTCCTGGGATCGTGGAATTCCCCGAATCAACACCTTGTTCCAAAAAGATCGCCACACGTTGGCCTACGACAAGGGATGGCGTGTCCGGACCGAGTTCAAGGCCTACCAAGTACCCAAATCGCTTTCTTTTCAATGAAAAACCTTTTTCTGCAGATCCTCAAGCAGAATCCCTTCTGGTGGACCCATCAACGTCACGACGGAAAACTGTGGAACCTGAACAACTACCGGACGGATATGATCCAGGCGCTTGGAGGAGTCGAAGGAATTCTGGAGCACACGCTTTTCCGAGTACTGTATTTTCAGATGTGTCTCTAGATTTATGGCGATTTTTTGGCCTTCATCTTGTTTCTGATGGGAAATAGTATCCGAAAATAGGAAAAAGTTCTGATTAAGATCATCTAGAGCTTTTCAGAAGTGTTAAAATATTACCAAGTTTATAAGGCGAACGTTTTTTGAAATGAATTTTAAAAAAGACTTCTTCTGAAGTTTTTTGAAATGAATTTACGTTTTTTGTTTTTGCGTTTTTTGAAATGAATTTTAAAAAAAGACCTTCTGAAGTTTCTGAAGTTAATCTACACCAGAAACACAGTGGAAACGAATTTTTTGAATTAACTTCAAGCAAAATATTTAACCCTGTGTGCATTTTTTCCAGGAATTTTCCCTTTTTTGCTCAAAATTTGCACATTATCGTGAAAATCAGGCGGCACATTTCTGCCTGAAACTTCTACGATCTAATTTTTTAAATTTCTAAAAATAACGTTTCAGGGAACCTACTTCCCAACATGGGAAGGTCTCTTCTGGGAACGAGCCTCCGGTTTCGAAGAGTCGATGAAATTCAAGAAGTTGACCAATGCTCAGCGATCCGGTTTGAATCAGATTCCGAATCGTCGTTTCACCCTCTGGTGGTCTCCTACGATCAATCGTGCAAACGTGAGTTTGAGAAAGAAAACGAATGTTGAGAAAAAACTGAAATTTATTCAGTTCTTTGATAAGAAAACGGAAGGCTGATACAAATATTTTTAAACAATTTTCTACAAAATAGTGCAGGTAAATCGAAAAAATAAATTTAGTTCATTTGAATTTGAAGTTCAAGGAATTGGCTCGTTAAAAAGGATATTGAAATGACTTTATTTAAAAATATTCAATTTCACATACTTTCTTCGGAAAAATTCGGTTCCTCGCGTTTTGATTTTAAAAATTCGATAGTTTTAGTTTTTCTTGGAGGACAAAGTTACATGAAACAGTGAATTTTTTGAAATCTGGTGCTTATGTCGTAAATAATTTCAACTTTGAGAAAAAAGAAGAGAGGTTATATTTCACTCAAATGGTTTCTACAAACGGTTAAAAAATTCGAAATTTTCAGGTCTATGTCGGTTTCCAAGTGCAGCTCGACTTGACTGGAATTTTCATGCACGGCAAGATCCCGACGCTGAAAATCTCGCTGATTCAAATCTTCCGTGCTCACTTGTGGCAAAAGATCCACGAGTCGGTGGTCATGGACTTGTGCCAAGTGATTATCTCCACTTGGAAAAAATATAATAACTTTTTCCCTAGGTTTTCGATCAAGAACTCGACGCACTGGAGATCCAAACCGTCCAGAAGGAGACGATTCACCCGAGGAAATCGTACAAAATGAACAGCTCCTGCGCGGATATTCTTCTCTTCGCCCAGTACAAGTGGAGCGTCTCCAGACCTTCTCTGATGGCCGACAGCAAGTGTGTTTGAAAAAATGATGATAAAATCCCCGAAAAATCACTTTGAACTAGGTACTGCTTGGAGGATAATAGGGACATGGAAAGTTGTATATACAATAGATAAAAAAGCCCAAATAAAGAGGAAATCTAATTTTTGCCCTCTCCGACGTCTGAGAAGGTGATGAGTGCATTATTGGCTCCTCACCGGTATTTACGTCGAAAATGAAAACTCAACTCCTAAGAAGAGTCGCATTTTGCTCTGAAATCGTCTCTAGAAACGGTTGGAACAATGGAAAAAGTTATTAGTTATCCAAAAATCTTCAATGAACATAAAAATGTTAAGTTGAAGTTTGAAGGGTTTGCCAAAATGGCCCGCCTATTTAAGATTGGTTCCTTAAGAAAATAGTTTTTTTTTCGGTATTCACCCCTTTTCGAATAATGGAACTATTTCCAGAGACGTCATGGACAACACGACGACGCAGAAGTACTGGCTCGACGTGCAGCTCCGTTGGGGCGACTACGATTCTCACGACATCGAAAGATATGCGCGAGCCAAGTTCCTGGACTACACCACCGACAACATGTCGATCTATCCGTCGCCCACGGGAGTCCTCATCGCAATGGACCTCGCCTACAATCTTTACAGGTTCAAAAATAAAGAAATCGAGATTTTCGAGCCTAAGTTTGAATTTTGACGTTGAAACCTATACATTTCGATGTAAAATTAGACGAATTTTTGAGTGAGTTTTGTATTTCTGGCTTAATATTCCCATATTTTTTTGATATGAAATGACGAATTTCGCTGGAAAATTTATTGTTCTGGCTGATTTTTCTTCCTATTTTTTTCAGTTTTTTTCAAGAAAAAAATCCAATACAAATTAGTAAATTTAACCTCAAAACCAGTACATTTTTTTGTCTAAAAACGATGAAAAAAATGAGGAATTTTTAGTGAAAAAAATCAGTGGAATCCGCATGATAACTACTCTTTTTCACTCTAAAAAGTCGTCATTTTTCTGGTTTTTCGAAAAATTCGACTTTTTTAATCAATTTCAGCCCTGAAATGCTAAAATTTTTCAAAGAAAAGAAAATTTTGACACAGATCGATACAAAAATCTCTACTTTTTGGATAAATCTCATTTTCCACTTTCAGTGCCTACGGTAACTGGTTCCCCGGAATGAAGCCCCTGATCCGTCAAGCGATGGCCAAGATCATCAAGGCGAACCCGGCCTTTTACGTGTTGCGAGAACGTATCCGCAAGGGTCTCCAGCTGTACAGTTCGGAGCCGACGGAGCCCTACCTCACCAGCCAGAACTACGGAGAGCTCTTCAGCAACCAGATCATTTGGTACGGGACAGAAAAATCATATTTTCCTTGTTTCAAATCGAATATCAGGGAATTTTCCAACTTTTGTCATTTTTCTAGAGTAGTCTCCGGCTTTTCCCTCCTTTATCTGTTCTTCCTTGATTTTTTTCTTTTTTCTGATTTTTCTCTGTGTCTCCATTTAATTTATAGAGGGACTTTAAGGTCTATACGAGAAAAAGGAAAATTTTCGCCATTTTTTGGTTTCGTATAACCAATTTTTTTCGTGTTGATTATCTTTCAAAAATAACTTTCAATTTTTTTGTTTTTAAAATGACCTCAAATTTGACTTTTTTTCCCGTTGGAAATTCCCTGTTTTTCGCTGCTCTTTTTTCTCTAAGTCTCTCGTTTCCTGAGGATCTTTTTGACAATGACCCCAAAAAAGCGAAAAAAAAAAGAGAATTTTAACTTCTTATTTTGCTCAAAAATCATTTTGAACACGTATCGAAGAAAGTCAGCGGAAATCCCCCCTAGCGATTTGAAAAATTGAGAAACTCCGCGATTTTTGATTCTCATCATTTTTTCTCATGTTGAGGACTATTTTCTTGTAGGTTCGTCGACGACACGAACGTCTACCGTGTGACGATCCACAAGACGTTCGAAGGAAACTTGACGACGAAGCCGATCAACGGCGCCATCTTCATCTTCAACCCCAGAACCGGACAGCTCTTCTTGAAGATCATCCACACGTCGGTCTGGGCCGGCCAGAAGCGTCTCAGTCAGCTGGCGAAGTGGAAGACCGCCGAAGAAGTCGCCGCACTGATCCGCTCCCTGCCCGTCGAAGAACAGCCCCGGCAGATCATCGTCACCCGAAAAGCCATGCTTGACCCTCTTGAAGTGAAGAAAAATTGGGATAATTTGAAGAGAATAGTAAATTCAGGTTCACTTGCTCGATTTCCCCAACATCGTCATCAAGGGCTCCGAGCTGATGTTGCCTTTCCAGGCCATCATGAAGGTGAGAAAAATCTCGAAAAGACATGGATATAGCCAATCCACGGCTAGCTTGGAAGAAGCGCTATTTTCTTCGTGTCAGGACTTTTTTTTTCGATGCCGCCGTGGATCGGCTGTAGTTGTAAAATACATTTAAAAAACATGTTATGTGGAAGAAAAATAGCAAGGAGCCTCTTCTAAAGGTCCCTTTTTATTTTTGATGTTTGAGCACCCTGAAAAGTCGAAAAAATCACTTAGGAGCGGTCCAAAATAGGAAAATAGTAAGATGAAGTTCAATGATTGAAAAAAGCGCGATTAGCTTCTTAGATAACGTTTTGAAAGTATCAAAATGAAGTCAGACAGTTTACGAGAAGAGAAATAGTGTGAATCTCGAAATTATGAAAAAAAAAAGTCGCTAATATTTGAAATGAGCGCGTAACAGTAACATTTGCATACTGCTGAATCAAGTATCAAAAAAATCCTTTTTCCAGGTCGAAAAGTTCGGAGACTTGATCCTGAAGGCGACCGAGCCGCAAATGGTGCTCTTCAACCTCTACGACGATTGGCTGAAGACCATCTCGAGTTACACGGCGTTCTCCCGTGTCATTCTGATCATGCGCGGAATGCACATCAACCCCGACAAGACCAAGGTCATCCTCAAGCCCGACAAGACGACCATCACCGAGCCGCATCACATCTGGCCGACGTTGTCCGACGACGAATGGATCAAAGTCGAGCTCGCCCTCAAGGACATGATCCTCGCCGACTACGGCAAGAAGAACAACGTGAACGTGGCCTCGTTGACCCAGTCGGAAGTCCGCGACATCATCCTCGGTATGGAGATCTCGGCGCCCAGCCAGCAGCGTCAGCAGATCGCCGACATCGAGAAGCAGACCAAGGAGCAGAGCCAGGTAGCGGATGAAGAGTTGTAGATGTTCATTCACAAGCTATTGGTGATTGGGGAATAAGAAACATGGATTTTTGGCCTTTACAAGGCGGTAAAATTGAGCCAGTTGAAATTTGGAGACGAATCGAAGCGTGAAAAGTTGTAGATGTTCATTGAGAAGCTCTAGATTACTTGTGACTAGTGAAAATGGATTTTTGGCCTTTACAAGACGCTAAAAATCGACTGAAAAGTTGCTGAGGCTTTCTTTAATGTAGCGGGACGAGAACTACCTTCCAAGGAATGCCATTTTTTGAGCCAGTTGAAGTTTGGAGACGAATCGAAGCATGAAAAGTTGTAGATGTCCATTCAGAAGCTCTACGTTACTGGGGAATAGGAAAATATCCTTTCAGCCTTCACAAGGCGGTAAAATTGACTTGAAGCTAGTAAAGGCATTATTCAAAAAAACTCAAATATAAAGAAAATCCAGTTCCTGACCCTACCGACGTCTGAGAAGGTGATGAGTTCATTATTGGCTCCTCACCGGTATTTACGTCGCAAAAAAAAAAACTCAACTCTTAAGAAGAGTCGCATTTTGCTCTGAAATCGTCTCTAGAAACGGTTGGAACAATTTAAGAGTATGGAAATTCTACTTCAGAGAAAGATGAAAGTTTTCAATTTCATTAAATCTCGTTTTCAGGTCACCTCGACGACGACTCGTACGGTGAACAAACACGGAGACGAAATGATCACGGCCACCACTTCCAACTACGAAACGGCCACGTTTGCCAGTCGAACGGTGATTTTCTTTATCTTCAAAAAGGTTAATTACCTTGATTTTCTGTAGGAATGGCGTGTTCGAGCGATTTCCTCGACGAATCTTCACCTCCGTACGCAGCACATCTACGTCAACTCGGATGACGTCAAGGACACTGGATACACATACATTCTGCCCAAGAACATGCTCAAGAAGTTCATCACCATTTCGGATTTGAGAACTCAGGTGACTTTTTGGGGAAATGAGTGAAAGGGGGGGGGGGTTTAATCGAAATTTCAGGTTTTTTTTTTTGAGGAAAAAAGTTTCTTAAGCCTGTAAAATGTGGAAAATGTAATTTTTGAGAATCTTTTAGTGGGCTCTTTAGGGTTTCGAATTTTTAGTGCTTACGATAGTACTATAGTGGCTAAAACTCAAAATAGTGGCTTCTATAGAAGCGGTTCTAGTGGCCACTTTAGTGTCCTCTCCAAATAGCCCTTGAAAAAAAATCGAAAATCTTCTTAGCCGGTCCAATGAATTTTCTCCAGATCGCCGGCTACATGTACGGAGTCTCTCCGGCTGATAACCCGCAGGTCAAGGAGATCCGCTGCATTGTCCTGGTCCCACAGACCGGAAACCATCAGCAAGTCAACCTGCCCACTCAACTACCTGAGCACGAGCTTCTCCGCGACTTTGAACCTCTTGGATGGTAAAATCTAGACAAAAGGACCCAGAGACTGAGGATTGTCTTTAGGATGCACACGCAGCCGAACGAACTCCCGCAGCTCTCGCCACAGGATGTCACGACTCACGCCAAGGTGCGTAACATTCAGAACGAGAAATATTGATCAATTCATGAAAAATAGGGCATTTGAAACATGCTTTTCCGAAAAAGATAGATTTCTTTCATTGTGAAAAAAAAAGGTTTCAAAAAAATGTTAGGAGCTAATTTTTCCCGTGGAGCGCATTAGATTCAAAAACTTCAAAAAAGTTATCTTTGTATGTCCTCAAAGTTGGAAAAGGTGCTTCGAAAATCGAAAAAGAGAATCAAAATGGGCTAGAAGCCTGCAAAAAGCGATGTTGAGCTTCAAAACTTGACCTGGAAACATAATGAACTTGCCAAAAAGTTCAAAACTGCGATTATTTTTAAATTAGAGATTTGTGAATTTTTCTAAAGATTCACCTCTTCAGTTGCTCACGGACAACGCCAGCTGGGACGGAGAAAAGACGGTGATGATCACGTGCAGTTTCACGCCGGGATCCGTCTCCCTGACCGCCTACAAATTGACGCCGTCCGGCTACGAATGGGGCAAAGTCAACACCGACAAGGGCAATAATCCCAAGGTTTACCGGAGAAAAAATGGTTTATAGCTGATTCACGGCTTGAGCCATCGAAAAAAGGTCCTGACACGATAATGCACGAGACATTGCCTGGCTCGTGGAGAGCGCAGTCAGGCCAAGCCCCTTTGTGTCCCAAACTAGCCGTGAATCAGCTATATGTATTCATATTCGATTTTTTCCGAGTTGAAAGGTTTGGCGAGAATTTCAAGACGAAAAGATAAAGAAAAAATCGCATTAGAATTCGAAATTCCCGTCAAAAAGCCGCGTCGCGTACTCAACGCGTCACCCTCCTCATATCGCCTTTCAAGCAGGCAAAAATTGACTAAAAAATCAGTTGAGGAAAAAAGTAATCAAAAACTGTTCCAGGGATACATGCCGACCCACTACGAGAAGGTGCAAATGCTGCTTTCGGACCGCTTCCTGGGCTACTTCATGGTGCCGTCGAACGGCGTCTGGAACTACAACTTCCAAGGCCAACGATGGTCGGCGGCGATGAAGTACGACGTCTGCCTGGCCAACCCCAAGGAGTACTACCACGAGGACCATCGGCCCGTCCACTTCCACAACTTCAAGGTCGAGTTTTCCGGCCAGATTTTGATGTTTTCCGGTTTGAAAGTACTTGAAATAGTTTTTCCAGTACTGACCATTGAGAAGAGGGACCAAATTGGTTTCTCTATCTTAGAATTTCCTGATTTGCTCAAAATTACTTTTTCCTGCTCGGTTTTCTGGTATTTTTTGTGACTTTCTAAAATGTCCACCTATATTCTCACAGCGAGAGCGATATCGCCCGCGACATCGCGAAAACCGCGTTATATCGCTCAAGAGCGCTTTGGCAACGAGATTTGACGAGGTCGCAGCAAGAAGCTTTGGCCACACCGCCTGCGGCTCTCGGCGATAGGCTATGCCATTAAACCCCCCCCCCCTTTTTGTAAAATAAAAAAATCGCCGCGAAGCTTTATATTCAATTTTTTCAATGTGTCCTCGAATATATACAATTTTTCAGCCGTAAGCTTTACAACCTAACGTTCATCTATATTTTTCAGGCCTTTGACGACCCTCTCGGCATCTCGGCGGCTGATCGCGAAGACGTCTTCGCCTAAATTGTTCATTTTTACGTCCCCACTACGTGGTACTTTGTTCTTCTGTTGTTATATTTTGTTTCTTCTCGTTTTTTTTTATTGTTTTTTCGTTTAAATCTCTGTTTTTGTGTTCACCACACTTCTGGTGATTCAACTGAATGATACTCTCATAAAATTCGAGTCGTTTTAAAAGTAAAAATCGTAAAGGATAAACTGGCCGCATTTTTTTTTTCCTCGGCAAAGGCCCTCCCCCACAACTAAACTAATTATTCTCTTGGTTGTTTGTCGTATTTTGTTCAAAACGAAGGGCTCTCCACAAACATTTTTTGTTTGTTCCTTAAATTATTTCTGTTGTTCATAGTTTTAAAGTAAACGTGTTGTGAAATGAAGAAAAATAGTTGAAAATGAATGGATTAAAATAATCAATGAGGCGAATGTGTTTTTATTTTGTACAATGGAAATCAATGACTATTTTTTCGCCTCTCTCTTCGACTTGGCCCGTTTGTCCTTGTCCGAAACTTCTTCGTTCAAGCTCTTGATCTTCTCTAACGTGTCGTCCTCGTCGGATTTTGGCTAAATTTTTTTGTGGACTTTTATTGATTTTTGTTGTTGAAACCTGGTAGAATCCTTTAGCGATGAGGTCCTTCTTCTCCTTCTCCAGTTTAGCCTCCCGCTTCTTTTTCACACTTTGCGTTGGCATCTTCAAATGTTTCACCGTAATTTTAGACTTGATGAAAAAGACGAAAAAAATCAGTTTAGGTCCAACTTTTGGATTGAAACTTTGAAAAATGCCGATTTCAAAGCTGCCAAGCACGTCAATTCTGTTGAGAAAAAATCAAAGTTTTTTTGAGAAATATTTTGAAAAATTTCCACTTTACGGACTTTTGGGCTAAATTTTCATTATTAACCGTATTTTTATGCAAAATTTTGATGCAAAATCTACCTTTCAAAATGTTCTTCAGCATTAAAAAAAATCACGCGGGTCTCACCACGAAATTGGGAAAAGGCTTGCGAGCCGACTGCTGTTCCATAGTGTTATTCTCGGTTTTCTTCTCTTCATCGGGGTTCGCCTCGTCTTCCTTCTTGTCTTTCTCATTGTTCGTCTTCTCATCCTCCTTGTTGTCCTTGTCCTCCTCCATCTTTGACCCTTTGGTCTTCTCTTCCTGGAAAAAAGATTACAATTTCATCAAAAATGTTTCCTCACAAGGGAGGTTTCATTTATTGGTTGGGATTTCCTAAAAATTGGTCAGAATATAACTTGATGTACTAGATGAAGATTCTGGAAGTTTCAACCTGGAGAAGGGCCTAGTTTTCGAGAAAGGAACCCTCAACGTCCGCTAAAATGGGCCACTTTCGAGACTTCAAGCCCCTGTTTCTCAAAAACTAGGAAGTTGGGACTTCTTGGAATCTTTTTCTGGTACATCAAGAAGTGTTCTGGCCAACTTTCAGGATATTCCCAACAAAAAAGTAAAATATCCTCCCTTGTCAGTTTTTGAACGAACCTTGGCCTCCGGTTTGTCAAGCTTTTCCGGCGGCGGATCTTTTGCCGCCACAACGGCGCCCGGACTCATAGGATTCTGCATTGGCTTCTTCGGGGGAATAGTTTTCATCGATGACTTCAATTTGAAAAAAAAAAATTTTACGGTCCAAAAAAATGAAATAATAGTTCGTACACAAACAACAATAATTTTTTTAAAAAAATCAAAAAAATCATATATTTTTCATTGAGAAAGCGAAATTCTCACGTCTACTTTCGAATCTTCAGACACCGAATTCTTGAGAATTAGAGAGCGGACATTTTTTTTTTCTCTGTCAACTCTCTTGTTCATCAGTGCTCTCTAATTTTCGAAAATTTAAGCGTGGGCTCGAATTTTTTTCAACACTTTCGAATCTCCGAAGTTTAGAGAGCATTCAAAAATTAGAGAGCGAACGTTTTTTTTTTCTCTGGACGCCTCCTTGCTTATCAGTGCTCTCTAGTTTTCGAAAATTCGAATAAAACCAAAAAAAATTTTTTTTAGAAGTTTTCTTTTTATCAACATTGGTCTTTCTATATTTTTACCAATCTGAAAAATATCCCTTATAAAAGTTGAAAGAAAAAAATGATGCTAATTTTTTTTTTCTTCCCGGGAAAAACGTACTTTGTTATTTGTAGGCGTCGCAGTACGGTGTTTTTTGCTCTTCTTTTTTGCTTTGCATTGAAACAGCGAAGCTCCTATCGCCAGATACTGAACAACTGTCAAATTATTTCAAAAAAACAGCTAAAAAACAAAAATAAAACAATAAACGTGAAATAAAACGAAATAAACTTTAACTTGAAACATTTTCAATCAACTTTGACGTGAATTCTAAAGGCGCAGGGCGGAGTCTCAAAAAATAATCGCGCAACGATTTTTTTGCAACTGCGTTAGGAGCTTTCGAGAGATGAATCTTATAAGGGTCAAAATTGAATATTGTCATAATTTACAACTTTTTTGAAGAAATCCTTCAAGAAATCAAGGAACTTCAATTTCGAAGCCTTGAGCTAGTTTAAGGGCTCTCAATTTTCATAAAATGCCTTCGAAACCAAAAAAAATCGATACCGAAATCAGCACAAAAATGTAAATCTTGATAGTCTCGCTGAGAAGAAACATTCCACTGAGATGGCTTGAACCAAAAATGACGATCAACTTCTGGAAACTCACGTCCATTTCGCTCACTTTCCCGTTTCATATTTAGAATTAAGTTGGCTCGCTACATTTTTTAAAATTCTGATTTTATCACAACACTTTCTTTTTAATACCCACAGAAAAGTTTAGTGGACGCTTTAGGGTTTCAGGGTTTATATTGTTGTCGATTTAGTGATCACTTGAGCAGCTAGAACTTAATAGCCTTTTTAGAAGTATAAGAGGTACTACTAGGCGACTGAAACTCCTATAGCGGCCACTAAAACGCAAAATAGTAGCTGCTATAGAGGTGGGTTTAGTGGCCACTTTAGTGTCTTTTCCAAGTAGTCCTTAAGAAACCTTTTAAGTGGCCACTAGCCTAGCAATTTTTATACTAAAACCTCGCTGGTGAGGGAAAAGAGAGGTCAGACACGTCAGACAGTCGAAAGTTGCCTCGAATGAAAAATATTGAATTAACCATTTTCAGAAAGTTTCCATGGCCTCAAAAGTTGTTCGATTGGTTACCGTACTGGTTACCGTACCCAGTAAGGATGTCGCTTTGAATATTTCAAGGTGAGAAACAGTAAAAAATTCAAAAAAGTGATTTTTAGGGAAGTTGTGAAGCAAAAGCTCGTGGCTTGTGTGAATATTCTGCCGTCGGTCACTTCTGTGTGAGTTTTAAACGAGTTTACTGTTCCAAATATCGAGATTAATACGACTGAAAACTCAAAAATTACTTTTCCCTGCGTTCTGCTTTCTATTGAAATTAAAGAATAAATTATTTATTTTAACGATTTTCAGGGGTTTTAGCTCTGAATTGTTTGAAAAGGTGTGATAAAATTAATTTCGACTTTTTTTTTGGTTTTTCGGGAATTTTACCCAGTTTTTTTGTAATTTTTTTGCTACGTTAATATTAATTTTGACAATTTCGAAATCGACTTTTCAAAATGATTTCGCGAAAAGCGCAAAATCAGAATTTTAGGAGACGTTAGAAAAATTGGGTCTCACAACGAAATGACAAGGTTTTACGCGCCAACCTCAATTTTTTGAATATTTCATTCAAAATTTTGAATTGGCGCCTGAAAGTCATCGTTTCGCGATACATAGTTGTAGGACCCATTTTTTCTCCCGAAATTTCGATTTCGCGAAATCACGATTTATAAATCGGCGGAATTATTCTGAACATGGCAAATAGAATGATAAAACACGACAAAATTTCGGAATTACCATGAAAATTGCCAGATACGAATGGGAGGGGAAAGTTGAGGAAAGCGAAGAATTATTGATGATGATGAAGACTTCTGAAGAACGTATTCCGACGCTGCAAGAGGTTGGAAAACTTTCTTTTCGAAGTCAAACTGATAAAATGATAACTTTTTTTAAAAAATTCACTTCAAGTTTCTATATCTTGTATCAAGAAACAATAGAGAAATGAAAAAAATTGAAAGGCAATTTTTTGTCGCATTATTTTATTACAGTTCATTTGAGTGAATTTTACTTTTTAGTAAGCTTTAGTTTTTTTGAAAAAAAATAATTCGGTTAAAGCTTGGCGAAAGCTTGAAAGTGTTCTGGTGATTCGGCACAAGGAGAATTTTTTTGCAATTTTTTTGTGAATTTTTTTGCAAAATTCCATCGATCTTTTAAAAAAAGCATCAAAAAGAACTTTCAAAAAAATCGAAGAATTAAAAAAACAAATAAAAAGGTTTTTTTATCAAAAAAACCTTAATTTCCATTCAGAAAGTCCTTGCCCTGCATCCCTACGACGTTCCCGAATTCATCGTTTTACCCATCGAACATGCTTCGCCGGCTTATGGCGCTTGGATCACCGCCCAAACTTCTACAACTTCTGAAAAAAACCCGCAGAACTTTGATTTTATCAAAAAGTTCACTAAGCTCTTAAAATGTCTTCCCCTATGTTTTTATCCAAAAATCGTCCAAGAAAACAAAGATTTGACGTTTCTGGACTAAAATATGCTTCGAAACTTTTATTTTGTGAATATCGTACTTTTGTTCACGCATAAATTTCTCTGAAAGGTATTGAATAAAAACGACAGAAAAAAAACGAAAACACCGTGAAAAAAAAAATTAAATAACGTCTCTACTGTAAAATAAATAAAAATTTTATACATATATAATAGAACCTTTTTCGGTGCTACGACAAGAGCGAGTTTTCCATTTGCGAGCAGTACTGTATGCGGCAAAGCGCATTGCGTGCATGCACTCTGCGTGTTTACACTTTTGTGGCGTGACGTCATCGCGCCGTACATCTGCGGGTTTTTTTGCTTGCGGGTTTTTTTCAATGTTTTTTTCGGAATTTTTTTGGATTTTTGGATTTTTTTGGTTTTGATTGTGCGAAAATTTTTCGAAACAAAAAAAGAAAACTTCTTTTTACCTTATAAGAAGGCTCCTTTTTGTCCTCAAAAAAATCTTCGTGTTCTTCTTCTTCTCATATTTTTTTCTCTCGTTCAGATTTTTGAAATGAAAAAAAGTGGTGCTATGAATGAAATTCAGGATGGAAAGTGACGATTATGTTAACGCCATTGTTTTCGACTCAATTTTTAAAGCAACAAGAAATCACAAAGGAAGTTTTTGGCGAAAAAAAGATGTCCCTGCTCCTCCACCCTCAACACCGGCATTGTACAAGAAACCAATTTTCGTAAAATTTTCTGACAAGTCCCTTCAAATCTCTCAATGTACATTTAAAATATCTTGAAGATTTTTCTGGGAAAAATTTTTGTTTGATATGGTGGTTCTGTAAAATTTGTTATTTTTCTTATTTTTTTGATATAACTTATTTCAATCACTGGTATTTGTTATGATGCAATTTTTTTGATATTTTTCCTCTTTGAAATATCAATATTAGCTTACTTCTTTTTCCATATTTGTGGAGTTGACCTAATAGCTATCTATAAAGAAACATTTTCCTAAGCTGCCCCCTTGACAAACAGAGTTTTCATCAATTAAAAAAAGTTTTCTTTTTGTTTCGAAAAATAAATAAGCCGGAAAAAAAAATTCAAAAAAAAAAATCCGAAAAAAAAACCCGCAAGCAAAAAACCCGCAGATGTACGGCGCGATGACGTCACGCCACAAAAGTGTAAACACGCAGAGTGCATGCACGCAATGCGCTTTGCCGCATACAGTACTGCTCGCAAATGGAAAACTCGCTCTTGTCGTAGCACCCCTTTTTCTAAACAGAAAAAAAGTTTTCGATAGAATAGCGAAACTGCTCAAAAGTCGTCAATCGATGCGCATCGGCCGCAACGTTACCGTCATTGCGGACTTGGTGGCTACAGTAACCCTGTTTGAATTGCGACATTCACTTGGATTTTTTTTTTTGCAGAATCCCTTTATTGTATTTGATATAATTGATTGGGAAACGTCTTTCCTCCGAAAAAAGGTTTTATTGCCAAAAATGAATAAAAATGCTTCAAGAGAGAAATAGCACATGGAAAAGTATCAAGGTAAGTGATAGTTAGTGACAATAAGGCGAATTAAGGCTGAGAAAAGTACCGTGTATGAAAATTGAGTAAAAACTGATAAAGCTAAACCATTTTGATTGGAAATTTCAACCAGTTATGAGAAAATACCATTTTTTGGAAAATGCTAACGAATACGAAAATAAATAAAAAGATACATATAGAGATCGAATTATGCTTAAGAAAGAATTGGTTTTTGGATTTATTTGAAAGATTTCGGGATGTAATGGACCAAGAAATCCATTCTCGCCAATCTGATCACACCGTCCCACAGGTCGAAAAACCTGGAACTAGAAATAAAAAAAGAATTTTTTTATTATTTCAAAAACGAAGCCTAGGTAATTTTTTTCGCTCGAAAACGGTTTTTAAACTTTTTTTCACTTGAATCGAGTTCCAAAAAAAATCAAGAGAAATACGTAAAATTTAAATTATGAAACATCGATGCTAATGATTTTACGAACTAGAACCCTAAAAAAACATTATTGAAAATTAAAAAAATATAAGATTTGGCCCAGAGCATTTCCGTGACGAATATGCGCTCCATGGACACTTTTTCATTTTTTTCACTTTTTTTCAAAAATCAAAAAAATCCTTTTATCCGATTTAAACTAAATTTAAAAAAATAATAAAAAAAATAATAATTTACACAATCTTTGCCCCTCGCATATTCGTAAATAATTCTCGTGTGATGCATCGTCCAGGTTTCCTTCACCTTTTGTTGATATTCCTGAAATCTCAAGTATGAAACAAACGCCGAAGTAGTCCCTCGAGCGGTTAGGGGAAAAGTAGCCCCTATAGGGCTAAAATTTAGGGGTCGACGTAGAGGAGTATAAGATCTGCCCCCAAGCCTCTAAAGCTAAGTGGCCCCTATAGGGATTCTTTTTCATTTTTTTTTTACTGATTTGAAAGTTTGAATGTCATATAGGGGACCATTAGCACGCTCCCTGAAGTGGCCGCTTTTGACAGCCCAAGTGCCCCCTTGAGGGAAAACTACAAGGGCTTCTATGGTTCCCCTCTAGGGGTCCCTTAGACATGTTTACAGGCGCAAAATCGTTGCGAGACCTAGAAAATCAATAAGCGAAAAATGTCCCTAAAGGGGAACCTTCAAGGTCGCCCCTCTAGGGATCACTCTGGCTTTCACTGGGATCTTTAAAGGCACAGAGGCCTAAAAAACACCGGAAACGGCTCTTCACCTCGAGACCTTTTTGGAGTGCGCCCATGCTCCTTTAAAAGACCTAGAGAAGAGGAAAAGCTCACCAGGACGAAGTCCTTGAGAAGTCTTTCTTTGTTCGGGTACAGCAAAAGGTAGGCATTCCTGGCGATGTCGTCGATATTGAAGCATCTCACCGCAAGAACCGGTTTCGCAGGACGACACTGGTAAAATAGGAAGTCTTTCTTCTTCTTGTGAAAAAAATTTAAAGGCGCAGGGGGAAAAATTAAAATTTTTCAGGGTCTACTTAGATTCTGAATTTCAAGTGACGTCATCCGAAAACGCTCTCTGATTGGTTTATCGCTGTGTGAGTGGCGGAGCTTAAGCGGCATCTCTACATTCAAAATCTAAACAAACGGTGACTTGAAACTTTTCGAGTGTCTGCGTCTCTCTGTTCCCTCGCCGGCAAGGTCAGAGAAACGTGAAAATAGCACGTCAAAATGAGAGAGCCGCCAAGAGACGAGGAGGGCGCAGAGAAAAGAGCAGTTTCAAGTCGCGAACTTACTGGAAAAATTTCGAGTGGCCACTTAAGGGCTTTGACGTTTTAGTGGTCACTATAGTAGTAGGATTAGGGGTCACTTAAGGGCCTAAAATATAGTGACTTCTTTAGGAGTCCCAGTGGTACTAAGAAGCAAGATCTAGTGGCCACTTTAGTATCCTCGCCAAGTGGTCCTTGAAGAGCCTCTTAAGTGGCCACTAAAGTAATACAGAGTAAAAATAATAAGTTTTTTTCGTACTTCAGAGCACTCAAGTTCCAATTAAATATGATTTTTCTAGATTTTTGACTTTCACTTAAATTTAACGTTTTAAAGTTCGTAGGCTGATAAAATTTGCTAACTATTTTTCCAATTATAGCTCACCATAAAAGGCGCTTTTGTGTTGGTAGGAGTCATCAAATTCGTCTCCCAGAGGTAGGAATTCGAAACTCCGAAAAGGTGCCACATGATTCGACCATTGGCCACACAATTCCACTCCCTTGGGGCGGCGTCCTGGAAAGAATTTTCGAGTTGAATATTAGAAGAAAGAAAATCAAAAATTTGAATTTTATGAAGTAAGAAAAAACGAAAAAAAGGCCTTTGAAGACATTTTATACAGAAGGAGGACCCCAATAATTTTCTTACTTGGATAATAATTTTCTGAATACTCGGGCGAAGTCGGAATGATGGATGATGGCCGCTAAAAAGGAGAGGCTCAAAAAAGCCGCAGAAAGGCAGCGAAAAAGAGTCCTTTTATTAAGGCTACCATATTTCTGGGATTTTAAAGGCTCAAGAAATGATGAAAAATGGGAGAGGCAGCAAAAATGGTGCATAAGGGCCGAGAAAATGGCGCAAAAAGACAGCAAAAAGGGGGCCTTCAATACTTATGGAGAATTTTTATGGAGTCTTCCAGTAGCCTCCATGGACCCTCGGAGGGACCTTCCGACTTTACCTATGTTATTGAGAATTCAAAAAATTTCCGACTTCACAATGGGTATGAAATGGATTTTTTTAAAATGGAGGGAATCTTTCGAAACTCGTGTGCGGAGCGGTCGCGTTGCGTTTTAGCGGCGATTCAAAAATTATCGCCCTTGGATATTTTTTTTTGGTGAAAACTACGAAGAAACTTACCTTCAACACAAGAAAAATTCAGAGTCGTGATAATTTTTGGATTGGCGCCAAAAAGAAAAAAAAAGAGAAAATGGAAAAATGCGATAATTTTCAAATAGTCGCCAATAACGACCGATTCGCACTGGAAATGCCGGTAATAAGGGACGGTATAGCCTATGTAATTTCACGGAACGACATTCCGCTGTGCCGCTGCGCGCCTTTGCGAACCTTGGTCGCGCTTTTAATTTTTTTTTTCTTTTATTAAGGTACTCTACTTTCATGTGCTCCCACAGCAATAACAATCCATTGAAAGCGTGACCAAGATTCGAAAGACGCTTCGCGACCGCACGCAGCGGAACAGCGGAATGTCGTTCCGTGAAATTACAAGACGTGGCACACAGGTTATATTTCATTGATTTTCCAGATTTTCAAGACCGAAACCAACCGCCAAGGCGCTCTCATAGCTTCGAAACTCGACGTCGCCGAACTTTCTGTACATTCTTTGCATCAAAACGGCTAGGCAACCGATGGAAGGCTCCTCCCACCACGAGGAGAGCATTTGGGCGCATTTTCTTCAATTTTCTTTTCAAAAAATAAATACTCTTTCCAAATCTTGTTTCTCCCACAACTGGCTTGAACAGTGATTTCAATTCTATATATTAAAAAAATTTTTTTTTCGAATAATAAGAAAAAAACCACTTCAGGTCGTATTCTTCAACGAGCTCTTCTTCTTTAAAAAAAAACTTATCGAAAAAAAAAAATTTATGAACATCATTTGAAAAATGTACAAAAACCATGAGAACCTGGAAAAAAATGTATTGAAAAATGCGTTATAAAATTTTTGAAATGAGAAAAATTGAAGTGAGAAAATAAGAAAAAAGGTTTTTTAGAACCTCAAAAACAAGAAAAAGGTAAGGTAAGTGGTAATTAGAAAACAAAAACAGAAAATAAAAGGAAAGATGAGATTATGTACAAAACGAGGTAAGTGTCATCAAAAAACCAGTCAAAATCGAGCATTTCAGACAAAATATACCTAATTTGAACAACAAAATCATTTCATCAGAATCATCTCAATAGATGCAAAAATATATAATTTTTACAAAAAAGTGAAAAAAAAAAGGAAAAAAAATTCATGTGGAAACAAAAACAGCACAAAATGTCCATTTCCAACGAAAAAAAAAAGATTTTTCGTTCAAATTGATTCAATTTTTCAAAGTGTTCACAATAATTAAAATTCAAAATTATCTCTGAGACTCTAAAAATTCAGTTATCCTTCTCACTCTCTGACGGCTATTTTGAATCGAGTCACTTCGAAAAAGGTTATGAATTTAAAAAAAAAAGTTCGTAACAGAATTTTGGAACTTGAGAAAATTTCCAAAAAGTTCCAAGTATAATCCTGCCCGAAATTTGTTGCTGGGGCCTTTTTCAAGGAGCATGGGATGGTCTCGAAGGGAAGAGACCAAAATCATAATTGAATAAAAGGTCGAGTAAGGAATTTCGTTTAAAAAAAGACGTAAATCTTGTAAATGGACAAGGGTGGCGCGTTGCGTACGCGACGCGGCTCGAGGTCAAAGGCGGGCCCCATTTTTTTGATGGATTCTCGATAATTCACAGTTTTCTATATTCAGATGAATGATGTGAGTATAAAGGAACTATAGACTCATGGAAAACCTTCAGTTTCCGCCAAAAGCCGCGTCGCGTACGCAACGCGTCACCTCTGCCCATCTTAACTTCTAGTAATGAAAGATTGTTTATAGCCTGTGTGTCACGACTTGAAATTTCACGGAACGACATTCCGCTGTTCCGCTGCGTGCGTTCGCGAACGTCTTTCAAATCGAGGTCACGCTTTCAATCGATTGTTATTGCTTAGAGTACCTTAATAAAAAAAAGTTAAAAGCGTGACCGAGACTCGCAAAGGCGCGCAGCGGCACAGCGGAGTGTCGTTTGGTCAAATTCCAAGTCGTGGTACACAGGCTCTACGACACATCCAAGATCAATACCAAAGTCGGAGCTCCTTCGTGAGGGCATCGATCTTCTCTTCCAGGTCGGCTTTTTCTTCGGGAAGGGGACACAGGGAGTGATGGTGGTCCGAGATTCTGACGCGACAATATCCGCAGTACTGTTTCTCGTGACAAGGAGGCTGGTGAAAGCGAAGACAGCTCCCGCAGCGTCTCTGCTCTTCGGCGAGTCTCCACCTCGAGTCGGTCCTTCTGATTTTGGGACATCCATCGCTGACGTGCAGGTTGTACGAGTTGCAATACGAGCACACGGCTACTCCGCTCCGGGTCGTTTTGCCGAAAACCCGGTCCGGAACGTTTCGATATCTTTCATGTCGTCTCTCCAAATGTTCGATCTCTTCCCGCAGCTGTTTCCTTCTTCGTCGACATCTTTCTATTTCTACTTCGTCCTCTTCTTCTTCATCTCGACCCCAGTACCGGGACTCTTCCGGGTAGTCCTGCCGTTGTCCTTGACTCGAAGTCGAGCCGTAGTCCCGCCTGTATATAGTTCATTCACCGCTGGTTTGAGCTACCGCCAAAAAGGCGCTCAAAAATGAGACTGTATTCAAGAATCATCAACGAAAGGATTACCCTTGAAAGTCTCTACAAAGATTCTTCCGTCTAACCTTGAGAATAAACACTCCAAAGAAGTTTTGAGATCAAAAATTGAACAAAAAAATTACGCTCCGGAGCACTACGGCTAAAACACGCCCTGGCGCACTACAGCGATCGAAACGTGATATAATAACAGTCAAAGAAACAGAAAATTAAAAGAAGAACCGTAAAAGAAATATTAACAAAACTAAGCTGAAACCTTTGGTAATCATTTTAGTTGCCCGTAGTGCGTCAGAGCGTGTTTTAACGAGTAGAGCCTTGGAAAGTTCTTTAACTGTCTTCATTACAACAAGAATCTCCGCGTTTTGATTGTTGTAGTGCGTCGGTGCGTGTTTTCGTGGACACATTCTCAGAAAAATCTCGAGTAATTTTCATGTCATTAGTAATCTCAACGTTTTGATCGCTGTAGTGCGCCAGGGCGCGTTTAATTCAACTTTCCTTTTTTTTCTCAGAAGCGGTGAATGAACTATCTTGCAATTGATGAAAATTCCAAATCGATCAAGAAAGGACGTGAAAATAAAATAATAACCGGACAAGACTTCAATTCAAATTGCCCCATTATTCAATATTCCACATCATTTTGGTCAGAAGTTCAAGCCAGCAGTGAAAGAAACTATAAAATCGACACCAACTCTCGATAATTCGGGGCTCCTTCGTACATCTGCAGGTCTTTCAGGTTGCATTCGGCCTGTTTCCGGTCGCGATCCGGCAATCCCGGCCAGCGAGGCGATTTGAAGACGTCGCCTTCGTACTGAAAACGAAAAAAATCGATTAAAAATCAATTTTCATTCATTTGTTCAAAGGCCATTTGCAGGACCGTTTACGCAACGTAAATGACGTCTTAAATTAATGGCTCCAGATTTTTTTAAAAATTTTTAGTGGCCACTATAGGGTTTTGACGTTTTAGTGGTCACTACAGAGGTCAAATTAGTGGCCACTCAAGGGGTTAAAAGTTAGTGGCCACTATAGAGGTCTAAGTGCTCTTACTGGACCACTAAAAATTTTAGTGGCCACTTAAGGGGTCAATGGATCAACATAACTGGTCCAATCTGTTCGTTTTGAAATTATCAGAGTTACTGGAAGGAATACTGGATAAAAACTACTGAAGTGGCCACTAAAAAGGAAAATAGTGGCCACTTTAGTGTCCTCTCCAAGTAGTCTTTGGCGAGCCTCTATAGTGGCCACTAGAAATTTTCCCAGTCATTTACAATGACGTCATCCGAAAACGCGCTCTGAATGGCTCGCCCTCTGATTGGTTTATCACACTATTAGGGGCGGAGCTTGAGCATGACATTCAAAATCAGATTATATTCTCGAAAGAGTGATAAATTTCGACACAGTTCCCAAAATGAATTTCGCTTATTAATCGGAGAAACGGAGCATGTTTCGAAATGCCGAGAAAGGTTTCTGAAACTTGATTTATGGAGCAATTTCGCGTCATTTCAAAACAAGATCCGTTTTTATGAATGAATAAAGCGTTTGTCTGAAAATCTGGAAAAAACGATCACTTTATCACGTTCGACCTGTTCGGACGAGAGGAATCGCACGTAGTTGATCTGGGACTCGGAGTTTCGGGGTTCTTGTCTCTCGAGCTAAAAATTCAAAAATTAACTTTTTTGAAAATAAATTCCGACGAACCGATCTGAACGGATTGCCCGGCATTCTCAAGGTACCATCCTGAAGTTCAAAGTTGGAAAAATTCATCGATTTTTGGTGCTTGAGTTGTCCCTATAGGGGCATTGTGGGGGGCCAATAAAGCTTGCAGAAGTGACCCCTATAGGGAAATATTTTAATTAACTCTCTAATGAAGCGATTCCATGCGAAAATCTTAAAATTATCGTTTTTGAATGGAAAATATCAACAAAACTCTGAAGAATGAAAAAAGACCCCTATAGGGACCCCCTTAAGCTTCAAGGGCTCACGGGTCCACTGAATTTTTCCCTATAGGGACCTCTGATTTACTCCTTCATCCCACTCAAAAAATAATTTTTTTTACTTGTCTCCAATATGAACTGTTTTCCTAACCCCTCTAGGGACCACTCTGGCGTTCCTGAGTATATATTTCTTCACTTTATAGACAGCGTTGATTTTCCCGCCGTCGGCGAGCATCTTGATTCTGGCCTCCCATTCCTGAGGAGACCTCAGGAGCACCGGTAACTTGGCGCCCATTTTCGTCGCCTCCCGTTCGGCTTCCATTTTCAGTCCTTCCATGTTTATTGAACCCTACAAAAACATCAAGTCGAATTTGGAGCATCCTTCAAGTTTTTAAGGGAGTATTTAAAGCCCAAAGTACCTAAAAAGAGCTTTTAAGGGCTACAGAAGAACCTTTTAGCGATTTTTTACCGGAAAGGTCCTTGTTAGGAAAATAAAAAGGTGTTGAAAAAAGAAAAGTACAGCAAAGAAACAATAAAGGTCGATGGAAATACAGCTTGAAAAATCGATAGGCAGGCTCTTTTTTTCAAATATCGAAGTTCAAATTTCAAATAGGCTCAAAAAAAGGTTATTGAAAACATTAAAAAAATCAAAAAAATCAATTAATATACTCGGTCTTTTTCAAGAAACTAGATCAAAATCTGAATTTTGAAAAGGCAAGTTTAAAAAAAGAGCGTTCCCTTAGATTTTCACCGTGCTGCTGAATTAAAATAAAGTTCAAAAATCAATGAATAACTTTGGTTTTATGTTTCGAGAACTCCGTGAAAAAAATCAAAAATTCGAAAAATAAAAAAACTTTATGAACATTCAAAAAAAGCTTAAAAATGAATTTTTTCCCTTTTTAAGGCCCTTAAAAAGGTCACTTGGGCTATTCCACTGTTAATGAGTCAAATCAACAAAAGTTTTTAGATCAGAAATGTTTAGAATAACATTTTTTTGGAACCTTTTAAAAAAACTTTGAAAAATTAGGGCTTTTTTTGATTCTTTTGCCCATGTTACTAGGCCAAAACAAAAACGTTTTAGTTAAAAAAATCAATCAATATTTCTTGAAAAAAATCGATTTCAAAGGTTTAAAAACCAACCCATTGATTGACAATCCTATCGATGATCGGTAAGAGTTCGTCAACCGCGAGGAGTCTTGTCTAAAAAATTATTTTTTTATTTTTGAAAACCATTTTGAAAAAGAAAACCTGTGCATCTCTGGACATTGGCGGTGGCCCATACCGGTCGCCCATTTTGGTCTGAAAAAATCGGGAAAAACATGCATTTATCAACAAGAAAAGGTATAAGGAAAGCTTTCCAACAATTCCGCATGCAAAAATTTTCTTTCAATAATTTATTCGACACGAGAAAACGAGAAAACCAGTAGATTCGAGACGAGGAAAATCATCAAACCGGGGCAAAAATTTGAAAAAACACTTATATTTTCTTAAATTCCAACCAAGTACAGGGCAATCATAGGGATAATGATTAAAAAAAGGACCTCAATAATTGAAAAAAATCGATATTTTTTTCGAGCGAAAAAAAGGTATTTTTTTGAAAAATTTAAAGGCGCAGCTATGGCCAAAAATAACACTGGAAATATGATATTCCGGGAAAAATTTTTTTAGTGATATCTTTAGTATCCCCTCCAGGTAGTCCTTGAGGAGCCTATTAAGTGGCGAAAAAAATTTTTTTTCAAGGCGAATTTTTCTCTAAATTTCTTCCTAGTTCAAAAAAATACGTTTACGTTAAAATTTCAGTCCGTAAAAACGTCAAACATACACAATTCTGACTGAGTCATCACAAAAAGACGCTTCAAAACATTTTTTTTTCGTTTTAAAAGCTTTCTGATTTTTTCAAACCGTTAGAAACGTTTTTTTTCGTAGAATCATATAGCTGATTCTGGCTTGAGTCCACGAAAAATGGTCTTGTCACGGAAAAAAAACAGTATAGAGGCCACGCCCCTTAGCCGTGAGTCAACAATATTTTCGCTCCAAAACTTTTTTACGCTTTTAAACCCAGAAAACCTACTGAGACCTTGGTAACGCGAACGGGACGCAAATCGGACGTGTCGGGGCATTTCTAGGGACCACTTTAGTAGCCTCAGAACTCTTACGGGATCCCTAGAATCGCCCAGAAACGTCCGGAGCACGTCCGTTTCGCGTTACCAATGTCCGAGTATTTAAAAAAACCAATTATGTTAAAAAAATGTTCTATTTTTCTGGAAGGTGAGACACTGTCAAAAGTCTTAAAAAAATAAAAAACCGAAATTTTGGCTTAAATAATTTAGCTTTCTTTGCTCCTTTGACCAAAAATCGAGCAGAGTTCTCAGAGCAAAAAAAAAACTTAATTTCAACTTTTTCCCATTTCCCATGCACCTGATCAGGCTATAAATTATCATCTCTTATAGAAAAAAAACGAAAATAATGACAAATATCTCAAAAAACACAATCTAAAGGGCAAGTTCAACGGTGGGGACGGAAGACGAGGGCGGAGACAGGTAACTCTCGAGTTTCTGCACCAAATGTCCCTCCAGGAGGTTCGAGTCCTTTTCGGCGGCCTTCAGAATCGCCCGGACGACGTCTTTTTTGGTGCAGGCGAGCTGGAACTCGGTCTCCGTCGACAGGTTCAGGAGCCAGTCCGTGAATCTGGAAGAAAAATCTTTAACAAGGAAAGTAAAAAAAAAAATGATTTTTTGAAATAAATGTGCTATTTTTAGGTTCATTATTGCGTGTCAAACGGTATGCGAACAGAAATTCCTAGTTCCAGAGTAAAATCAGGAAAAAAAAAGTTCGAACTCCCGTCAAAATGGCGTTTTGCAGCAAAGTTGCTCCATGGACAACATTCTTTGCCATCTTTTTTCTTTCAGACCTTGGTAACGCGAACGGGACGTGGATCGGACGTGTCGGGGCATTTCTAGGGACCACTTTAGTAGCCTCAGAACTCTTAAGGGATCCCTAGAATCGCCCAGAAACGTCCGGAGCACGTCCGCTTCGCGTTACCAATGTCCGAGCTTTTCTTGGTTTTTCTTCTCGGACATTGGTAACGCCAAACAGACGTTTCTGGGCAATTCTAGGGATCACTTAAGAGTTCTGAGGCTACTAAAGTGGTCACTAGAAATGCCCCCACGCGTCCGATTCGCATTACCAAGATCCGAGTCGTTCTCTGGTTTTTTTTTTTGATTATCGATTTTTTTGTTTTTTTTTTCAGACTTCACTGAGAAGTGCTCGAAGACCTCCTAACCGAAATACAAAAAAAATGTTTTTTTTTTGAAAATATACCGACTTCAAGACGGTCTCAAAAAGAAAAAAAATTACACTTCAACTAATTTTTTTATTGTAATCAAAAAGGCCCTAAAGTTATTCTCAACAACGTTTCATCCAATTTTCAACCTTTTCGATTAAAAAAAATTTTTTTCCAGAAAAATCAGAAAAAAATCAGAAAAACTCCACCGGGACATTTTTAAAAAAAGGACCAGATTTTTTTGACTTTTTTTAAACTTTTTTTCAAAAAAAGTAGGAGAAATTCATCAAAATCTAGTAAAATAGACTCTTCATAAAGTTCGAGCTTTATTTTTCCTAGGAACTAGAAAAATTTCGCAGAGAAAGAAAAATTGGAAAAAAATTGGTTTTTTTAAAATTCCATACAAAAAAACTGTGATAATTGTTACAAGTTGAGCTAAAAAAAATGAGAAAAAAACCGAAAAATTTTTCTGTATTTTTCTATCAAAAAAATCAGAGTTTCTGATGTTAAATTTGTACTACGGTTAGATTCGAATCTGTCGCCCAAAAACTCTTTTTTTCAAGATTTTCCTAAAAAAAGTACATTTTTTTCAAATTTTTCTCTTTAAAAATTCAAAATTCACCCCTCAAGTCGGATGAACATCAAGATGATCGTCGGATATTGGAACAAGGTGATCAAAAACTTCAGAATGGCCATTCGAAACTCGGAAAATGGCTTTTTCACCGCGGAAATCATCAAATGTGGGAAAGGGTCGCCGATGGCGCTGAACCAAGATGCGCAGAGCACGTCGGATCCTGCAAAAATGGATAAAATTCAGGATTCTGGGCTTATTAAAGGCGCATGACTATATATTATAAAGGTCTTGCAGCGAAGATCATTTCCCTGTTTCAAACTCTTGGTTTTAGAAACTCGGCAAGCGGTTTTATGATCACTATAGTAGGCTCATATCGCCTCCCGGACAATTCTTCAAATTCAAAGACACACTAAAGCTACTTGAGTGATCACTAAAGGGTTCAAATAAGTCCATTTCACGGGACTTCAGCATTTTTGAAAGCACGATCACGCCAGATTCTGTAAAAATGAATAAAATCCAACTTTCTGGGCTTTTTAAAGGAGCATGGCTATATACTATAAAGGTCTTGCAGCGAAGATGATTTTCCTGTTTCAAACGCTTGGTTTTAAAAACTCAGCTTCCGCAAGCCATTTTGTAGTCACAATTTAATTCTCGTAACACCTTCCTGACAATTACTTAATTTAAAGAACTTATTAAAGGAGCATGATTATATATATATATATTTTTTTAAAGGTCTTGCAGCGAAGATCATTTCCCTGTTTCAAACTCTTGCTTTTAGAAACTCGGCAAGCGGTTTTATGATCAGTATAGTACGCTCATATCGCCTCCCGGACAATTCTTCGAATTCGAAGACACACTAAAGCTACTCAAGTGATCACTAAAGGGTTCAAATAAGTCCATTTCACGGGACCTTAGCATTTTTGAAAGCAGGATCACGTCAGGTTCTATAAAAAATGAATAAAATCCAATTTCTGGGTTTATTAAAGGAGCATGGCTATATATTATACAGGTCTTGGAGCGAAGATCATTTCCCTGTTTCAAACTCTTGGTTTTAGAAACTCAGCAAGCAATTTTATGATCAATAACAGAATCTCGTTCCTGACCATTAATTAAATTCAAAAAACACTAAAACGACACAAGTGATCACTAAAGGGTTCAAATAGGTTCTTTTCTGGGCTAATTAAAGGAGAAAAAACTTTTTTTTTTTAAAAAAGAAGAAAGCGGTCTTGAATAATTTACGGGTTATAGATGCTGTTTTGAAAAACCAGAAAAAAATGCTCTTTTTTTCAATTCCCATACAATTTTTGAACAATTTCAGCTTTATGAACTATCAGAGGACCTTAATTTTGGATATCTCACTAAAATTTATAGTTTCTTCCAGAAAAAATATATATTATTCTAAGAAGCTCTGACTTTAATTCAAGCTCAAAAATAATTTCGAAACTCCCCATTTCGTACCATTTTGGAACAAAATAGTCGCCGCTCCTGGCAATGTTCCAAAATTATGTGAATCCGAACATTTTTCTTATAAGGTGAAAACGAAAATGGCTCAAAATGCGGAAAAAATATTCCGAAATCTAAAAAAAATGCTCCTTTTTCCAGCTTTTCCTGATAATTTTGAATAACTTCAGCTTAATTCTCTTAAGGAACTCTGACTTAAATTCAAGCTCAAAACTAATTTCGAAACCCTCATTTCGTACCATTTTCGAACAAAACAGTTGCCTCTTCATTCATTTTTCTGGCAAAACTCCAAAAAATGGAAATAATTTAAATTCCGTCTTTTCTCATAAGATGAGAAAGAAAAATGGCTTAAAATGCAAAGAAAAGGTTCTAAAACCGGGGGAAAAAAAAGCTTTTTTTGAACATTTTTGGAACAATTTAAACTTTATGAACTCTCGGAAGACCTTAATTTTGGATTGAAATATCAATTTTCCCACATTTTCAAGCTGTTGCGAAACTTCTAAACTCGCTACAAAAATATATATATTCTGTTAAGAAGTTTTTGATTTTTAATTTAAGCTCAAAATTGATTTAAAAATCCCCCTTACATACCATTTTCTAAAAAAATAGTCGCCGCTTCTGGCAAAGTTTCGAAAAAAATTATGTGAAATGAAACATTTTTCTCCTAAGGTGGGAACGAAAAAAATGGCTCAAAATGCAAAAAAAGGTCTCAAAATCGGAAAAAAATTCTCATTTTTTTGACGTTCCAAAATCATGGAAAAAATCTAAGTTTCGTAATTATTTTTTTTCCAAACGAAAAATGGGTCAAAATAGAAAAAAAAATTTTTTGACTTTCACTGCTAATTTCCCGCATTTAAATCCCGCCCTCGCTTCATACCATTTTCGAACAAAACCGTCGCCGCTTCGATATTTTTCTGGCAAAGTTCCAAAATCATGTGAATTTAATAATTTTTCTCTTTAAAAAAAACGGAAAATGGCTCAAAATGCGGAGAAATTGCTCCGAAATCAGAAAAAATTATTTTTTTCGACTGTCCCCATTTAAATCCCGCCCTCGCTTCATACCATTTTCGAACAAAACAGTCGCCGCTTCGATATTTTTCTGGCGCAGTTCCAAGGGTCCACTATTGATCGCAGCTCCGTACGCCTCCAGAACAGTTTTGATCGTTTCGGCACCTGAAAACTTTTCTTAATAAATTTATAGGGAAACATCAATCTAACCCAAAGTTTTGACCAAATGCTCCTTGCGTTCTTCGGTATAGGCCAAGTTGGCGAAAGATTCAAAGGCCAATTCGCGGCTGGAAGCGTCCAGAAGGTCGAAATGTTTAACCTTGAAATTATTATCCATTTCTGGGAAAAAGTTGAAACGGGAAAGTAATAAAAAGAAAACTTGCTTCGTAATAAAAAAATAATAAATTTTTTTGAGCTTTAAATTCAACAAAATATTCAAATCTCTTCAAATTTCCGCAAAAAAACCCTTCAAAAACTGACATTTTAATAGGGAATTATTATAGTTATAGAATAGAAAAAAATGATAATAATTCATAGTTCTTTAAAAGAAAATTTTTGGGATTTTTCCGAATTTTCGTTAAAAAAATACCCTAAAAAAACTGGCATTTCAAGATTTAAAAGAATTATAACTTTTTAATCAATTTCTGAAAAAATTGAAACAGGAAACTAATGAAAGAAAAACTTGCTTTTGTAATAAAAAAATCATGAATTTTTTTCTAACTTCAAATTTTACAAAATATTCAAATCTCGTCTAATTTCGACGGAAAAATCCTTCAAAAAAATGACATTTTTAATGGGATATTATTATTTTAGAATAGAAAAAAATGGTAATAATTCGTAACTCTTTATAAAAAAATTTTCGGATCTCCCCAATTTTTCCCTAACAAAAAAAGACCTTAAAAAAACTGGCATTTAAGTTTTTTTCTTGCGGAAAAAAATTGAAACAAGATAATATTAAAAAGAAAAGTGCGCTTCCTGTGTGAATTTTTTTCACAGAACTTCCGATCAAATTAAAAAAATTTAATATCGTCGATTATCTAAAAAAACATCCTTTAAAAAAATTAAAACTTGATGAAAAAAACTGCAGTAAAAGCATGATAAATTTTTCTGAAATCGTTTAAAAGGAGCGTGAAAAAAATTTTACTCATGTCAATAAGAACTTATATTTTTTCATGAAATTTATTCGGAATATACGTTCTATATAGTCAACTCAACACAGAAGATAAAAATTAGGTCTCATTTCTAGAATTAGCGCCAATTTCTTCTTTCAGAGTCAACGGGCAAACGTTCTTCCTAGTATAGCCTGTGTACCGCGACTTGAAATTCACGGAACGAAATTCCGCTGTTCCGCTACGCGCCTTTGCGAACCTTGGTCGGGCTTTCAATTTTTTTTCATTCATCAAGGTACTCCACTTTCATGTGCTCCCACAGCAATAACAATCAATTGAAAGCGTGACCTAGATTCGAAAGACGCTTCGCAAACGCACGCAGCGGAACAGCGGGATGTCGTTCGGTTAAATTTAAAGTCCTGGCACACAGACTATATTGGACTAATAACGATCTTGAGAGTTTTGAAATCCTTCAATTTCATGATTTTTCCGTTTCAGAACTTGTATAAAAGCTTCCACTTTACTTTTCTTTACTGTAATAAGAACTTCGGTATTCAAACTACTAGAGATCTTATGAACTTCTTTAGGCCTAAAATTCACGACTTTCGCTTTTTCGAAAAGTCCTTAAGGACTCTTTGAAGTCCTTGAGTTATATTATTCACTTAATTTTTAGTTTTTTCAATATTCGGACTGACTTTATGAATATCTGAACGACTTAGGTCCATTCCTTCTTTTTTTTTTCGAAAATTCCTAAAGCCCTAATTCGGATCCTAACAAGGGAGGTCATTTTACTTTTCGGTTTTTAATTTTCTACAAATTTTCTCAAACACTCTCTGTAGGTCTAGAAAAAGATCCCTAATGATCGCTACCTACGCAAACTTCTGGTTCTTAAGATATAATCCTTCAAAGTTGCGAAAAATGGATATTAGGCCTAACTTTTCGGCCTTCAAAATTGTTTATCTTAAGAACTAGAAGCTTTTGTGGATTGCAACTTTGATGGATCTTTATAAAAACTTTCAAAGACTATTTAAGTGAATTTTAAAAAATTCCAAGCCGCAAATTAAAATGACCTCATTGTGCGGTCTAATTCTGCACGGCGTTAGTGGAAGAAAATGCAAAACTAAAAATTAGGGGGCGTGGTCAAAATTTCCGCCGTTCCCATGTGACGTCATAGGAAAACAATAGGAAATATTAAAGGCGCATCCAATAGGTCCCGAGACGAATCTCATTTAAAAAAAACGCGATTTTTCTGTTTTTTGTTTTGTTTTAAAACACAAGCCATGTTGAAAGTAACTCCGCGAAATTCAAAATAGCCACCAGAAAGTGGAAAATATAACTGAATTTCAGTTCGCGAAAATTACGTTGAACGCGGCCTGTGCTCTAACAAAAGTTGTGGTGCACCCCGCGTCGGACTCTCGTTGCACCCCGCAGTGTAACCAGGGGTGCACCCCGTTTAGCTTCAAATGCCTATTAAGGTACTTTCTCTAACAAAAATGAGGGTTTACCCCGCAGTGAACCCCGAAAAAAGTGAACTTTTGGTTGATGTTTGCGCTGCACCCCGCGTTGGAACTGAATGGGGTGAACCCCTGGAGCAACCGGTCGGAAATAAAAAGTTTTTTTTGAGCTACCGTAACGACCTAGGATGAAACGGTACAAAATTGTGATATTGGAAAACAAACCACTTCGAAATCCTGTATGGAAAAAGTACCTTAATAGGCATTTGAAGCTAAACGGGGTGCACCCCTGGTTACACTGCGGGGTGCAACGAGAGTCCGACGCGGGGTGCACCACAACTTTTGTTAGAGTTTTCCATACAGGATTTCGAAGTGGTTTGTTTTCCAATATCACAATTTTGTACCGTTTCATCCTAGGTCGTTACGGTAGCTCAAAAAAAACTTTTTATTTCCGACCGGTTGCCCCAGGGGTTTTCCGACCGGTTGCCCCAGGGGCTCATTTTTGTTAGAGTGCCAGAGCGGCGCAGTGTATGCACACGACACACTACATTTTACGGAAAAAATATGGACGGGCCGTCGCCAAAAAAACGCCGTGTCTGTGTTAAACGCAAACTCTAAGAGCTCATACCTCAGATACAAGGAGTTTTTGCGCAGGTAGCAACTTTAGGAACCGTCATCTAGACATTCAGAGAGTGTTCGTGCGAATTTGTAGAAAATTCCAAGACTTCCCATTTGGGCAATTTTTCGAATAAATGCTTATGATGATGACTTGAAACGAACCGAATCGATGATATGACCCGGAAAATCGGGGAATTTGTCCATGGCTTGCGGATAGAAGCGGAAAAAGTTGGCCAGACACCGGAGACAGCCGGAAAATGGGAGGATAGATTAACAAAATGGGCGGTCTCGGTTGCAAACCGGGATAGACATAAGTCGCGTCAGGGGCTTCTTTGGCGAACATCATCAGGGCGTAAATCTGAAAATTAAGTGAAAATCATGAAATTCTGATTGATAAAGTCTTTATTTTGTTTCAAACTGGACGTAGGGCCTGTACGAGTTCAAATCTCATGCATTTTTCTGACTTTTTGTGGAGAAGAAAGATCGCGTTTTTATTATTTTCTATGAATAATCTACACCGAATTGTGACGGGACTGAGAAAATCTCATTAAAATGTAAGATAAATACAAAAAATAGAAAAAAAACCATAGATCATGAAAAAATATGCAAAGTCGTTCCAAATTTCCGAAAATGCTTGTAAAACATAAAACATTGACTAAATAAACTTCAAAGTTCACCTGAATCCTTAAAATTTTGCTTCTTGTAATCCTAAAAATTTTTCATCGTTCAATAAAACTTTCGGAACACGTTACTGTAATTTTATGTAATAACTTTCCTTGTAACTTTGCTACGATTTCCATGACCCTTTCCTTCAAATTTCCCATTATAAGCTTTAGTCAAAGCCAAAAGAAAAAGGTAGCAAATCAATTAAAAAACATGAAAAATGGACTAAATGAAGCTTCAGAGTTCACTGGAATACTTACAATTTTGCTTTTTGCATTCCTAAACATTTTTTTATTGTTCGATAAAATTTTTCAAAACAAGTTTTTTTGTAATTTTATTAACTTTTCTTGTAATTTTTTTCAAAGATTTCCATAACCCTTCTCTTCCAATTTTCCTTCACAAAGTCTAAAATCAAAGCCAGAACGTTGAAAAACAAGCTTCAATGGTTTCTTTCCTAATTTTTCGCTCCGATTCTTAAAAATGATCAAAGTAACAGAGTCCGTAAGGTTCAGACTCTCGCATCAATGATCCTAATCCATTGAAAAAAAATGAAATAATCAAAAATCTGTAATAGGGCTTCCCGAACAGATGAATCACATTAACAAAACACAAAAGATGAAAAAGATCAAGTGTCTAAAACACACAAATAAGAAAAAAGTAAGTAGTTTGAAAGATCCCTATAGGGACCACTCAAGCTTTAGGGGCACAGAGGTCAGACACTAAACCCTTATAGAGGCCACTTGGATTTTACCCCTCTAGGCAGCGTTATTTTGTCCCCTATAGAGGCTATTTTTTCCTAACCCCTCTAGGGACCACTATAGCGTTTCTGAGCTTTTCGTTTTCAAAAACAGTTTTTTACAGTGAAAATTCTACAGTAACTTCTTTAGAACCCTTCAAAAATTATTTTCTTCTGAAAATTTTTGGGGCCACTATAGAGGCTCGCAAGGACTACTTGGAGAGGACACTAAAGTGGCCACTATTTTCCATTTCAGTGGCCACTTCAGTAGTTTTTCATCCAGTTTTCATTCCAAAAACTCTGATAAATTTAAAACAAACAGATTGGACCAGTTATGTTGATCCATTGACCCCTAAAGTGGCCACTAAAGTTTTTAGTGGTCTAGTAGTAGCACTCAGGTCTCTAAAGTGGCCACTAATTTAACTACTATAGCGGCCACTAAAAATTTTCCGAGTTTTTCAAATTTTCCAAAATTTCAGGAGGAGTCCCAACAGAACCGCTTCAAAACTTCTTTTTCTTCAAGTTAAAATCTCAGGTAAAATTCGTGAGGAACATTTATTTTTTAAACATTTTTGGATATAAGACCCAAAAATCTACAATAACTTCTTCAGGACCACGTCCGAACATATCTTTCATCCTTTTGAACATCAAAAATTGATTTCAAAACCAAGAGAATGAACGATTTTTTATTATTTTCTGTGAATAATCTACACTAAAAAAATCATGAGCACAAGAAAATCTCCTAAAAATGAGAAATAAAAATAGAAAAAGACTAAATACGGTTACAAATCATGAAATATGGGCTACAACCGTTCCGAAATTTCAAAACCTCGCTTCAATCCCACCTTATCAGGAATCCCATGCTCCTCGAGAATCCTGGCACTGTTTTGGCTGGTCAGCGCCGCGTGGCCGAGCAGCTCAACCGCCGTGATTTGGGTCAACACATCGCGATTCGACTTATCCAGCTCTTTGACGATACTGGCCAAAATGGGTTCCAAGTTTGGGTGGAAGGTCCCGACGCGAAAACTTTCAGATAGGACCTAAATAAATAATATTGGATGGTTCCACAGAAACTGTCGAAAAATGAGCTCATTTTTGTGTAAAACTCTGAAAATTAGCTAAAAAATCTCCGAAAGATCTAGAAAAAGGTACAAAATTTTAATTTTGGAAAAATATTTTTTTTTTAATTTTGCAAATAACAGACTTAGGCCTAAGTTTATTATAATGCAACTTCAAAACTCAAAAAAAAAACCACGCTTTAGAGTGGTCCCTTTAGGGGTTCTGGAAGATTCCCCTCTAGGGAGCGTTTGTGAAAACTCCGAATCACTATAGGGGCCACTCTGGCGATCCTAAGAAGTAAACCCACAAAGACTTCTTCTAGAGCAACAGATTAACTTTTGATCCAAAAAAATCTAAACTTCACCCCTAAAGTGACCTCTCAGAATTTCCCTTATAACTCGATCTAAACTTCTCACAAACCTCATAGATCTTGAACTTGTGCTCACTGTCCGCCGTTTTCAGCTGGTCCAGTAGTTCATCGACTACCAACTGATTGGAGACGGTCGGGGCAAGTAGACGACTCACCTACAACCCTTTATTTCAGTTTTTATGCAATAAACTCGAAAATGAGCTTGAGCCTTCGAAAAAAAGGGTCTTAAGACGATAAAAGAGAGATAGTGCATTCTTAATGGAGGGCGCAGACATGCCGCAGCCCTAAGCTAGCCATGAATCGACTATACATTCAAAGATCTAAAAAAAAACGAAGAAAAACAAATTTAAATAATATAAAGACCCCTAGTGAATATATCAGAAAAGGTGATCTTGAAATTGTCAAAAAAGGAGCGAAAATGGAAATTCAAAAGCGACCCAAAACGGCTGTATAAACTCGAAAAGGTACACTGAGAATAACTGCCGGAATAAAAGCGATATCGCTGGCGACATCGCAAGAGTGCTGCATTGTAGCTGTCGCATATGACTCAGCGCGACATCGCGTGGAGATAATTTTCAACTATTTCGAGTGCGAGAGAAACGCGATGTCGCGCCAAAAAAGCGCGGTTCTTTCACGATGTCGTTAATGTGGCGCCAGCGACATCGCAAAAGTGTTGCATTGTTATCGCGGCGGTCTCAGATGTTACTCGGCGCGACATCGCGTTCTATTTTTCAATGTTTTTGAATGCGGGAGAAACGCGATGTTGCGCCAAAAAGCGCGGTTCATTCACGATGTCGTTAATGTGGCGCCAGCGACATCGCAAAAGTGCTGCATTGCAGTCGCGGCGGTCTCGCATCTTACTCGGCGCGACATCGCGTTTTGGAAATTTTCTCTTTTTTTCGAGTGCGTGCTCGCGCTAAGAAAAATGCGGGTTTTCGCGATATCGTCAGCGATATCGCGTCGAACTGGGCAGTTTTCTTTAGTGCACCTTTCAAGTTAGAAATAAGCAAAGTCACACAAAAAATCACCGCTTCATAGGTCTCCGAATGGTTGATCCTCCTGGCGAAGGCGATCGCGACGGCCGATGATGAATGGGTCAAAATTCGGCCGGCGTCCTGTTTCACCGAAATCAAGTCGGCCAATGCGCTCACCACGTTCGCCGGAGCCTTTGGCAACACTTGCAGGAAGAGAAGCTTCAAATTGGGAAAATAATAAGGGAAAAAAAGAGGAAAAGGTACGAAAAATTTTTCAAATTTTAAGAAAATTTGTATATTATTTTTTTAAATCACATGAAAATCGGGGTTGAAAAAAATACTCAAAAAAATGGAGAAAGAAGGATGGGAAAAAAATGATAATCAAGTTTAAAGATTGACAAAAAAATCCGCAAAAAAATCTAATTTTTTTCAAAATTCCAAGATGATTCGGAACTGGAGAAAAGCTCAAAAAAACGAAAAAAATTGAAAATTTAGAAAAAAAGCCGCGTATTCTTTTGAAGGTTAAAGAAGAATTCTGGCTCCAAAAAAAGACCCGAAAGTGATAAAAATTTCAAAACAACGTGAAAAAAATCTTATTTTTTTGAAAAATACAATAGTGCAAAAAAAGAACCAGAACAAGTTCAAAAAGATGAAAAAAATTAATGAAAAATTTACAATTAAAGTTTTTTTGGAATGATAAAAAAAGGTTTTTCTCACGCTAATCTCAGACTACTCCCACCGATCGATGGGAGACGCAGAACAAAGAAAAAAGGCCTCTCAAAGGGGAAGAAAGGCGAGAACTTTCCCCTGAAATCCCCTTTTTTTGAACACAGTAAAACAAAATTCCTTTACTAAAAAGTACAAAAATCATTCGCAATTTCCGAAAAAACCTTTTTTGGCCTTTTTAGGGTTTTCACGTTTTAATGGCCACTATAGTAGTCGAATTAGTGGCCTCTTAAGTGGCTAAAATTTAGTGACCTCTTTAGGAGTCTAAGTGGCATTACTAGATCAATAAAAACTACTATAGTGGCCACTAAGACGCTGAATAGAGGTGGTTCTAGTGGCCACTTTAGGGCCCTCTCCAAGTAGCCGTTAAGGAACCTCTTGAGTGGCCACTAGAGTTTTCTGCCGTTATCAAGGAAAATTAGAACATCTAGAAAGTTAATAAAATTTCATGACGTAAAATGTCTTTGTTTCCGTTTTGAAACAGTAAATAGAACATTGATCGATTTTTCTATCCACTTGAAGTTTCTCGAGTAGAAAATTTGCAGGAAAAGCGTGAAAAAGGATCCTCAAAAGGGCCAAAAAACCAAAAAATGAGCCAAAAAGGTGGAAAAATGATAAAATTCAGCAATTTTGAATAACATTAACTGGAAAAAAAGAAAAAAAAATCCAGTCAGTCGAAATTTAAAGCCCAATTTGGTAGTACACTCGAAAAATCCCTAGAATGTCAGCATAATTATCATATATGTTTTTAAATATTTTATGCTCGTTTTGAAACAGGAAACAGAACATTGATACATTTTTTATCCATCTGATTTTTTTTTGAATTAAAACCGCCAGAAGGGTGTCAAAAAAATCCTCAAAAGGGCCAAAAAGGTGAAAAAATAATAAACTTCCGCAGTTTTTAATATCCTTATTTGGAACCAAAAAAAAAAAATCTATAATCAATTAGTCAATCGATGTTTCAACAACCATTTGAATGTTAACCATTTATTCATTATTAATTTTGTCCTCATTTTAAAACAGTAATCCATTTTTCTATCCACCTGATTTTTCTCTAGTAAAACGGTGTTGAAAAGAATCCTCAAAAAGAGCCAAAAGACCAAAAAAATGAGCCAAAAAAAGGGTGGAAAAAAATGATAAAATTCAGCAATTTTGAATAACATTAACTGAAAAAAAAAAACCTAAAAAAAATCCAGTCAGTCGAAATTTAAAGCCCAATTTGGTAGTACACTCGAAAAATCCCTAGAATGTCAGAATTATCATATTTTTTTAAAAAAATATTTTTAGTCTGCGTTTTGAAACAGGAAACAGAACATTGATCCATTTTTTATCTATCTGATTTTTTTAAACTAAAAGCGGCCGGAAGGGTGTCAAAAAGATCCTCAAAAAGGGCCAAAAAGGTGAAAAAAATAATAAACTTCCGCAGTTTTTTTAATATCCTTATTTGGAACCAAAAAAATCTATAATCAATTAGTCAATCGATGTTTCAACAACCATTTGAATGTTAACCAATTATTCATTAATATTTTTTTGTCCTCATTTTGAAACAGTAAACAGAACATTGATCCATTTTTCTGTCCACTTGATTTTCTCGAGCTAAAAAGCCGCCGGAAGGGCGTTGAAAAGGATCCTCAAAAAGATCAAAAAATACCAACAAAAAAAAAAGATGGAAAAAATGATAAAATTCAGCAATTTTGGATATCCTTATCTGGAACCGGAAAAAAAAGCTGAAAAAAAATCCAGTCAGTCGAAATTTAAAGCCCAATTTGGTAGCTCGGGCAAAGTCGGAATGATGAATAATGGCCGCTAAAAAGGAGAGGCTCAAAAAAGCAGCAAAAAGGCAGCGAAAAAGAGTCCTTTTATTAAGCCTACCATATTTCTGGGATTTTAAAGGCTCAAGAAATGAATGAAAAAAGGAGAGGCAGCAAAAAGGGTGCATAAGGGCCGAGAAAATGGCGCAAAAAGGCAGCAAAAAGGAAGCATTTCTATAAAACCTTCCAGTAGCCTTTATGGACCCTCGGAGGGTCCCTCCGACTTTGCCTACTAGTACTCGACAAACAACTAAAACGTTAACCAATTATTAACATTTTGAAACATTAATCAATTTTTCCACCCACCTGATTTTTCTCCAACAGAAAAGCCGCCGGAAGGGCGTCAAAAAGGATCCTCAGAAGGTCCTTGCAATCCAACCAAGCGTCCCTTCAAGTCAATTTTTTTCAAAAAAATTTTTTTATTAATCAAACGAACTCATTAACCGAATCATGTTCTATAGAAACGAGTTGCTCCAAGATTTCCAGGGCTGTTTCTTGATTTTTACTGGCCGCAAACTTTTTCCGAAGTTCCTAAAACAGAAAAATCAGTGAATTCATATTATTTTCAATAAAAATTACCAAAAAAGCTTCAGAGCCAACGAGAGATTCCGATTCCATTTCTGTTAAATAAAAATTTGAAATCCAAAAAAAAAAAATCAAAAATGAGCATATTTTAAGTGAAACTGGCTTACAAACACGCTCTAGCGACCTACGACTCTGATTGGCTCGCCACGCCCCCTTTTTTTCTGTATTTTTTTGAATTGAACTCTGCTTGCTAGAAATTATTTTTTTGCCAAAAAAAAAAAAAATTTTTTTGAAAAGAGCCTGAAAACGCGCTCCAGCGAGAAAAATCCTCAAACTTTCTGGCCACGCCCCTTTTTTTTTCGTTTCAAGCATTTTTGAGCCAAATTGAACTAGCTAAATACTTTTCTGAAAGACTTCAAAAAAAAAAATTTCAAAGCTGCAAATGTGCTCCATTGAGAAAGTGTTTCAATTGGCTGGCCACGCTCCTTTTTTGAGCATTCAAAGCAATTTTAGGCCGCGCTGAGCTCCCTATATTTTTTTGACAGGATTAAACATCAAAAATTAAAAAAAAATCAAAAAAAGCTGCAAATGCGCTCCATAGAGAAACTGTTCCAATTGGCTAGCCACGCCCCTTTTTCAAGATGTTTTAAGGCGAGTCAATCATTATCGTAGACCTTTAAAAAAAAAAATGCTAAATAAAAGAGAAAAATGCTGAAAACGCGCTCAAACGACAAGCCACGCCCATTTTTGTGTAGTTCTCGCTGGAGCGCACTTTCATTAACAAGTTGAATTTTCAAAAAACTGAAACAAGATAACGAGACGTAGAAAAGCGTCCAAGGAAACCGAATAAAAAACGAAAATTTACAATAAATTAGTTTATTTACAGTCGTTGAAAGATAGAAACATGGTATAATTTCAATGATAATTGATAATTTTCATGCGGAAACCCGTAAATTCATAAGAAAAAAGTGAGTAGTCGAGGGAATGGTACAGGAATTTATTTTAGAGCTTTATAGTACAATAAAAGGTCGCCTCCTTGTTTCCAGACAAAGTGTTTCACTGTCCTCAAGTCCATGTCCGGCTCGAGTTTCTGGAAAAAATTCAAAATTTAAAAAAAAATCATTTCGCAGTTTCAGGCTAATTCCAAAAACTAGTTTTCATAACCACAATCGCTAAACTAACTTTGTGATTTAAAAATATTTGAAAGATTCATTCTTTCGTGAAACATTGAGTTGTCTCTCTAGGGTTTTGGCGTTTCAGTGGCCACTAGAGTGGCTAAAACTTAGTGGCCTCTTTAGAAGTCTGAGTGATATTTCTAGACAACTAAAAACTGCTATAGTGACCACTAAAACGCAAAATAGTGGCCTCTATAGAGGTGATTTAGTGACCACTTTAGTGTCCTCTCCATATAGTCTTTGAGAAACCTCTTAAGTGGCCACTAGAGTTTTTCCCAATGAAATCTCAAAAATGTTTTTTGAAATAAATCCAAATTTCTTAAGATCAGATGATCAACTTTCATAATTTTTCAAGTTCAACAATTTTTAGATTTTTGGAAAATTAGTACTTAGGACGCCAGAGTGTTCCCTCTAGAGGTAAATTGAGGTGGTCCTTATAGGGGTTCAGGGCCTGACCTATAGTTTTCCTTCAACTTAAGTGGTTCCTTTAGGGTTCTTTTACTTTTCTTGACGTTTTGAAGGTTAAAAAGACGTATAGGGATCCCTAGCATGTTTCCCTAGAGTGACCACTTCTGCTAGCTTAAGTGATCCCTAGAGGGGAAATCTTTTAGGGCTTTAAGGTTGCACCTAAAGGGACCTCTCTGGCGTACTATCCAACTTTTGGCATCGCTCAAAAAAATTTTAAAAACTAAAATTTATATAAAAATCCGTTTTTTTTTTCAATAGGTACATGAGATAAAAGCGTTGCCGAAAATAAAATTTTTGCTTCAAAAATCCAAATTTTCTCTTTTTCATTCTTTTCTAAAAATAAATGACAAAAAATGAAAAGAGCTCGAAAATGCGCTCCAGCGAGAAAATTCTTAAGTTTGCTGGCCACGCCCCTTTTTTTAAAAGTTTCAAGCATTCAAGAAAGCAATATGAATCTCAAGTTACCAAAAAAACCTAAAAATTTCTAAATTTCGTTACAAAAACCCACCTGATCATTACAGTACAACTCCAACTTGGTGTGGACGGCGCCCAAGGAAAGTCCCGAGGACATGAGTTGGGCCTCATTTCCTTGTCCAGGTGAGGACAGGGCGTTATTACCTGAATAGAATAATCAATAATATTCATTTCTAGAAACGGGAACCTTCGTTAGCGTTCAGAACTTTCTCGTAGACGTGCTCCATCACCTTTCTCACTTGGAGCATTTCCGTGGCAGATAGTCGATCTCTTCAAAATCCTTTTTTTTTAAAGGCAACTTTTTCAGCTTCTCCTTGGATTTTTGATGAAAAATTGTACTTTAGGACTTCCTGATTCAGAGAAAAGGAAACGTTTTTTAACAAGGGGAATTTTTTTGATTGTCGATTGAATTTTTTGATGAAACTTTGCTGGGATGTACTATAATACCTCCTCTTCCAGGAATATGATAAAAATTTCTCGCAATAAGTCTTATTTTCGAATTATCAAGCTTCAAAGATTGCACCCTGCATGAGGGAAGCAAGGCAAGAGGGGATTTGACTCGCGTATGCGCCTACGAATCCTCTAGGCGCCGTCGTCTAGTGGCTAGCGAGCTTGCGCCAGGGATACCATGACCAGGGTTCAAATCCTCTCTGAGGAAATTATTTTTGCCGAAAATCCCATCGCAGGTTTTCATTGAAATCCCATCAAAAATCAAATTTGCAGCAAGATAATGAAGAAAAAGAGTGACTCAAAACGTTTTTTAGCCTACAAGGCTTTAGAAAAGCGTCCAAACTCGAAAAAAGGCCCAAAAAACGTCCCTTTTTTGGAATCAAGATATTTAGTTCCATCAAAAATAAATTTCATCTTTTTTGGAAAAAATTCATACTTTTTCGGAGCCTTGACGTTCAAACTGGGATGAGGCAGAAGGAAAAATGGCATTTTTGTGAATTTCGGCAGTTGGCGTCGCTCCACGACATCTGTCACCTGAAAAATCGATTTTGAAGAGTTTAAAATCGATAATTGAAGCGAAAAATGTTGGAAAACCTACCCAAGGAGGCACGAAATCGGAGAGCAACTGGGATTCCGTCTCGTTGGCGGCATCTTTGACCAAAAGTCGGAAAAGAGGTCGGCCGTTCGACTCACTAAACATACTATTTTTGATATTTTCCTTGATTCCGGCAGAGTTCGCTGAAGAATTTACTTATATCTGCGCCACCCTGTCAGGTTTTTCGGGAAAAAAAACCACAGTATACTAGCACGTTTTTGTGCTTTTGCTGTGAGACCTGTAACTCAAACGTATACGATATTATGAGCAGAAAAAAAATGTGACAAACTGGCGCGGGATATTTTATAAATCCTATAGTATATTGAAAGTTATTTCACGAAATCTAGGATGGAAGAGTTCCCTTAAAGGATTTCAACTTGGTTTTAAAACTCTTTATCAAACATGGGACGAGCATGACGCTTTTTTTCCACGCCGCCAGATACATGGATGACATATTCATAATTTACGATAAAAATAAATTAAACTTATCCCTAATCACCAACACACTATACCATAACTCATTGGAACTTAACCAAACCAATACGGAAACATATAAAAACCCAATTTTTTTGGACTTAGATATTTCAATCGATGAACAAAAAAATCTTAAGCAAATTATATAACAAAACGGATGACTATAATTTTTCAAATAATCAGATACCCTCATCACGACAGTTATGTAGCTCGAAATATTGGTTTCAACACATTCACTAATGAAATTGTTAGATTCTCTAAATGCTGCGGTAGAATAGAAGACTTTATAGATAGGACTATCGATTGCATAAAAAAACTTTCATATTGAATCAATACAATTTAAACACCTTAATTAGAATTTTGAAAACAAAAACTTTAAATAGGACTAAATTCAAAGAAAAAAATCGGATTTAGTTTTTGCAAAAAAATACACATTTCATTATAACTATCCCTTCTTCACTCTACATTCCAAATTTCAACCTCAATTTTTCTACCTTTATACTTTCAATATAGACTTCCACAAGAACATAAATTTAATCTACCTCTTCGTAACTTTTTGACCTCTGCCGACAACAATCGATATCGGATATGAATGACTACATTTCCCTCTTTTTTTCTCTTTTTCCTTTTTTTCTTCCCCCTTCATTTATCAGTTTTTCCCTTTTCAATTTTCCAAACTTTATTAATTTAAAACTGCGCCTAGGTATAATAGCTAAAAATCTTTTTATAACATTTTTTGATTTAAAGCAAGAGGGTAAAATGCTGACGATGGGTCACCCTCTAAGCCGTCCATTTTTGGGACCCGAAACGGCTGCGCGACATAAAAATATTATCATCTTTAAACCCTTTCTCCTCTAAGAAATTTCAGAAATCCTAAAACCTTTTTCATAGTAATGTCCTCCTCATATGTATTTTTCTCACCCTTCATATTGATCAAACACACTGAATTGCGACAGTCATGTCCCCCCTAATGCCACACCCCCTCCATCTTCTAGTTTTTTTCTGCCAACCCCCTTTCTCGTTTTTTTACCATGTCCCCCCTAATGCCACGTATATCAACCCCCTTTTTACCAAGTCCCCCTAATGCCACGCATGCCCCCCATCTTCTAGTTTTTTTCCTGCTAACCCCCCCCTTTTTTACCAAGTCCACCCCCCATTTTTTTAGGCCCCACCGAGACTAACCCATGTATGCTCTTGTACTCAAACTGGAACAAAAAATTTCGACGAAACGCAATGAAACCTTCATTTATTTCGGAAACGATGTTCTACTTCCTGAATGAATCTACCCGAAATTCGAAATTCAGGACCCTAGTCCAGGTCTTCAAGAATTTTCTGAACGACTATAGTCCGTTTTTCGCGACTTCTCTGAACCCTTCTGTTCTCTCTGCGACCCTCTCATGTTTACGTGCTATTTTCATGTTTCTCTGACCTCACCGGTGAGGGAACATAGAGACGCAGACACGAGAAACAATTCAAATCACGGCTAACAGACTATATTCCATACAGATTTGTAAAAGTCGGATTCTCAAGATTTTTTGCCTCAAGAATCGACTTCAAAAAGGTTCGGGACAATCACCATAAGATCAAGGGCGTGTGGGCGGGAATCGGGATGTAATGGGCGGTGGCGATGGCGGTGTCGCCCTCGGCGCCGTCGTTGATCGTCAGGGCGCAGTGGGGCCACCACTCGAACAGCGACCTCAGCAGCATGCCGCCGTAGTTGACTTCAATGTCTTTTTCAATAACTTGAAAATGAAAACGGATTAG